GTACACCTGGCCATCTGATGATGATCGGATAACCATCTGATTTGAGTCACACATCCCCAATCACGAACCATGATTGTGGATCCCGAGTCGTCTGTCCGTCATACGAAAATACCTTTCTGACAGTTGGGAATAGCTAGGATTTGGCTTAGGGTTGGAGCTTCTAACGTTGACTGCAATATTATTGCTGTTTTTACCAGCCTTCGTCATCGTCAGCACCGCAAAGCCAACCATCGTCGGCAACAACGCAACAGCAGCCAATCACCACCACAGGAACGAGTTCACCATGACATTTGGCAAGCTGATCACCAATAAGACCGTGCTGAATGGGTAAGAATGTGCAGCGACGTAATCGATCGATCGATAGTCGCTTTGCTGGATAGTAAAATTTCCAGATTGAACTCACAGCTAACCCTCCATTCATTCCCTTCGACTGCCTTACCGTATTATCTCGCTCCCTGCATTTGCACGTCATAGATTGACTCCAGCGCTCAGCTCCTTTGCGGTTGTCAAACCAACAGGTAGGAGCCAAAAATTCTGTGACTCCATTCGGGGGTCCGAGTCTCTTCTAGCTAGCCAGCTAGATTGCGTTTTGGATCCAGTCTCACACCACTTGCTGTTTCCCCTTGTTGTTGCTGTTATTATAGCTGTTGGAAAGGCAGCCAATTTCATTAGCAAGCCAGCTGCATCGGTAAAGGCAGTGGGGAAAATGCAGGGTACTTTCTCGGCAGATTTGGCAGCTTTCCCAAAGCCAACCAATTGGAGTGCCATGTCCAAGCCCCAAGCAGTGTTCTGTGGGTAATAAGGAAGGCGACCTTGGATATACCCAATAATGCAGCCTTGGATTGCTCCTTGTCTCGTGGTTGTCTTCTTTGAAACAGGAATATTCAGAGCATGCCAAAGAAAGCAAATATTCAGAGTACTCTAGCTAGTACGAAAAAACTATAAGGTGAGTCCAGGGCAGACATCACAAAACTATAGTACTCTATGGAACTTTGTGGGCCTTTCTCACGCACTCGCTTTCTCTGTCCACGTAGTTTTAGTTTTATTTGTATAGCTTCTACCCAGTTTTCTTCGTTCGTCACATCAAGTTGAATTGGCTTTCTCTTCATTCTCGCAGAAGAGCAGCTAGCTAGACCAGGCTGCGACTATCGTCATCCCAATCCAAATTTAGCCAAATGGGGCTGCGAAGCGAATCGAATCGCAATTCCATTCTACGCACAAAAAGAGACACCCGCACACAGTTGTTTTCCTCTACTCTCTGCGGTTTCCCCAAGACTATTCCAGCATATCCGTGCTGGTTACCAATGGTGGCAATCAATGGATCATGGTGCAACGGATGGAGCCACCCACGGTTCATCGTCGCCACTCAATGCTGGAGTGGGGCATTCACCACAGCCGTAGAGACCACCGCTGATCTTGGGTAACAACAAGGGCAGAATTGCTAGCTCGCATTTCGCCTGGCAAAACATGCCGAAAAAGTAGTTTCGGTGAATGCGTTGGCCCCGCAGCGACCCCAACATGCAATTGTTCGATTCGGGACAAGGAAAATCTTCTGGATCGGTCGTGAGGCCCCGTGAGATCACGTTTTGTTCCGGTATCTCTTCTTTTGCTCGAAGTTGCGTGGCAGCATGAGGAACAAACATCATGATGTACAAGAGTACAATCAGATATCGACCGACAACGCTCATGTTTCGATTCCGAGCTATGATGAACAACAACGGAGTTTTCTTGCTATCGAGCTACGGAAGTACGACAGTATACCAGCTGGGGTTTCAACTTCATCGATTATTCACTTTGTGGTGGTACCTCTCTTGCAGTGTCACAAATAATGAGATGTCTACGAGGTGGTACGAACGCAACCACGGTGAGAACGATTTGTGACTTTCAATTTTGGTCGACCGGTTGTACTACTAAAACTACCAGAGTGGTATACTCGCTCCTTTTCTCTTGCAGAGGCGTGAACATGGGAACGAGCAATGTCCTCTGTTTGCACTCCGTTAGAAGCATTACAAAATCGCCAACGTTTTTGTTCTTGGCGTTGGCTTGGCACCTGCATTGCTCGAGGTGCGCTGCTCGAGAAATGTCATTCGTGATGTCGGGGCAGAAAAGATGAAGATAAACAAGTCGGAGCACCCATCACAATTTGGCGAATTCGAATCCAGGATGCGCCAAGGTTGCGTCAAGTTTGAAATTGCGACGACTTGACTTGATTGCCTTCAGGTCCATGTTATCAGAACCAGCCTAAGCTGCCCGCTCTCGTATGCCAACAATGCGGTGGTCTCCAATCCAGTGGCTTCACAACTTGTTTGTGGCGCAGAGTCTGTATATCTCAGTTGCTGCTGATCGATCGCAACGACTAAGAGGAAGGCGTCTTCGCGGGGGCGCCGCTTGTGTTGATACTGTTGGTTCAGTGATTCTCGAAGCAATTCAAAAAGCCCAAGACGACAACAACAATGGCGGCGGCAAACGTCGTGGTCGAAATCTCTTGTTCTTTGATCTCGACCGGGCGTGGAACTTGGCCCAGGATTTGTATGGCCAAGTGGTCGAGGAACTGGAGGAAACATCCACACAGACTACCAGCACGAATACAACGCAAGGCGAACGAATCGTTGCGGATGTTGTCATTGTTGGAGCTGGTGCTGCAGGCCTTTCGGCAGCAGCAGAACTGCTAGAAGAAGATCCGGATCTCAATGTCATCATCCTAGAATCCACCGAACGAATAGGCGGGCGGGTCCGCAGTCATACCATGGGGGCATGGGGGCGAGAAGCTGTGGTAGAAGACGGGGCTAACTGGATCATTCCTTTGAAGGAAAACGTGCTTTGGGAGGAAGCACAGGACATCGGTTTGCGAGGCATGCCAAATGATTATACGGATTGGATTGTGTACGATGCCAATGGAACTGTTGTGGATCCAACTCTTGTGGATGCGGAACACAAACGGTTTACCGAAGCATTCATTGCGGCCGGGGTCGACGCCGACGAGCAATTCACTGCAGAACACGAATCGTTCAACGATCGGGGCGTCTTGGCGCTCTTGGAAGACAATGGATGGGCGGTGGCATCTGACACCAGTGGCAACTTGGACGCAGTCATGCAATGGTTATATATAGACTACGAATATGCCGTCAGGGACGTCTCGACTCGATACTTCCCGTATGAAGCACCCAATCCCTTCCTCGTGACGGATCAGCGTGGATACGAAACACTCCTTCAACATTTCCAGGGTGAACACATCCCACGAGACAAAATCCTGCTGAATCAACGGGTGACCAGCATTGACTATGATGCTGACGTCTGTATCCAACAATGCATCGGTGTTTGCGTTGGCCCTCGATACAAGGCCATTGTAAAGACTGAAGACGGCACGGAGTACCTTACACAGCGTGTCATCTTGACGGTTTCGACTGGAGTCATCAATAACGACAGAATCGACTTCAATCCTTCCTTTCAATACCCACACGCCCAATACAACCCCTACAGGATGGCACAATACGTCAAGATCTTTTATCAGTTTGAAGAACCTTTCTGGGGCACAACTGAATTCGTTGAGGTGGCTCGAAACCCCGCAAACCGAGGCTTGTGCAATCACTGGCAAAACATGGATCTGGCAATCCCAGGCAGCGGCATCATTCGGTGCGAGCTCATGACAGAGGGTTTTCTGGCATTGATTGATCCCGTCACAGAGGAGCTTTCCCACGCAACCTTGGACTCATTGCTGGATCCGCTGCGTGCTGTGTATGGTAACGAGACGGTGGGGGCTCCCCTTGATGTTTATTATCCAAAGATCAATAAGGATGTCGACTTTGGCAACGGAGCGTATGGTGCTTGGCAGATTGGAAAAAGCTTTACCGACTTTGCCAAGTTTTATGGCGGGATTGATGTGTTGACAAACTACTGTGACCACAACGGTTGCAACTCTGCTGGGGAGTGGATTCTGCAGATGTCGGGATCTGCTTCTTGCTACGATCACTCTGAGTTTGTTCATGGAGCTTTGTTTGCTGGACAGCGAAGCGCAAGGTTTGCCTTGGAATCACTGGGCTATGACGTGAAGACTGACACTAGTGAATGCGACAAGTGGTGGAACGAGTTGGAAAGATGAGGGGACGGAGAAGTGATGTACAGTAGCTACCTAGCTAGACCAGCACGAGCGATCTTCGGGGACAGTGCTTTATCAAGATCAACTACCTAGATAGGTAAACGACTTCGACGACAGATCTTTGTTGCGGCTGGGGCTTGCATATCCATTCCCAGGAGGTCTGATGTTGATCCCAGACGCGAACTACCTCCGAGCAATGAAATAGCAACTCGGTTAGGCAATGAGCGAGCTTGTAGGGCGTGATAGGCGGTGATGAAGCACTCAACTATTGCATAACGCATCCAGGTGCACAAATCAAGAGTAGCGGATCAGATGAACGCACTTTGTGTGTCAATACATGGATGTCTACTAAGGATATCTTAACATCGAAGGAGGATGCGAAACGACGAACTTCAGGCTTGCCCAATATGTGTCTTATAAGACACAGAGGGGATCGCAGGTGTTGGGTTTGCTTTTGGTAATCTGGGTTACTCCGCTAGCTAGCTAGCCAGCTGCTAGAATGACGAACCAGAATCCCATGCAGAAAAAGAGAAAAGATTTAAAAGCGTTTATGATGGATCGAAACATAAAAGAGGAGACACTGAGGAAAAGGACAGCCATGTACATTGTGTCTGACTGACAAGCGCTCAAACAAAAGATTGGATTCACCCGTCATCACCAGTCGTCGTGCTTTGGACGATGGTCGTCATTATAGTAGTCGTCCTGCATCGTGTGGAAGAAACAGAAGTTAGTCAACCCGAAGCAATGCCTTTGTTGATCTTGAACTGAATCCATCGGTTTGGACTCACCTTGTAGTAGTCATCTTTGTAATAGTCGTCCTATTTGAAGTAGTACGGTAGAGGAAAAGAGTGTTAGCCAAATCGCGCTGCAAGAACAATGAGATGTCGAGGTATCCGCTCTTACCTTGTAATGGTCATCTTTGTAATAATCATCATCCGGATGCGCTCCCGTGGGGTATCCACAGTCTTCCTGGTTGGTCTTTCGGGGCCTGTTGGTAAACCCGGTGAATCCCCACTTTTCCACCTGCCAAAGAACGTCAGCCTTCCATCGTTGCTCGAATTCGTCGACATCACGGACTAGAATGTACAGCTGCGACTTGGGCTCCCCATCAGTGACAACCGAATACTGGTACTCTCCATTTCGAATTGGTCCCAGCATCATGATCCAATAGTTTCCAGGTGGCATGTACATTACATCATCGATATCAGGAGTTCCAATGCCAAAGGGTAGTGGGCCAGGCTGAAGCTCAACATATCCTTGTCCATCTACATCCGGTGACTGCGTGAGCCATCCATTCACAGTCAGTGTCAGGCAATCATTGACGATCTCCTCCCAATAGTCCTCCTTGTCCTTGGGTTTGTCTTCCTCGTAGCCTCTATGATAACCATTGCCTCGGTCACCAAAAGGACGAACTTTGTTCTCAACTCGAACGGTTCTGTTCTTTTCCGTCGCATAGTAATCTGCTGTCACACAGTTCCCTCCCAACTCAAACGTATAAATCACAGTGAAAGAGGCGTACGCTTGCTTCCAAGTTCCAAGATAGGCTGTTTCGTCTAGACTGGCTATTGGCTCATATCTCAAGGAACCGCTGCCACCAGCAGTCGCATCACCCGCTTGCTCTGCTGTACTAGTACTGTCCTGAGCTAACAAAGCAGACGGCAAGAATGCCGCCAGCAAAAGCAGTAGCAATCTCTCCAGACACCTCGATACTGCCATGGCACTTTCGTTTTCTCTCAACAAAGTGGATGAGGGCTCATCAATCTTGATGATGTGGTTGTGGGGTGCAGTTTACTGTTCGGATCATTGAGGTCGGGAAGCTTGTTTGCTCTTACATAGTTGGTGACGTTGAACGGCCAACTGAGCTTAATCACACAACGTAACCGGCCGAGCTGCTCTGTTTGTTAGATTGGGTTGACCTAATTGAAAGTGAATATCATCGCTTTCTGTACGATTCCTGCTAATCGCCATCGATCAGACCTCAGAGCAAGGGGATCTTGCTGCTCTCACAAGTCCTTAACCTTATTGGAGGGGCATCAAGAACGCGCGCAACGTCCCCAAGATCATGATGGATCCTTTGATCCTTGCCGTGGTCCTTGACAACAACGATCACATCCTTGAAGGGCCTTGCAAAGCCGGCAACATGGACCTGATCACCGGCGTCCACCTCACCAACAGCAGGTATCCCCAGCTAATAGTATCATCCTTCGTTACGACAACGGACTAAGTATCTGTACGCCCTATCGGTATCTGCTACTAGCTAGCTAGAAACAGAGTAGATCTATCGTACAGCGTACTGGTACCATCTACAAGTCTACAAGGAACAAAAGATGGGTCGCGGTATTGGGAATCTCCGCGTGGATAACGTCCCTATCTTTCTATCTCCTCTGATCAAGGGATACGGTATCGTCGGGTCTGCCTGTATGAGCGCTATGATTCAAACAATACGGGCAACCTGTCATTGGGAATTTGTCAATCCAAACCACTATTCCAAAGCCTGCATCCATGTCACTTGGCATGAAAACATTCCAACGTACATGAGCAGCTACACGATCGATTCGAGCTTGCCACAAAAGCACGTTTGGTTGCAACACCCGTCCGCGTACATGGCACCAGTCCATGCCTTGTTGCATCGATACGGTGTGGAGTACATTTTGGGCTCTAGTGGACATGGTGGGCAGGTTGCTTTGAACCGGCTCACCGAAACAATGTTGGCACACGAAATGGGATCTTCTGCCTTTTTCCCGGATGGCCCTTCTGGTCCCGCAAAAGTTGTCAAACCAGGTGTGGTACAATTGGCACAAGCTACTGGATTGCCCATGATACCGATACGGTATGAGTTTTCAAATAGCTGGCGAACAGGTTGGGATCAAAAGCATTTTCCCAAGCCTGGGTCCACCATTGTGGTGCAGGAGATGGGGCCAATGTTTGTAAAACCAGGCGATGACAATTTGAAGCAAGGTGTGGCTGAACTGCAAAGGCAGCTGGAGTGATCGAAGTATGTATATTGGTTACTGGGCCACCAACTGAAGGGACTGTGGAATACACCACAAGCTTGGTGGATACGATGGGTTCTCATCCCTCATCCATATTCATTTGCTCAGACACACGAAGGGTCATTAGGACAACTGCTGTGGTATGACAAATATGACATCAATTTAGCCAAATGATGCAACCTGGCTGCGCCTCAGAGAGGAAGATTACGAAATCGATTCAGTCAATCGGTAAGGCAAATCATGGATGAATGGTTGCTCGGATACAAGCAGCACAAAACTGCAGGCATTGCATTTCTGCCCCTTTTGACGCACTAGAGTATGCACCTATGAATTTTATTACTTGCCTCTCCTTTGACAGTTGCCGCCAACAAGCAAGACATTGGCACACAAGGTGCGTGATTTCAACTGCGACCGCATGAAGGCTTAGTGTGTAGCAGTTTGTTCGTTCCATTCTACTAGTAGCTAGGTTACTACCATGGCTAGCCAGTCGCCCATCTATCATTGAAATAAAATCCCGTTGCTATTCTTGGAATATGCAGAGAGATCCTTGCACTGGCCATGCAACTACCTCCCTAGTCAGTACCGGTACCGTACGGTAGGTGTTTTGTGGTTGGACATCCAGTGCTGGTTCCAACCAATGTAGGAAATGCAGTGTTGGCGCCAGAAGAGGTGGAAAATCCAGTGCTGGGGCCATCCTTCGTGGAGATTGAATTCAGTTTTGGGGCCAATCATTTTAGCGTGATAGTTTGACTGCATTGCTTTTGTTTTTGAAAGTGGCTCTTCGTCCATCCTGATGGTCGGAAATCCAGTGGTATAGCAGCGCCAATGGGGGTACGACTGTACAAGTAAGCCGCTCTGTTGGTTAACTAACTTATCTCTCGGGACTGAGTGACTCGACTCTAACGTGACTCGGTGCAACAAGAGACAAAGACAATTGCGGCTTCAGTGGCATCGGCGGGCTCTGTTCTCATTCCTCACAAAGGCAAAGCCGCCAACGAGCCTGAGTGATCCCGAGCGGCATTTTTTGGAGGGACGTCCTTTTGACTACTACCAAGTAGCTACTAATAGCAAATAATTTACCTGAGGCACGATGAACATGGAAATGGGCACCAACGAGACAATCAGTGATTGTAGCCGGGGCATGATGTCCGATGAAGACATCATTTTGCAGCTGGAGGCGAGCATGACGCCCGGGATGAAACACTTGGCGGAAGAGGTGCCATGGTTTTACAGAACCATGCCTGGCAGAACTGTAAGTTTTGCTCAATGGATGACAAGCCAGCTACGGTTATTGGCACCACGTGTGTTATCTAATTTATTTATTCTTTCTGTCCTTCTTTCTAATGAATGAATTTGTTTGGTGTAGGGCAATTTTTTGGGCCATGCCATTCCAGCAAGTTTTTTCCTGGGGTTTTCCGTGTTTATTCTCTTGCTGTCTCTGAAACGAGCCAGAGCTCTGGGCCAACAATCTTTTTCCCAAGTTCACATTCCCGAACGAGATCCTCTTGTTTTGAGACGTGTGGGCATTGGTGGTATGATTGTCACTGTCATTGGACTCATTGTGGAAATGAGTGGTTCCTACGCGGCCTTTGGGAATCCCTTTGGACAATTGGCCCATGAGACACTCTATTTTTCCTTCTTTTTGGTGTCCCTCTGTGCCTTTTTGGAAACCAAAGGGCGCCTACCACCCGACACCCATCGAGCGGCCTTGATCATGGCTTTTGTTTCATCCTATCTCATGTGGCATTCTCATGGGACCATGAAAAAGTTGATGGCGGATCAAATCATGCACATTCTACTATCATACATCAACTTGAGCAATGCCGCCATTGTGGCCTATTCCATGCGATTTACGGATTCCACCATGGCCTATATTGGTGGATATGCCATGCTCGTGTTGCAGTCATTTTGGTTGTTTACTGCCGGATTGTACGAGTCCTGTTTCAATCTTCCCATGCATGAAATTGCCACCTATTTGGCGGTCGAGAGTCTGTTGGTTTTCATGGTGATTGTTGTGGTATTTGCCATGTTTGGACCCGAACAATCCCTGCAAGACAATCCCAGCTATCGAGGTAACTTTGCTCCACTCAAGCTCCATGGTGATGATGATCATGATGATGAACCATATGACCGTCCTTAAAATGGTGACGCTCCCAATGCTTGGCTACCAGTGATGACAATGACATCCATGGCGACGATAGTTTGCTGCATGAAACAGAAGCAAACATGGGTTGTGGATGGTGTAGAGATACTACAAAATCAATCAATCCACAACTTTTAGCCTACCTTAGAACGACAACAATGCTCAACTTTATTATAGATTCATCATCGTACAACAGCAGCAGTTTATTCGTTGCCGTGTTGAAATTTGTACATTTGAGAGGTTCCGTTTCTAGCTGGGGTGGCGAGCTTGGTTTTGGAGTCGAGTGCTCGTCCGTCTGGTCGCCTATGGTATCCAGTGCAGGCAACAGCATTACATTGCCTGGTACAGTAAGCAGCTCAGCTGGTTAATTCAACCAAACCATCGGGCCACAACCTCTTATGGCAAAGCCGCCAACCAACGGTCGAGTGGCATTTATTATCTGGAGCATGGAAATGAGCAACGAGACAAGCGGTGATAGTAACATGAGCAACATTGGCATGTCTGGTATGGGGGGCACAATGTCTGATGAAGCCATCATTGCCCAGCTGGAGGCGGACATGACACCCGAGATGAAACACTGGGCGGAAGAGGTGCCATGGTTTTACAGAACCATGCCTGGCAGAACTGTAGGTTTTTGCTAAATGGATGACCAGCTACTGGTCTTGACACTGTATATTATGTTGTCTCGTTCATTCCTTCTGCTTCATGAACGAATTTTCTTTGGTGTAGGGCAACTTTGTGGGCCATGCCATTCCAGCCAGTTTCTTCCTGGGGTTTTCCGTGTTTATTCTCTTGTTGTCTCTGAAACGAGCCAGAGCTCTGGGCCAACAATCCTTTTCCCAAGTTCACATTCCCGAATGTAATCCTCTCGTTTTGGGTCGTTTGGGGATTGGTGGTATGATTGTCACTGTCATTGGAATCACGGAGGAAATGAGCAGTGCCTATCTGGCCTTTGGGAATCCCTTGCAACAATTGGCCCACTTGACACTCTACTTTTCCTTCTTTTTAGTGTGTCTCTGTGCCTTTTTGGAAACCAAAGGAAGATTGCCACCCGACACCCATCGAGCGGCCTTGATCATGGCTTTTGTTTCGTCATATCTCATGTGGCATTCCCACGGTACCATGAAAAAGTTAATGGCCGATCAAATCATGCACATTCTACTGTCGTACATCAATTTGAGCAATGCCGCCATTGTGGCCTATTCCATGCGATTTACGGATTCCACCATGGCTTTCATTGGTGGATATGCCCTACTTGTGCTGCAGTCCTTTTGGTTGTTTACTGCCGGATTGTACGAGTCCTGTTTCAATCTTCCCATGCATGAGATTGCCACCTACTTGGCAGTTGAGAGTCTGTTGGTTTTCATGGTGATTGTTGTGGTATTTGCCATGTTTGGACCTGAACAATCCATGCAAGACAATCCCAGCTATCGAGGTGACTTTGCTCCACTCAGGGTCCGTGACGATGATCCTGATGATCATGAGCTGTATGACGTTTCTTAATATGGTTACGTTCCCAATGCATGGCTCACCAGCGATGACAATGACATCCATGGTGATGATATAGCTAGTTGCAGCATGAAAGCAACAGAGGCAAAAGCGGGGTTGGCGGAAGTGAGATGCAAGGTGGCGCTTAATCAATCAATTTTGCAAGAACAATCAATTTCATAAGAAAACATAGAACGACAACAATGAGCAACAATGTATTATAGATGCATTGTACCGCGTCGGCAGACTTCGATGCCATGTTGAAATGGAGGTTCTGTCACTCCGGTTGGCAAGGAAAGTCAGGTTGGTTACGAGACGATTGCTGGTACCGTAGGTCGACGCACGGTGTATCGGTACTAGTAGCAGGAGTGGCGTCCAGGCTCGCCACCTACCGACCGGTACCACCGTACCTTGCCGCGAGCTATCTAGCTGTAAATCGAATCGGGGAACGGATTGTGGGAGCTGCAACGACAACTGCAAAATAGACCCTTAGTTTTTAAAATACTCCATCAAGATTGCCGGGCCCAAGTGGATTGGCACGGTTTATTTTGCTTCGACGGCATGGAATGCTCGAATAGACGCATCTGAGCGACGATAGTGGATTGTTTGCAATGCCTTGACACAAATTCATTTCTTTGGTTCATTTTTGCAATCTAAGCCTTAGCACAAAGCTTCTTTTTACATGGCATATGCTCCTCCCAGACTCTTTCCCTGTGGTGCCTTGTCGACGGTTCCACCGGCTGCCTTGACCCGCCTGCAAGCTTCACCTCGGGCTGTTCCGGATTGACCGTATTTGCAAAGAGCTTCGTCCGCCGAAAGTTTAGGAATGCACTTGGGGTCGCGCTTGGGATCACAGTTTTTGGTGTCGGCTTCAATCTATAGAAACACATGAATGATGCCAAGTGCAGAGCAAGCAGGGCGCACAGAGTGAGATCATGACGTCTTTTTCTTTCAAAGAATAAAAATTCATGAACAATACTTGGCAATGTTGCCAACTCGGTCATAGTGTACATACCTGTGAATTAGCAAAGGAATCCATATCGAGCGCGTTGGCTGCAACGGCTGGCGTCAGAGTCAATGCGGCTAGGAAGGCCGAGTTCAGAACTTGTCTCCTTGAACTGATGATTCCATCGTCGTTGGATTGGGATGCCAAGGCTGTTGAGGAGGAGACGGGACTTTGGGGCGAGGGAGTCACCACGAATCCTTGACACACACACGCGCTCATCAAGGCCACAACGGCAACTGTACGACGAAAGACGGTTGGCATTTTAGAAAATTGAATTTGTGGCGCTTCGGATGGTTCAATCTGTTGTCAGTTGATTTTCAGCTAAAAGAACTGAATATTGTGAAGAATACGAATGGAGCGGGAAGAATTGTTTTGCTTTACTACAGTATGCTTCCGCTTGCTGATGACAATGAAATGAATCATTGGAGGCTTCGGCTGATGTACCATCGATGAATCATCGTCAACACAGGAGAGGGCTTCTGATGATGGATTTGGCTTTGCTTGGCACCAAAGATATTTTCGCCACGAACGTGATTTAGGGTTGGGGTTGATCCAAGTTATTGCTTGGGTCGCGGCTCGGAGCTCCACGCTTCGTGGCACACAACGGCACCAAGATCATGCAATGTTGGAAGCGGTACGGGAGCCCTCCCACACCTGGTCCTGCCAGTCCAACTTCCTGGTTCAGCTCTACAGCCGCTGGTCTACATCTCCGCTCTGCAGCGCTTTCTCAGCCTTGCTCAATTGTTGGATGCCTGCAGCCATCATGAAGCAATCATTTTTACCTCTCTGATGATTGTAGCGGCAATGTTCTTGCATGAATGTTGTACTTGAAGCAGCTATGGTGGTACTACGATAAGCAAGGGCAAGCCATCGTCCACTGAGCCTTGTTACAGTTGCAGGGATACGGTAGCCCACTCCATATGGACCTTCCAAACAAAGATATCTAATAGCAGTATGCCAGGCACCAACAAGCCACAGCTTTTGGTTGAATCCACACCCACACCCCTCCATGCACGCAGCATGAAGCTTGCTGCCATGCCTTAAAAGAACACACACCATCTCCTTATCCAGAGCCACTCTCTCGTCACTGGGCACTTGTGTGAAATGCTGAAAGACAGTTTTCGCCTCTGCTGCGTCGTTTTGCACAGTGCCGATTGGGGTTATGTCTGACTATCTTTTAACTACACGTATGACTGTACAAGGCCCGGTTCCACAAGAGATGCCAATGTCTTTTTAATTTAAGCACCGTCTCCTTGAGTTGTCTGCAAGAAAAACTAAAATCACCAAAGATATCATCCAGGCCAGTCTTCTTCCTCCTATTATTCTGGACATCCATTCTCCCGAGCCCACTGTAAAATTTCCTCATGGCCACTCTCTTTAGCAGCACGACATGTCCTTCCATCCCAAGGGCATCCATTCTCGTGAGCATACTTCAGAGTTTCAAGTTGTCCCCATCCTGCAGCAATAGAGCATGTATTTGCATCCCATGGACATCCATTCTCGTGAGCGTACTTCAGAATCTCCAATCTACCCATTTCTGCTGCTTTTTCACAGGTCTCTTCATTCCAGGGACAGCCATTCTCATGTGCATAAATCAGAATTTCCATTTCACCCCACCATGCAGCAGTACTGCACGTTGTTTCGTCCCATGGACACTCGTTTTCCTTCAACCATTTCAAAATCTCCAGACGACCACCCTTGGCAGCCCCATTTGTGCTGGTGTTTGATGGGCATCCGTTTTCAATAGCCCACTCTAAAACTTCCAAGTGACCCCTATATGCAGCATACCAGCATGTCCAATCATCCCAGGGACAGCCATTTTCACGAGCCCATTTTAGAATTTCCAAATGGCCACCAACCGCAGCACCATCACATGTTTGTGAATCCCAGGGGCATCCATGCTCACGAGCCCATTTAAGAATGTCCAAATGACCACCATTAGCAGCACCAGCGCATGTCCAAACATTTAGAGGGCATCCATTCTCGTGAGCCCACTGGAGCATGTCCAAATGGCCACAGGCCGCAGCATTGCTGCATGTTGATGCATCCCAGGGACATCCATTCTCACAAGCCCATTTAAGAATGCAAAAATGACCACCTCTGGCAGCAGCACTGCATGTTGACGTGTCCCAAGGGCAGTCCTTCTCATGAGCCCATTTGAGAATGTGCAAGTGACCGCCTTCTGCCGCTCCATGGCATGTAAACCTATCCCAGGGACATCCTTTCTCGCGAGCCCATTTGAGAATGTGCAAGTGACCGCCTTCTGCCGCCCTCCTGCACGTGGCTTCATCCCATGGACATCCATTCTCTTTAGCATATTTCAAGCTTTCAAAATGCCCGGATTCAGCAGCCCCTTCACAGGTTCCTTTGTTCCAGGGACAACCGTTCTCATGAGCATACTTTAGAACATCCAAATGGCCATTTCTGGCAGCAACATGGCATGTGCTTTCATCCCAAGGGCATCCATTCTCATGAGCCCACTTGATCAGCTCCAAATGCCCACCTTCTGCAGCACTGCATGTAGCTGATTCCCATGGATACCCTTCACTCCGGGCCCATTGAATGCCAGGAAGATGTCCATATCGTGCAAAAGTAGAGCAAACATTGCTATCATAACGGTTGTTTCGTTTGTGGCAATGCCAAAACTTGGCACATGCCAACGACCTGAAAACAATGATGTAGTATGTATCCGTGATGGTTGCAGAGCGCTTACTACCTTGCTCATCATCTACTTTTGGAGGATTCTTTATAGAATCTCCATACAGCTTATAGAGCTGATTCAGTTTCTTGCTGGTGGCTCCTACAAAGGCATAGTGTCCCCTTCCCAGAAAGGGAAAGATGCTGTTGACCCAAACATCAGTTTGTTCCAAGATCAAGATCAAGGGAGGTTCCAATGAGGCTGGATTTGCCATGGCTTGCCGACAAACTTTGTTGTTCTTGTTCTTGTTGCTGTTTTTATGAATCGAATCAAATCAAATCCAAAGAAGCAATCGGCCACCAATCTGGCTGGTGTCTGTCAATCAAATCAATGGCTTGTCAATCTACCGTCTACCGTACCACAGTGCAGTAGCTACAGTAGTAGCAAGCCTACGGTAGCTAGCAAACGTGCCGTCTCCACCGTGGAAGGAAAGCGAAGTGCACCAACGGGAAGGAAGACAGTTTTCGGAGGGGACCAGTAGCTAACGGTTTCGCTATCGGTACCAGTCGTCGTGGGCCGAATTCGATGATGGCCACCATGGTAGCCAATCAATCTGCTGGCTGTCAAATTTTAAAATAAATGCCCGTTCTCCACCCGGTTAGACTATTAGACTAGGGTGTATCGGTTCCGGTGCCGTACGTAACGCTTCGGTATTTCGTCTCCCGGAGACGATTTGCTTTTAGGGGTAAGGGTACTTTTGGGGAGTGGAGGTTTGAATTATACCCCGCGTGCATTACTTAGAGGCCTCTGTAGAAGTCTACGTATTCGACTAGTATTGTATTGACGGGATACAGTCAACGCATGTACATGCACATGAAAGTCGCCTTGCGTTCTTCACATGTTTTGCATGAATGACGAGGGAGCAGTTTCGAGGCTCGGGGCGAAGCTGAAAGGGATGAGCGCGCGGAGCGCGCGAATACTGTTTCAATAAAGGGAGTTAGGTGTTGGTAATAAAAGATTTATGGAAACGGAGACGACCCAGGGGGCATATGAATGCATAGTTGTGGTGGTGCGAGGAGGAATTCGATGGGTGCTGTTGCACCGTGGAACGTGGAAGCAAATCGGAGTGCAGCTTTGAGGTAGACGCGGTAAACACTGACTTTAACCCTATACTTACCGCAACTACGTTTTCAAAGCTGCCTACCAACGCGCAACCACACAACTTGTCTGTTGCAGGCACAATGGCGGAGACTTCCACTGCTGTCGTTGGTAAGGATGATGATGAGGATGACGCTGTTGATGCTACAACACCCACAGAATCTGTCAAGGGCGTGATTGTGCGACGCAGTTGTCTGGGCAAAAAGCTGTCATTTGCGGATCTTCGAACCGAGAACGGTGCGATTGTCAAGGTGGCCTTTCGTCGCTCCACTGGTTGGCAAGAAGATGTATCGGCACGTCCATTTCCCGTCAAGACATCGGAACTTCCCTATGGAGCTCTGGTTTCAATGACACTACAAAAGACGAGTGGAAATGTGATTGCGTGGGAATTGCTGCAAGATCCGAAACAAACGGCCGAAGATAAAGCGACCAGTACGGGTATTAACTACTCGACCTATTTGCGGGAACGAGGCAATCTGTTTACCAATACCACCAAGGGTCAGTACATTCATAGTGGCGTAGAACCTCCAAAGAAGAAACGAAGCAGACCTACTACTACTGTTACATCTACAGAGAATGACGACTTGTCCAGCCAACCCGGTGGCCACGGGGACAAACAAGCCAAGGTCATGCGCACGCGGTTGTTTGCGCAATGGTTACTCGATGTCTTTGGAAAAGACTTGTTAGCGCAAGGATCGGGGGTCTTGGATGTGGCAGGTGGCAAAGGACAACTGTCTATTGAATTGGCATGTCAACACATACCATGCACCGTCATTGATCCATTGATTCGAAAAAAACAGTCTACTACTATTAGTAGCGATAGTAATAATGGATTTCCCGTCAAGCGAGATGCCAAACGAGTTCGCAAAGCCGGTGGACCCATGCCACGACATTTGCCAGCCTTTTTCAATCAAGAGGAATTCGTACAGCAATATGGAAAACGAAAGAAGAATCAACAGATACAACCCAAGTCAAGCTCCACCACCACAAACTCGCAAGAAGTGTCCACGGAACCATCACATGACATTAACCCACAACAACTCAATGATGACGATGACGATGACGACAATTACTTGATTGAAAATTGCAGTTGCTTGGTGGGACTGCATCCGGATCAAACCACTCAAGACATTGTCGAAATGGCATTGCGCTTTCAAAAACCAGTTGCCATGGTACCCTGTTGTGTCTTTCCATCATTCTTTCCCATTCGGACGTTGCACAATGGAACGAATGTCAATACGCATGAACAGTTTTGTGAATTTTTAACACAACAAGATCCATCCTTGCAATGTGCCACGTTGCCCTTTCAAGGACGAAATGTCGTCCTGTATCGAACGAGCTAGTGCATCATGTACGACTGCGACAAACACATGGTGATTAGTGGTGAAGCAAAAAGTTAGAAATGTGGTCCTGTATCGAACGAGCTAGTGCATCATGTACTACGACTTTTGCGTCGGGAAGAAGTTGTGATTGGATCAAGGTTGGCTTGGCTGGAAGGGACATGTGATTGCAGTGCCTTGTCCGTCAAGGGTGTGGAGCATAGCAAGGGCTGTTTTGCTTCTTCGTCTGTCCCTACAATGGTATCAATCAAGAAAATGGGCTCATCGCAACGGGAGCTTTGTAGCAGAGCAGATGCTTCGCTATGCATTGGTTTGCTTTGCATGTGATATGACAAACTGATGTTCGACAATGTACGTAGGTTCGTAGATTAGAAGAATTCAATCATTATACTAGATTGGCCTGGCCGTGCCATACAACAGCTCGAGATGTTGATCGGCTACCAGTAACTAGCGAACGAAACCAACTGGCCTTTCTTCTAGTTAGAATGATGATACATTGGTTGTTGGATCTGCCCTAATAGAATGCATGTCGACCGTATGTGCCAGAGAACGCGAACCCATGGTGCCGAAGCCATTCGACGAAAGTAAAATGTAACGGGGGTTTAGAGTACGGTAGTTAGAGCTTTTATGCGGGAAGATTATTATTACTACAGAGAGAACTGCTGACAGTCTACAAGTATTATTCACTAGCTATGGGTCTGGTAGATCAAGGTCTTGACGATGTGTACTTTGCGTAATACGGCTGAGAAACGAATTCGACCTTGAATCGGCAAGGTCAACCGGCTCGGGAAGGCCCCCCAAGATGTCACGCACTTCTTTTGCCCGTGCATTCAGGCCATCTGCGTCTGGGCGGTAGCCATGGTGTGATGGGCTTCTTGAAATGGTGTTCATGCCGTAGCCATGATGTAATGGGCTTGTTGAAATGGCAGTGTTGTTCATGACAAGTGCTCTTGGTGAATGAAGACGAAGGCTGGCGGGTGTACTCGCGGCGCGCTGCATGTGGGCGACGCTTGGGGATCGAAGTGCACCGATGCTGCTTGGGGAAGTCAAGTTGGAGAATCGAGGGCTTCTTGGCGACAGTATTGCTCCGTTTTCTTTGCTAGATAAGGGTGTCCCCAAGCCTCGTCTTAGCGCATTTGTGTGGCTTCTAATGATGCTTCGTTCGGCGGCTTCCTTGACTGATACACCTTCTTGCGTGCCTATTCTTGCTTGCTCTTCAAGCTGCTTGACGAGTGGGTACGGTAGCAATGGGTTAGAAGTAATTGCAGAAATGTCTGAAATGGTTTGTTGCGCAGACGAGGAAACGCTCAACAGCTTGCCCAAGTCGGAGACTAGGGCAGCAGGAGCTGAAGTCTTATCATCTTTTTTGGATTCCATAGGAGGCGGAGGCGAGTTTTCGTTGATTGGTGCTGGTGGTAGTGCAGGAGCAGGTGCCGGCCCAGGTCCAGGTGCCGCCTTGGGTGTCACCGCCTTGGGTGTCACCGCCTTGGGTGTGCCAGATTTCGCAACAGGTTTCACAGCAACAGGAGCTTTGGGGCTCTTGTTGGAATCGGCTGGATTCTTTGCTTGGTCTTTCCTTCTGCCCTTGAGATTGAAGCTAAGGCTGTTGACCCAACTTGAGGCTTGCGCGCCAATTGAGGCCTTGTGGTTTGTTCCCTTAACCTTCTTGGATTCCTTGTTGGGACTTCGTAGCTCTTTCTTCTCAAGTCGTCTCCCCGGGTCCGTTTTCCCCCGAGCCTTCGTCTTGCCTTGAGATTTTGCAGCAGCGGAGGCTTTGTTGTTTCCATGTTTCGCGAGAGTGGTCTCTTTTTTGGTTTGCGCGGCTTGCTTCGGCTTTTTCTTTCCCGCCTTGGCCTTGCCTTTGCCTGGTGATTTCATGTTTTGGGCTGGCTTGTTGGTTTTGCTTCCTCCTGGTGGTGACTTCATGGGAGTACTAGTGCCGGTAGTTTTGTTGGCTGGGCTCGGCGAAGCATGAGTTTGCTTCATGGGGCTAGCTTTGGTCGGGGAAGCCATGTTGGGTCTTACGGTCTCCATGGCAGTGACCTCAACTGTATCTTGTGTCAACTGCAATGCCATCTGAAGAGACGATTGTCTCTTCATAGGAATTCCCTCCGGAATCGCATTCTCTGCAATGTTCTCTTGCACCTCATCAGATTTGCCGTGTGATGCAGATTGAAGTGGCGACGGCTTGCCAGGCTTGGTTTGCGGTGGCAGTGTATTTCTTCGATGTTGATGTTTCTTGCTGTTGGGTGATGGCGAAGAAACCGGACCCTGTTCAGAAGTAGGACCTGGGGCACGTTTCTTTGGCGACGGGGTTCTTACACCACGCGCTTTGTTTTCGTCTCTCGATTTCTTCAAGGACGCCTGTGAAGACCGAACAAAAGGTTTAGCTTTCTGCTCCTCTCTCGTCTTTTTCAAACACGCCTGTAGAGACGAGTGTAGACTCTTTGGAACAACACTGTTGTTACTCGCCTTGTTTGCTGCGCTGTTGCTTCCTTGTTTCTCATCTGAAGTCTTCCCATTCGTTTTCGACTTCACGGCCGACTTCGCGGCATCTGAAGCAGCCTTACCGTCTGACGTTTCCCCGCCAGTTTCCTTCTTTTGGAAGATGCCCAGAATGCTTTTTCGCTTCGATCTGCCCTTTTTTGAGCTGCTCCCGGACAATATGGATGAAAGAGAGTTGCTAGCAACGGATCCTGTGTCCTTTGCATCTTCGATTTCACGTAATCGTGCCGATTTGGATTTTGCAGCCGGACTGGCTGGGGGCATTGGAACCACAGCAACTTGCGGACTTGATGATGTTGTGATCTTGATGTCGACTGCTGTCCGGGCTTGGCCTGATTTGCCTGTCGGGCTGGTTTTGGCTGTTCGCGGAGACGTCGGAATAGCAGCCACTCCCTGAAAGATATCGCTACCCACAGTAACCAATTCATTGATACCGCTGGTATCAAGAGTACTGTTGTTAATGCCGTGAGGGCTATTCTGAAAGCTCATTTGGAAAGCGTCCGACGAAGCCCTGGCTTTGATGGCATCTTCCATAGTATGCTGATGGATCGGAGAATATCGACTTCGCATCTCATTAAAATTGCTGGCATCGCTGCCTGGTGTGAACACTGTAAGTGGCTCTATGGCTTCTTCGTCGTCGTCGTCGTCGTCCATCACTGTGTAGCGATCATCGGCGTCGCCTTCGTCAGAGGAACCCATAGAATGAGACTGCAGCACTCTGACATCAAGATTCGGCTGTGTTGTTTCACGTGATGCTTCTGCGTTCTGCGCTCTAATGACATTCTCGATGGACTTCTTTTTCTTTTTGGCAGCAGCAGGAGGAGGAGGGGGTGGAGGTGGTTCATTGGCAGCAATTTTGCCGGGTGCATCGGCAAGGGGTGTCCTTTGCTGTTTGGGCTCTTCTTGTTGCTGGTTGTTGTTGTTATTGTCGTCGCCTTTGTCATCGTTGCCTCCTTTGTCACCTGTCGTTTCGTTGTCCGTCTTTGCTGGACCATTGTTGTGATTTTGACTGTTGGTATCACTGAGATCGCTCAACACGGGACCAATGATGCGAAGACGATTGGTGCTGGCATCATCATGGTCGCGATGGTGAGGCATTTTCTTCCCCCGGAGACGACGGAGGAAGCCGGGACCTTCTTCACCACTTAAAGGCGGAATACCGCCATGTGCTCGTTTCCTGGCAAAGTTTAAGGATAGCCGTTTCTTCTCGTGCTTGCGAAATACTGGAGGTGGCGGTGGGGGCGGTGGAGGTGGTGGAGGAGGAGGCGATGGCGATGAGGCATCCTTTGTCGGGTGGGGAGGTGGTCGAGCCCCTGTTGGCGTTCCGGTTTGTGGTGCTTCCAGTGGCTTGCTATTAGTATTGTTGTTGTTGTTTGCAGTAGTACCAATAACAGGTGTGGTTACTTCCTCTGGCGGCCTACTACGAGTACTAGTCGGCTCATCCTCAGGTTGCACGCTCTTGCCTCCAAAACTCATATTGATGGTCAACTGCTTGCGTTTGTTGGAGGACATGTTCATGATTTCATCCATTGGCGAATCCATAATTTCGTTGAGGGACGTCATACTGAACTCGTCCCGTGATGACATGTTATCAAAGGAATGAGACTCATCAAATCCCAAGGACGAGATTTCACCCAGACCAGATCCCTCATCCGACGACGACAGATTGTAGTACGATGTAACCCCACTTTTGCTTTGCTGCAGTTGCAGTTGGTAGTTTTGCAGAATGGAACGAGGATTGGCAACCGCTTTGGGTGCCATGGAAGAATCGTCCCGCACTTCTCCGAGATCGGGCAAAATGAACTCTAAATATTGCTTGGCCCGGAATACGTGTTCATCGGATGGGTCTCCTTCGTCATAGTCGTCCCCAGTGCTATAGTTGGTATCGTTCTGTAAAAGAATATTGTGAAAGCACTGCATGGCTGGATCCCCGGTCAACGCGACCGTATTGTTGGTCATGGTAGGAGTTTCAATCAAGGCGGCGATACTCTCGTTAATGACGGAATGGTGCATATCGCCAGTGCTATTGGTCAGGGCCGAAGCCGAAGCTGTGCTGGCAGCATTGGCAGGAAGTTTGACAGAAGGAACAAGCTGCGTCAATTTTGCGTCGGCAGCCCTGAAAGCTTCTTCTTCTCCCTTGACTTTGGCGTCCGTGAGCATGGCAAGAAGTTCCGGAGTCTTTTCTTGTTCAATCAAGAGACGTGCCTTTCCTGCTTCCGTAAAGGCGTCCATGGTCAAGCGATCTCGATTGACCACAGTGACATCCCAGTCCAAGGCGTGATCGAGCAACGCCCGTGCCTTGAGCGAGCGGTGTGCAGCTTGTCGATACCGTTCCATGAGAAGATCTCCATTAGTCGGTACCAACAAGACTTGTTGCACTCTTCGCCCGGGTTTCTGATTGTTGCTGCTTCTCGAGGACCGCTTGCTATGTTGATCGTCTTGTTCATTATTATTATTGGTTTGCCTTGCCTTGTTGTTGTTGTTATTGTCACCGCCAGTGCCACCGCCACTGGATGCTTTTTGTTGTTGTTGCAGCTCTTCAATGAGCATGATCTCTTGTCCTTCCTCCACAATTTCTTCGTCGGCGGATTGCCGCTTTCGACTATTTTTGCGAAAGTCTCTTCGGGATCTGGATCTTGACCTGGATTTAGATCCTCCTCGTCTGGACCGGCTCTTGGACCTCGATCGGGAGCGCCCCTTTTCTCGTTTCGACGAAGCGTCCTTGCGACGGCCACGAACCACTTCTTCCGCCATTGTGGTTTACCTCGGGCGGGGGGCTTCTTGTTGAATGAATTGAAGATATACCGTACTCAGTTAGCTTGTTAGTTTGTTGTCTTGTCTTGACTGCTACTGCTACCTATTGCGCCACTCCAGTTGCACTCTTGCTAGTGGCAACGCAAACCAAAGTCATGCAGTGGCAAGTCTCATCCAAGCTCTTGTCCATCTGGCGATGATGTCGTTCCCAGAAAAAATTGTGAACGGTAGATTTGGCACAAGCAGTTTACACCTCGCTGGTGAAAAGCATAAATCTATGGGGAGAAGCCGCATCAAAGATATTAACAATATGGTATCTCAAACGTGGATACGAAAAGGCTGGCATCTAATTACACAACGAGAGGTGGCCGATCTTTCCACAGCAACAAGATCGTGAGCGTCGCCGCCAAAAGCCACACTGATCACTGATCACCCCTCCCTCCTCCTCTGGCTTCTCCTAGCTACCAGGTACGATGTAGCGGTTCTCAGCACAGGACATCTTTCTCTAGAGGTACGAAGTAGTACGGTAGCTATCTACTTCGATTGAACACTATTTAGTCATCTCATACTGGTGATCGCAGTAGAGACAGAGATGTTAGGAAGTGAGGTTTGGTACTACACTTACGTTCAGTTTCGCAAGCTGCAGCTTAGACAATCGAGTTCTCTACTATAGAGAGTTGACGATCACTAGACTAATCAGCATACCAGTACGCACTCCTGCTTGAATTAAACCTTGGAAGAGGTCCATTATTCTAGCTAGAAGAAATCAAAAAGGACCAAGACTCCCAAGCAAACCAAGAACCAGCTCTATCCAACGATCCCTTGATTGGAAGAACAGGGCACTACACTACTACTCCACCATCTTCCGCCTTGCTGCAACCGCATCCACCGCAAATCTGGAGCGGGTTTTTGTGCCTCAGAAGAAGACAAAGACGATGAGACGGTGAGATCAGAGCCCGCTTGGCTCGACTCGAGGACGACTCGACGGACTCAGCTTGCATACAAACTCTCAGCTCTCAGCTCTCATCAGCTCCTGCTCAGCTCCAAGCTCCAAAAGAGAGGGGCCAGAGAACCGAGATCCGAGATATTATGGGATGAACTCGCTGTCCTGTGTGCATGTGTCGACACTGGCTCATTGTTTTGTTTCTACCATTCGGCAGGTACCGGTACCAGTTGCCAAAACAGAAGGTGATCAAGCGACAAGCAAGAAGGGGAACGGAAGAGCAGAAGGGCCAGCTTACCCATAATTATTCACATTCCCTGCTGCTACTTCCGACATTCAGACATTCAAACGCTTTGCAATTAGATATGTGCATCCTTAATGTACTGTAACAAGGTACTGAGGGCTGAAAGCTCTTAATGACCCATCCACGTCAGAGCAGGATGACATTAAATAGTTCGACTCGTCTTTAACTCTCTGCAATGACCTTTGCTCTGTCTTCTGCTCTTCGCACATTAAATATTTAGACCCGTCGTTAAAGCTCTGTAATGACCCTTCCACCGCCTACGAACCGTAGATTGTGTCGATTTGGAACTGACACTTTCCGAATTGGGCAGTTAATTCGATTTCACGAACGTACGAACAGTATTTTGGCTGGATAGTGGATAGGACCGGTCCTGAGTATTAAAATAAGAATACAAGAACCAATCTTTACGTAGTACTAGTTAGTAAACCATGTCCCACAATCTACTATCTACTACTGTAATAGAACTCCGTATGCATGGATCATGGATGCATACATGTAATCGGTAAACTGTGTAAAGTGATTACTGCCAGTTCACGTCATCCTACCTTTTACAGCTGTTCCAAGATTCTCCTTACAGTCCTCTGAATCGCGCCTGTCTTCTGCAAGTCCGGCACTTTCTCATCACTTCCAAGGTTTAAAGCTGCAACGAAGCAACACAAAACTTACCCGTTCGACAAACGATTGATTGATTAGAAGGGTATACTAGTATATACGACTGTACTTCCAACACTACCAGCCTTCATGACAATGTTATCTTCGTTGGGGTATTCCAAACCACCAGCCACCAATCGACGCAAGTCCGCATCCGATGCCTTGGATATGAGCAAGGGTGTCAAGTCTCGCACGTTATCGTTGGGGGGAAGCTACAACTATCGAACTCGCGTCAAGGCCGATCAAGAACCCTTTAGCGTCAATCTCAAGGTGTTTGATCGACAAATTCAAACTCTCCGGGAAGTTTGTAGAGATGATGTGGATCAGATCTTTCAGGAACAAGTGTGGGGCGCCATTCGCGGGGAGTTGCAAAAGATCCACGATTCTCATTCGAAGCATCAACCGTATCAGCAGCCTCTGTTGGACGAGACCACCGTCACCAGGCGTGTCCGGGATGCGGACTATATTCGAAAGTTGGAGAGGACGATTCGCTCCTTGCTGCTGCCGTTGAATGCTCTGGCTTGGGCCGAAAAGTTACAGGTCCATCCTGATGTCATCTTGACAGAATTCCTCTATGCCGCTGCCTCTGGGATTGTGGAAATGTGGTGGGGACCGGAATGCAATGGCTGCGGGGGCGCCACGGTCAAAGAAAGTTCCTTGCAAGATATTGCCATGGAACAAACCTGCCAAAACTGCGGCTGGCTCAATCAGACCAAAACACTCGATGAAATAAAAGTGCAGTTTGTGCTTCACGAAGATATCCTCTATTTGCCCAATCTACTATTTGATTTCCCGGATCAGACAGATGCACCCAAAATGTCCAAATTCTGTTTTGGACTCTATGCTCCACCGACTACCAATGGTACCAAGTGGGCTTATGATTTTGGATTGGAGGAGGAGGAGGAGGAGGAAGCAAAAGAAGAAAAGGAGGATCCCATTCACATGCCATCCAAACCTGCTCTCCAACCAGGGCGATATCGCTTTCATTGCTCCTATTCCCGAGTCAACGCCGACATTGTCGTGGAACGACAAGCCACAACACATGATGAAACCATTGAATTCAATTTTATCGCCACAGAACAGACTTGTCCAGCCCGATACGGATTGCCTCGAACGGTATCCTATTTAGAACACGGCAAAGTCTCTCTCCAGCTTTTGGCCGATGTGGCCAGTGTCATGAACCCCTTGGTGTTTTACAACTTGACCCAAGAGGACGAAACCATCTTTTTCCACAAAGACAATGCTCCCTACATCACTGCCACTCAATGTCTCCATCTGGCATGTTTTGGACGACTATTTGGAAAACAAGTCGTCTGCGATGCCTGCCAATTTGTCATTCAGCGAGTCACTCTGGTCTTTACCGATGTGGTCTCGTCCACCCAACTATATTCTGATGCGGGAGATGGACTAGCCTTGAACTGTGTCAAGGAACACTTTCAAGTGTTGTTCCAAGCATTCACAAAGCGAGGACGAATCGTCAAGACCATTGGAGATGCCGTCATGGGGGCGTTTACGTCACCCAAAGCAGCCTTGTTGGCTACAGCACAAGCCCTGGACGAGATGCAGCACGTCAAGAGGCCTTGTGGTGGCATTCTACAAATTCGAATTGGAGTGCATTCGGGGCCGGCTCTCATGGTCTCCCTCAATGGGACCAATGACTATTTTGGTTCCACTGTCAATATTGCGGCTCGTGTGGAAAGCCAAGCACACGGTGGAGAAGTGTTGGTCTCACAAGCAGTCTTGGAAGACCCTATGGCCAACGAATTGTTTGAAGAATTGGCCGAGGAAGGTAGGTTTACGCGACAAGTTTCCTTGGAGCTCAAAGGGGTCGATGGCCTGGTGATCGCCATGGGTTTTGGTCCCAAGAGAGATTCAGAATCAAGTTCCTCGACTAGCAGCACTGCTAGTATGAGCAGTCATGTCGTGGAGAATGGTAATGAAGACACGGCAACGGTCATGCTTAAATCACGGGGAGTTGGAGGGTCCAGAAAAGAAGCTATGCAGCAAGCATCGAAGCAGCTGCAGCCAGCAAAGGCCAAATCATCAAGAAAGCAGATAGGCGGATTGTCACAACGAAGGTCTGAGAAAGAAAATGGCGAGGTTTGGGTGTAGAAGGAGCAAACCTTCCTGGGGTCAACTTTTCAAAGGCAGGTGTGATCAGAGTGCGGGCGTTAGGGCTTCCCAATGTTGCATAGTACATACATTTAGAACTTCATTTGACATATGTTTATTCGAATCTTCAATCCCAGCCACAACGTAATCTAGTGGGAAGGATAATCACAAGCTCCTAGTGGAGGCTAGCCAAGATTCAAGTCCAGGGGTCATTGCCAAAAGGAGAGCCAAACCAGGGAGACCAAGGATGAGAAAATCCCAACACTAGCTCCTAGTGGAGGCTAGCCAAGATTCAAGTCCAGGGGTCATTCAAGTCCAGGGGTCATGGAGCACAGCCAGGGAGAATGCCAAAAGGTGCAGGGAGATTGCCAAAAGGAGCAGTCAAACCAGGGAGACCAAGGATGAGAAAATCCCATTTGGAGCACAGCCAGGGAGAATGCCAAAGGAGCCAGGGAGATGGAGCACAGCCAGGGAGAATGCCAAAGGAGCCAAGGAGATCAGGCAGCCAGGAACAGGGACAAGTCCAACCAACCACCAACAGGGACCTTGCAAAAAGGAGCAGGGCCAAGAGGGGGCCAAGAGGGAGCCAAACAGGATCAGGCAGCCCAGGAAAGGGACACAGGATCAGGCAGTAGGGCAGAAGAAAGGGCAAAGTATGCCAAAAGGAGCAGCCAAACCAGGGAGACCAAGGATGCGAAAATCCCAATCACTAGCTCCTAGTGGAGGCAAGCCAAGATTCAAGTCCAGGGGTCAGGAGCACATCAGCCAGGGAGAATTCAAGTCCAGGGGTCAGGAGCACAGCAGCCAGGGAGAATGCCAAAGGAGCCAGGGAGATTGCCAGAAGGAGTGGAATGATGATGCTGGTGGGTTGGCTGGTGTTGGTTGATGACAATGTGGATTCTGGCATGACATTATCAAGCGACCAGCATTGCTCTGCTCAGATATAAAAATGAGGATGAGACTGTGGTCTACGGTTCTGGCATGGCATCACGGGAAGCAAGGCACCGCCAATTTGGTTGGTGAAGCTGAGGGCGTAGGGTTGGTAGGTGGGAGCTCGAGCCAAGGTCTGTGTGTACCGGTAGGATATTTGTTGGTGGGGCTGACTGTAGGGGTTGGTTGGCAATGAGGATTCTGGCATGACATTATGGGAAGGAAGGAACCACCAGAGACAGTGAGCAGCACAGGGGACCATCAAGCGACCAGCATTCTCTGCTCAGATATAAAAATGAGGATGAGAAGGAACCACCAAGAGACAGTGAGCAGCACAGGGGACCATCAAGCGACCAGCATTGCTCTGCTCAGATATAAAAATGAGGATGAGACTGTGGTCTACGGTTCTGGCATGAGATCACGGGAAGGAAGGCTGGTGGGTTGGCTGGTGATGATTGATGACAATGAGGATGATGACATGACGGGAAAAGAATCAGTCAATCTTGATGATGATGATGATGATGGCAATGTTGATACCAGTACTGATGGCATTGGATGATGGCATGGGGTTGGGAGTAACAAGCCAAGCTTGATGTCGGCGACGGCAATGATGATGATGATGATGGCGATCAAGCTGAGCGTGCTTGAATGAGACGTAAGATACTGAAGATGATGATGGTGATGTCGTCGACATGTGAAAGGTAGCAGCCAAACTTGCTGGCATCACGGGAAGGAACCGCCAACACGCCAAGAAACAGTGAGCAGCACAGGGGCACCATCAGATGGTCTACTGGCCTGGTATGACACACGGGAAGGAACCACCGACTGACTGACCGACCGGCGGTAGAATGGGCATTGTTGGACAGGAAAGCGGGTGGGAATCTGGATGGCATCATGGTGATCGACTCGACTTGACGTGATAATGGATGGTTCTGGGCTCAAATGGAATGGTAGCATCGGCCGACAAGCAAGATGGATGGATGGATTCGTGATGATTGTACTGGGCTCGAGCAGCCGCAAGAGCACGGGGGAAGGTGTCATGGTCATGGAAGGATGGATGGATTGTCGAAGGAGAAGTACGGTAGAAGAATGGAGCAGCCGCAAGAGCACGGGGAAAGGCGTCATGGTCATGGAAGGATGGATGGATGGATTGTCGAAGAAGAAGTACGGTAGAAGTTGTTGTGTCGAAGAGGCATAGCTTTGTTTGTTTTGTTTGTTGGATTATCCATTTTGTGAGGTTGTGTCAGAAGATAGAAGAAATGGCAAACTTTTCGTCTTGGTTTCTGTTCCGCGAAAAGCTTTTGAAGATCAAACGTTTTGATTTCAAATCAAACTTGCAAGGCCTGTACGTAAGCGATGTGATTGGCTCCTCGATGATTGTTTCGCATTCTTGCTTCTGTTCAGCAATAGCTTTTGAAATCAAAATCAAAAACCATGGTTGCGAAACTCATCGTCAACGCAATTGAAATTGGCAGAGTTTTTGAAACCGCCGTTTCATTTTCTAAAATAAGTTTGATTTTGATTTCGAATGATCAAGCGCCAAAATGGTCGTCGTTTCCTTGTTTCTTTCTTTGTGGTTTCAAAGCATCATTTTAAAACTACATACCACGTGTATCAAACATAAAAGAAGGGTTTGGTTGGTTTTGAAAGAGTTTGGAAGGGGTCGTTTCATTTTGATTTCGAATGAGCGCCATGGTCGTCGTTTCTACTTCAAGCTTTCAAAGGATTTTCAAAATTTCCACGTGGAACACAGATGTCATTCACGGGTGTCATCCTTCAATCACGGATACTGACGAAAGATTCATTCCGTCTGGCCGTCTCCATCCCCAACCTCCCTCCAAACCACGAAACGTGAAGCTTTTCGCTCCTCATTTTTTCTTGTCACCACCAACAATCTCACAGTGTTGCTTGCTACCGTACCCCCACCATTCCAACAAAGGCAATCCAGTATCTAACCAACCAACTATCTAACTATCTAACTAGCTAACCAACCATGTCTACGAGCAACAAGGAACCGATTGCATCGTCCGGAGCCCTCCTGGAGGGGGATACTGTGGACCGGACCATTCTGAAAGCCGCTCCGTTGGCCAAGGACAACCCGGTCAGTGCCAATCCGCACATTCCGTCCGTCTCGGCGTCGGCCGTACTCGGCGAGAGTTCGACCATGCCGGAAGGATCCACGCAATGTCGAGGATTTGATTTTAATAGCACGCTCAACAACACGAGTAAGGATGTATTGGAGGGACTCTTGAAAGCATTCACCACCACGGGATTTCAAGCGTCCAACGTGGGACTCGCCGTGGAACAAATTCGTCGGATGCGCCAATGGCGCTTGAGCGATACGGAATGGAAAGAAGGAGACGATGAAGCTCTCAAGCCAATAGAAGTTCGACAACGGATTCGGGCCCGTATTTTTCTCGGTTACACATCGAATCAAATATCGTGTGGCCAACGCGAAGTTATTAAATTCTTGGTCCAGCATAAAATGGTCGATGTCCTCGTCACCACGGCAGGAGGGATTGAAGAAGATATCATCAAATGCTTTGAACCCACATTCATGGGAGATTTCAAATTGAATGGACGGGAGTTGAGGAAAAAGGGAATTAATCGAATTGGAAATTTGTTGGTAAGAAATACACACAAGACACTGTACTTTTTGGAGGGTCTAAAACTCATTTCTTGATCCATTCATTCATTAGGTCCCCAACAAGAACTATTGTGACTTTGAAGACTGGATGTCCCCTCTCATTGACAGTATGCACGATTACCAGGACCAACAATGGAAGGAATGGGCTCAAAAGAAGCAATCAGCCAATAACAATGGCGACGATGATGACGACAATACACCACCGTTTGTTTGGACACCTTCCAAAGTCATTCGCAAAATGGGGCTCGCCATAAACAATCCCGACAGTGTCCTCTATTGGGCGGCCAAACACAACATTCCCGTATTTTCACCCGCACTGACCGATGGATCGGTCGGAGACATGCTCTACTTTCATTCCTACAAACGACCCGGATTTATTCTGGATACCAATCACGATATTCGTGCCATGAACGATTTGGCCGTACAGAGTCATCATACGGGCATGATTATTCTCGGCGGCGGATTGGTCAAACATCACATTTGCAATGCCAATTTGATGCGCAATGGGGCCAATTTCGCAGTGTTTATCAATACCGGACAAGAATACGATGGCAGTGACAGTGGCGCATCGCCCGATGAAGCACTCAGTTGGGGCAAAATTGCCATTACGGCACAACCCGTCAAGGTGTGCTGCGATGCATCCATTGCCTTTCCACTCATTGTCAGTCAAACGTTTGCCAAGAATGTCGACGAATGGAAGGAGCAGACCAAAGATACCGTCTGTTGGATTGATGATTTGGATTCGACAACATCCACTACAACTACATCGTAATTTGTTATTACTAAATCAAAGGGTGGCTTGTCGGGATCATGAAATCGATAGTCACCAAAAGGAACCGAGGGCAAGAGAAAGAATCCTCGACGCCGTGATAGACACAGAAACCGTACTAGACCATGGGATTCTTTTGATTCTCTTCTACTAGCTAGTATTTTAAAAAACAAATTTTGACTAACGGCGACCCAGACTACAGAACTTTTGGTAGGAATCTGTGGGTTCCGCGTGTGCCTTCCAGCCACACAAAAGCACAGCTCGTGGATTGTGGCTCTTCTACCTGGACTATTGTTGAAGGCCCATGGACTCATTCGGAGGGACAGTGTAGGGCGCTTCGCGAGGAGCCAGAGTGCGAATGTACCGCATTTGTGTGGAGATGGGAGGGCCATGATTTCCGATTTGAAGAACCAGGTCATCACCGTCCCGTTGGATAATGCGATGGGCTTCCAATGGGAGCGTATTGTCTTGGATGTCTCCGCCATTGGCATAGACAATATCACCGGTTCGATAGGGAACATCGCCAGCCAAAAGGCGGTCCTTCATCATACGGGAAGGTCCCAGCCATTCTTGATCACCATCGGCAAACCGCACCAGATACCGGTTAGTGCTATTTTGGGATGGTGCCTCTTGCTTTTCCATAATGGTACCGGGATACCAGAACGCATCACTGGACCAATTTCCCAACAAGGCATCTCCCACATTCCAATCGTCTTCCAAGGGACGATCAAACGTCAGCACTTCCGTGCCAAAGGCACCATCGGCTGGGACATTGCAATAGCGGCCCCTCATGGTTCGTTGTGTGTTGTCAGTATTGGTTTCCAGTGTATAAACACTGGCGTAGACCAAGGGAATCTTCCAGGTCACAGCAATGGTGTTGCCGGAACGCAGACCGGCTCCAATGTAGATTTGGCCATTCAAATTGCATTGCACCGAAATGGTTTCGCCAAAGGTCCGGAACACCGTGTGTCCACCATATGACCCACTTCCTTGTCCTTGACAAAGGTAGTAACCATCAATATCTGAGCTACTCACGCCCAGTAGACTTTGTTGGACAGCTGGCGGTGCCGGTTCTAGCCCGAGTTTGTCGCGTCTGATGTCTATGTATATAGCAGAGAAGGAACAAAAGGCAAATGATTCATCAGGTGAGTAAAAGTATGACATGCGAAAAGCGGAGTATCTTTGGGAAAGTGGGACAGCAGAGGGTACTCACTGGCCATGGTTCTTCCTTCTGGTATGATGATGTCTTGAGTTTCTTTCTTGCTTTGTTTAGTGCTGCGATCTTTTTTGTGGGCGGGACGCTTTGAAGTCAAGTCTTGTCTCAATCGCCCTTTCCCTTGACTTTTACTATTTAACCTTACGTACCGGTACTTCGAGACGTGCTTCCAAAGTTATCAACCCGCTGAGCTGTAATCCTTCCAACGACACCGGTACATGTGCTTACCGGTGCATTACCAGGTACCAGGTACCGCCTTTGCACGAACGCTGATCTAGCTAGATAGCTGGGTAGCTAGGGTGAATTGCCACCTCCATGCTTGGCTTCCCCGTGAACTTTGCTACAACACCAGGCATCCATAGCAACCATTGACCAGGCCCACCGCACAGATGGGTGCTCGCTGCTTCCCCTTGCGGTCTTTCAGTTGTCCTGCATCAGCATGGCCTCCCAGAGGACCCGATGAAGATTTGATGCGGGCATCCTTTCTGGTCGGTTCATTTTGCTTTAACTAAAGATCTGGCTTCATGACATCAATTTTGCACATTGGAAGTAAAAAATAAATTGTTCTTTTAAAAGGCTATTTGACTACATAATATACCGCACGGCGCCGTAGAGGACCATTGGAAGTAGATTTGGTTGCTCTGGTCACCAAAGATTCATCGTGTTCGTCTGCAACGACGTCTGTAGCTAGATCCTTGGCTTGCTTGGCAAGTGTGGCTACTTTTTCACCTGAGGGAAGGTCGTCTCTTGGTTTGACGATGTATCTGGTGTTGCTGTAGTATGAATCACTGTGCCCGGATTGAGTGCACAAGAAAGAAGTTTTAGTAAATGCGAGGACACACCAATGCAAATTGAAATCTCCAAGTCTCCTTACCTGCAACCAGCTGTGACGCCCATGCTGTCGAAGGAAGATACACATTCGTTACTGTTGGAATCAGCATAAAGGATTCCATCGTTGTCAAAAGCAAACTTCTTGTTGAAAACATTGGCATCAACTTCTTCACACTTTCCAGCCCTTATAAATTGAATTGGGGCCCACTGTGGGTCTGGTGCATAATAGAAGCAGTAGCCTTGCTTTTCATAATTGGCTGGCCGAAGTTGCTTTGTAGGTTCATCATAGGTGAAGAACTGGTTGAGATCATTCTTGTCGCAAGGATTCACATTGATTCCTTCGTTATCATCTTCTGTGATTGCTGATGACAAGCAAGTGTTATCATCAGCATTGATGAGCTGAAACTGAGAAGTTGAGTCTTTCAAACCATGTGGTAGGCCTTTGATTTTCTCAACTGAGTGGACGGGCATTGCTAGAATAGGAATATCTTCTCCTTGAATTGGATAAAATCTTTGCTTGTGTTCAGTTGAGTCGCAATCAGATAGCACAACGCGTCTCATCTCATCTGCAGTGACGCAGAAGTTGTTGCCATCTTGAAGTTGGCCTTCCTCACTAAAGAGGAAGGTTTTGTCTTGTAGATTATTTTGTTGCAGGCTTCTATCACAGAGTCCAGCTTTGATGTACGGGTAAGGGACTGTGTCCTCATTGCCACTCAAGTTGTAGAAGTAGCACCAATCATCGTAGTGGCCTGAATGGAGCTCCTCAGTCTTGGAGTTGTAGGTGAAATACTGAGTGGGATCCTCGGAATCACAAAGAGAGGTAAAAACACCTCTTTCATCGGGTAAGATTTTGGATGAGAGGCAGTTGCCCTCTCCATCGGCAAGTTGGAATGCACAGGTGGGGTCATCTTTCAACTCTAACGGGGTCAGGACGAGGGCATTGTCGATTGCGTTGGCCGCTTTTGCACCGTTTGTGCAGGGAATCGCTGCTAGGAGAGTTGCGATAAGGACGAACTTCATTTTGGAGGTCACATCGAATAGTTTGCAGAAAGCTGTGTGTCGACGAGTTCGAAGAAAGGGTTTTCGTTTTGTTCCGGTACCAGTGCCACTGTTTCTTGTTGAGCAGATCAAACCAACGGTCATTGGCGACTCGAGCTCAGAGTACATAGCCAAATTTCTTAATTCTAAAATCGGTCACTCTTTTGCAGCTCTCTTCTTTGCTGAAATCGCATGAGCTTTCTTGTAAGTGGAAACTTGTTTTTGGTGTGAACAAGCAAAGTGGGTGAGTGAGGACTGGGAGATTTTGTCAGTAACACTTGCTCCTGTAGCTTCCAAGCAAGCGACGTCGTACAAGCATGTCGTCGAGATGCACAAGCATGTCGTCGAGATCCACAAGCATGAAGTGCCTCCACAGTCCAAGGCCGAGCGGGGATGTACTAGCTAGTAGTTGCTCGAGGCTCGAGGCATGTTGAAGCTTTTGGAACAGTCGAGGTACGGTACAGTGCCTGTACGGGGGTGGAATTCAGGGGGCATTCTTATAAATCATTTATAAAGTTTTGCGCCCCCACATTTGAACCCGCCCGCTCAAAAGGGCCAAAACAGGGTCTTTCGCATCCTTTTTGTTTGTGTGCTTGACCATTGCTTGGGAGGCCCAACAGGAATATGACATCAACACGCTTGGCTCTCTTGTCATGGAGTTTCGTTCGGTGTGGCATCGCACTTCGAAGTGTCTACCCAAGGGCATGCCAAATAGTTTGTGCGTATCAGGTTTGGCTGGTTGGCAGATTCAATCACTCATTCCCTGCTGTATGCTGCGATCTGGCGGCGTGGCGGCTAAAATTAAGCTTTTGTTTTACTGGCAAGGTTCCTCATAGAAAAAAGTGCCAGCTCCTGCTTGCAAGTGTCACAGATGGGCTTGCCTTTAGAAAGGTATTGTTGGATTCACCCACATATTTTGCGTGCATTGTTCTGTGCCCGGTGTGGACAGACACGAGCATGACGGTACCAGGAAAGAACCAAAGTTCTAACTAATGTTCCACTAAGTTTCCTTTTGTTACGTTTGTTTGTCCCCCGCAGCCGTCGAGACTTTACGCAGCGTATCTATCGCGGCCGGAGGCCACGTGACGACCTTTGTAAGGTACTCTTTCTGTGTGAATTTCTCGCGCTGTCGATCGGGTATCTCTAGGTACTTGCGTTGCGCGGCAATTTGATCTCCCTTTGCGGCCAGAAACGTCGCATAGGCAGCTCGCACTTCCGGTGCCTCTGGGAATCGATTATCGACCCGCTTCAACAAGTCAAACCCGCCCTGGACGTCGCCGAGCTGCAGCTTTACCAGGGCCGACCTCAACCAAAACGGGTTGACTTCATTTGCGGTCATGCTGATTGCCAAGTTGTAGTCACGGTCGGACTGCGAATAGTAGCCATTGACTTCCCGTGCTCGAGCCAAGTTTTGAACAATGATGGCATCGGGTCGGCCTGTGGACATGGAAAACAAGCATAAGATGGGCAATGCAGGCACCGGTTAAAGAAAAAACTGGACTATATACCTCGCAGAACACTGGAACTCTCCAAATCGTCGAGTGCCTCCTTGGGTCTTCCATTGTTAAGACGAAGGCTTCCTCGATTGAGTAGCAATACCGAAAGATCATCGCAACGTTTGATCCCAAATCCTTTCTCGGTTCGTTCTAGGTTTTCTCGGCAAAGATCAATGGCCGTGCTGTAGGATGATTCTGCAGGTTCAAGATCACCCAATGCCACTGTTTGATAGATGGATAGATCGTGAAACAAGCAAGTATGGATGAGTGTGAGCTAAAATAGCTTAATTGTCGTAGATATTGCGAGCCTTCTACTTTACCTTGTGTGTTTCCCAAGTTGCTCCATCCATAAATGAACTTTTGTTTTTAGTCACAGACAAGCAACGAGGATCAGTCGAGGCGGCATCAACATTCAGCCACTGTTTCTTCTTTCTTACCCTAGCAGCAAGAGGAGAGAGGAGAGAAGCAAGCAATCAGGGCAAATTTAGGTTTCGACTGAAGTAGCTTTCGAATTTCCACCCAACAAGGCTTACCGTGGCTCAATCTTTGTGACTTTGGCGTATAGACGCTGAGCAGCGGCCATGTTTCCTTGCGACTCAAACACTCGTCCATCATTAAAGAGCTGCCGATAATTAACGAATGGTTACTAAAACAATGATTTGAAAAAGCGAGCTTACGGGGGGCAAAAACCATATCGCGTACCTTTTTGGCATCACCAGATAGATTGGCGGATGGCGGTTCCTCCAAACCAACCGCTTCTTCCGCAAATGACGGTTGAATGTTCTGTGTCAACACAATGGAAGCCACGGTGGGCACCAGCTTTAGAAACGACCGACGATCCTTATTTTCAACACCGCATTGTTGCCCCACGGACTCTCTTCCACCCACGGACCAACCATTGACAAGCCTTGGCGTCCAGGGTACCAGCAGGCAGCCTGCGATCAAGAGGTTGGAGAGGCCCATCTTTTTTTAGGTTTGTTGTCAGATATCCTTTGACAACCAACTGTTGTACCGGCCTCCAGCTAGCTAGCTAGTGGAATGGGTTGTCATCGGTGTGTGGCTTTGCCGTTGCTTTCGGATCTTTGGTTCTACCAGTAGTAGTGTGTGACGTGTTGGCGGCAACATTGAGTCGAATCCCGTTTGTCCATCATCGTAAAATTCAAAAACGCTTGGTGGTTCAATACAGCTCTCCCAGCTTTTTGGCTCACAAGTGGTCCAAGCCCTACGAAAGGGCCCGAAATCAGGATTTTAAGAATCCAATTGGGGGCTTTCAGAAAGGTAGTTGACTTGTTTGGGCAGATGAGTAGATTTAACCGACGAGCCGTTAAAGACTTATAAGTAGAGCAAAATATCAATAATGACCCTATTCAATTAATCAACACAGTCCCCAGAAACCATGTGGTTGCGTTGACTTACTTGATTGAAGATTTAGAGGAGGTGAATATTCCTTTAAGTAAGATCTCCAAATCCATTGCCTCGCCCGTAAGGCAACCAGGGTAGGCAATTGACTTGGTTTTCCGGGTTCCTTGTGCGTTGAGGGCCCGTTGAGAAAGAGTGGCAGTTAAATTTATTTAAGCCCCATGACTTCTTCTCATCCGCCAATCCATTCAACCACCTTTCTGAAAGCACCCATTAAATTGATCAATTCCAAACCCAAATATAAAACCGAAACCTAAATACTACGGCTTCTAGATCAATTGACCCTACGATGAGAACACCTTTTTTGTGCTTATGGGCAAACATTTTCATGTCACAGAAAATGGGGCACAACCTCTAAGTAAATGCATCAAAAATGAAGTGGTAAATGTGCACGATTCCTTTTATTTAAAGGACCAGATTGAATCACGAGCTCGCGATTTTCATGTCACAGAAATTGATTTCGTCCCAGTAGTCTTTCTACATGAGGTCTACTGAAACCAATTTCTGTGCAATTTCTGTGACACGGGGACAATTGTTTTAGTAGCCGTAGTATAAAACCGAAACCAAAATATAAAACCGAAACCAAATTACTATGGTTAATAACTAGTAAAATCAAGCCGAAAACTAAATAAAAAATCGAAACCTAAATATAAAATCGAAAGCTAAATATAAAATCGAAACCCAAGTATGAAGCAGAATTACTTGTAAATCACGATTTCGGGCCCTTTCTACTCTGTGGTTGGCTCTTTCATCTCGGCCAGGTTGAGCATAGCTCTCGCCCGCGCCGCGACCCTGTGTCTCAGAGGCTCCCATGTCCCAGCTCTCAAGGTTTCCAAGCGTTGGGATGACCCTGGTGCCCTCGATCTCTTCCGCCAGTCTTGATCCTTCGCTCCTCCCTGCCCTCCCCCCTTTCCTTGGTTCCATGTTGCCCTCCTTGCGCACTTGATTGCTTGCCTTCCTGCATCGTGCCCTCCCCTCTCTGCCCCCATCCTCATCTTAGCTCTCTCTAACCCATAGTAACTTTCCCCGTATTCTATCTACATCGAACAAAGAAGCGCACCAGGTACTAGCTAGCCAGCAGAGAAAAAAGGAGTTCTACTAGAGTAGGGGAGCTAGCAAAGTAAATGGCCACTCTTCGTACCATGGTACGTGCATGCGAAGTCAATGGACGCTGTCAGATCCAACGCCCACCCGGGATGGAAGAGGACGACGGGGACCGTGAATCATCGTGGCAAAGAAGTTGCCACCCCCCGCTAATGGAACACTCTTTCTGGAGACGAGTCCATGAGTGTTGCATCGTTGAGGGGTGAAACAAAACAACGTTGCAACAAGGAATCCCGACACGCGGAGTGCTGCAGCCAGCCAGGATCCTGTTGGCAGTGGCTGGAGGGGAACAACCAATGATGGCAAGAAGTGTCAAGAGCGAAGAAAGTATCCAGCAAGAGAGGATTGCACCAGCCAAGAGCCATTCCAACGACTTCCAGAGTCATGGACAGATGGATGGATGAATGAATGAATGAATGGGGTACATGCTATTAATAGTTTAAAAAGTTTTTCGCTGTGGCTGAATCAATCTTGTTGGATGTGTGAAAGAGGAGAGAACCAAGTAAGTGTGAAAGGAGAGGAGGAGCGGACCAAGTGTCCAGACTTTCAAACACACAAGCTAGGATTCTTTGTCCAGCCCCTCCTATCAGAGCCAGTACTGCAGTTTCTGCTTTCCTACCGTAACTTGGCGGCTGGGCTGGATGCGAGTAGTGGGAGTTGCGCAGCTTGGTGTTTTCCCATCCAAGATAGATCTACCTCCCGCTTTTTGAATGCTGGTCTCACATCCCACCGAGCATCTGCATGTTGGATGCCTGCTCGGTTGTGTTGGGAAGAGGAGGGAGTTGTTTTCGATCCAAGATATTATATCTTGCTCCTTCTCGTTGCCCCGACTCCACGAGTAGAACCGATCAAGACGCATCACGCATCCAGCAGTGCTCTTCGGAATGCTCTGGAAATCAAAGATGGGGCCCTCGGGCGAATGCATCTTTCTATGGATTGGAACGCCCAACTTGTCCTGTCGGGCTATCCATCCTCTCGCTGCGGGTCGGCTCCTGCTGGACTTTTGGTACTGGCCTTGGGGTAAGTTAGGGTACATGTACTGTAGCTGGAACCAATACCGCTTCCGCTGTGTTCCGACACCTTTTGGGGTCGGGGAAGAAACGACCAGCATGGAGCAGCCATGTGAGTGATGTGTGTTGGAAGTGTACTAAAGCTGAATGGATGTAAACTAAAGCTCAGCTAACTGGTACTCAACAAAGTACCATCGAGACAGCCAATCCAGTGTGCTCTAAGTCGAACTTTACCACCCATAAGTAAGCCGTAACCAATGCTGCCGTTCCGTGTCTACGATCAGCCAAGATTGTCGGTCGTGGTCTGGCCGTTTGCAAACGGCAGGATTCTCTCTGGGAGTCGCGTGCATTAGAGAAGGCTTCACGTTGGGCTGTTGTGCATTCTTGTTTGTTAAATCTCCAGAGGCGACGTACACTCAATCATGTGCAAAACATAACTCTTCCATGTCGCTGGCTTTACAAAAAGAGACGCCAGTGAGGATTGACAAAATGTGTTCAAACACGAAGGCGATTGAACTGGGAACCGAATGCGTTGGGCTGTTGAGAGAGGTTTCGGATGTTTCCTTTGGCCTTGGGGCCTCCGAATCCCATAAAATTTGTTCCACTTGCACAAAATTTGACAGCAATCAATCTAGTGGTATTCACCTCTTGACTTACCATCAACAAAACAGCAGCAACACAGCAACACGATGAACCATTCTACCATCGTCGACAGCAGCAGCCTCAATACCAGTAGTATTAGTAGTCCCTCTCCCCGTGGTATCCGACGCTCCTTGTTACGCATGTCCATGATGACTAGTAGTCAAAACGACAACAACAACAACAACACTATGAATGTAGAACCTGCGGATTGCTGCGAGCGAATCCGAAGCCTGCGATCCGCCGCAGCTCTTCCACTGAGAGTACGAGATACATCCGCCCCGGATTCCGGCAAGGTCCCACACACCATCATTACCACCACAACAACTACTACTCGCAAAAGCCTTAGTGACTGCACACCGCAAAAACCCATGCGGGAAAACAGCGATCAAAAGCAACGCAAGACGCTCGCCCCCAAACGTCGCTCCAAGCCGCGTCGTCAATCCGGAATGCTCTGTCGTGGACGCAACGATCGACCCGATACCGTACGAAACATGATGGTCCTCATGAGGACCGATAGCGATCGTCGCATTCTGGTCAATACTCTGGAACGAAAACTACGACGAGTCGCCGCCGTGGCAGAGCAATAGATCTATCTTCCATTTCTTCTTTTCTTTCTATATGCTGAAAATGAACTAGTTAAAAACGTCAAATTTGGGAGGCAAACAACAAATGAGGAACACAAGGATCCTGGCTTGTCAAGTACACCACCCAAATGCAGCAATAGATGCCACAATGTATTATTTTATTTAAAAGTAAATAAATCGACATTTCTCCACACAAATCATATTTCCAATATCTAGGTAGCTGTAATGCAATAGCTACAGTAGCTAGCTCTGAGGTTTGGTCGGGCTACTAATAATAGGAGCTCGAGAAAATTGAAAGCAGGCAACTGAGAGTTCCCGTGCCAAAAAAGAACCCATGGGTGCGTCATGCACTCTGCCAAAGAGTTTCTGTGAGGTGGGAGGTTTGACCGCACCTCTGTCTACTAGCTAGCTAGAGCTACCGTAGTAGAAAAACAAGAGCTACCGTAGTGCATGTACATGTACCGGTAGTAGTAGTGTCGTCGATAAGGTATCTTTGAACCCCCCCTTGGCTCTGGCTATTAATAGAAGCTGGGTAGCAAATGGTACTGTTGCTATCCATCCCACCAGATGCTATTCACACCATCGCTTACGTGGTGCATTGGTTCCCAGTCACACATCTCTCCAGCAATTCCGTTCCGCAATCTCTCCCGCCACTTTTGGCACCTACAAGATCCGGCCACAGCTCACCTGCCCTTTCTTTCTCTAGCTAGCTAGCTAGTAGCTAGATAGAGCTGCCGCAGTGGGGGATTTCTTCTTTTGTTGGCTTGCAAGTTTTAAAAATGTTGACTTGACTGGGATTGATCAGGGCATGGCTTCACGTGGAGGTTCTCTTCTGTTCTTGGGATCGCTTCTTGCTTCTGGCTTGTATCCATGTAGCTGGTCGTCTCAAAGAGCAGCGCATGTCGCCAAGAAGTGACCTCGCGGGAAGCTGCTTGGTTTCCGGTAAGTCCTCCCTTGCTGTTCTCCTGGTTGGCTGGTTGACGTGACTGTCCTTCGTACTCTTCTTCCAGGACTTCGTTATGGTACCATGCAAATGACTAAGTTTTCCAAGCCGCGAGCACACCAAAATGAAACTGCTTCTACCGTAGCTATTGGGTGCTGCAAGGGGAAAATGTGGCTTGACTTCCTGCCAAACCCAATTAATTTGTTGCTAATGTATGACGACAATACTATATCATATCTAGCATTCCTATTTGCTTCTTTTATTATTACGTTTACGTTTACTTGACCACTGTTTGCCTCTTTTCAATTCTCAGTGGCATCCCATGACGAGGCTGTGGCAGTGGCCCATGCAGATCCAGCTTGAGCTGGTATCCCGGCACGGGTTTGAATTGGAATTCCCTCACTAGATTGGCCAATACAATGACGGCTTCTTGCAAGGCAAACCGATTGCCGGGACAATTGCGACTTCCCACCGAAAAGGGGATCAAGGCATGAGCATTGCCAATCGCAATAGTCGTGTCTGCAGTAATGTCATTGTCGGGTGTTCGTTCCATCCAAGCATTATTGTCGTTTGATGATGACGTTCGTTGACACCATCGTTCGGGGATGCATTCCAACGGCCGGGGAAAGTATTGCTCGGATCGATGAATAGCAAAAATGGGGACGAGACACTTGACATTGGGAGGGACCACAAATCCATCCGACAAAGTAATGGGTTTGGTCAAGTCGCGCGCAGAAATGGCGGCGGGTGGATAGAGACGGAGGCATTCTTGAATGACGGCCGTGCAATACACTAGCACATCGGGATCCGTCAAATCACCTTCAATGGATTGGACTTCCGCGAAACACGCCTCTTGCACGCCAGGATTGGCCGCCAACAAGTAGAGTACAAAGGCAAGTGTGGTACTGGTGGTGTCGTAGGAGGCAATGAGGAGTGTGGAAATGACGTCAATCAAGATTTCGTCGTCCGTGGCATTGTTGTTGTTGCTGTTATTGCTGTCATGTGCTACCACCAGTCGATCCACGAGACTGATTTTGACGTCCTTATCGCTGTTGTTTTTGGGCGACAGATTGTTGTCTAGTTGTTTCATTTTGATGCGTGATTCCTGTAGGAGATTCTGAATAAAACCTCGTAGAACGTTGAGTTGTTCTTGCAGTTTGCGGTTCTTTTCCAGAGGCAAGGAGAAGAAGTAGTTCCATGGACTGAGAGGATTCTGACCTCGTTTTCCCATGTCTTTCATGATATACTCAAAAGCGCCAACCACTGAGGAAAACTGGAGTGTTTTGCAGCACTCAAAGTCTGTGGAAAAGGCTGCCTTGCCAAAGACATCACTAGTCAACATTTTCATGACCGGATGAACGTCCAATTCATAATAGGCCGCCGCCGAATTCTGTTCCAATTTGTTGGATAGCGTGGCAATCAAATCCTGTGCGACTTGCCAGACATCCGTTTGACTCTGAACCAAAAAGGAGTGCACAAATGTCCGTGTGACGGCATCTCGATTTTGTTTCCATTCTCGATGATTGAGAAAGAGCAAATTCTGCTTGCCAATGACCTTTCTCACATAGTGCGAGACTATAGGCACGGGGATGCGATGATGTTCCGACTTTAGGATCGTCCGGGCATCTTCCACATGCACGATACTGATGCATCGACGGTACAGCAGCCACAGACCAGTGCGGCCATGGGCATCGGCATGATCTCGGACGGCGTCCACGTAGGCATCGGGAAAGGTTTCTCGGCCAAACACCCACGCAACGTGACCGTAAAACCAGTGACAGTGCGGTGCCATGGGCAAGTTATCAAAGGGTTTTCGCAATTCTAGAAAGGGCTTGACAATAATAATCGCCACCATGGCCACGGCAACCAGCAGTGTGACCCAATAAGGCGATGCCAGCAAGCAATTCTCGTATGTCCATATCACTTGTTCTGACATGATGGTTCAATCAAACAAACAGGTATACATACAGCAGTGCTTGCAACGTCTTCAAGGGTTGCTTGTTCCTTGCAATGGTTTCGGCTGCCCAAGAAGTTTGAAGGGAGCTCAACAGCAAGATCCTCGCCTCTGGGAATCGAATCTTTTCTCGGTCTTCTTTCGCGAAACTGAGAAACACAGCAACCCCAGCCAGCTAGGCTGCGTAAACCAAAGGGCATTGGAGGGAAGCTGACTGAGGGACAGTCGGTGATGATGATCAAGCAGAAAGGGGAAAGTTTATTTTTATGTTGATGGATCTTGAGACTGAGAGGTGCTACCAGTATCCAGGTCGTTTGTCATGTTGCTGCCTCTCCTCGAACCCAGCTATGGATGGCCAAGAATCCTTTTGAATTGGCTGCAGGTACCGTATGCGACAACTGCCAGTGTGTACGAGTCAACATGCAGACATCAAGCGGAATGACACGCCTTTCCATGCATCATCTCGTCAAACGATAGTGAAGATTGCAGAGGTACGGTAGATCTCATGGGTGTGCGTTATCCTAATGACTATTTTATGCTCTCTGATCAATGCTGTCAAACTGAGACTTCATCCGCCTCTTCTTGCCTAGCCAGGGCTTCATCCTGCAGGCTGCTACTTCTCTTAGTACCACCCTCTTCCAACAAACCAACCACCCAACTCATCATTGTAGTACACATTCAACCTATCACTGCCAGGAAGGCCCATCCTCTGCATTCTGATCACCTCTCGTTCAGCGGCATGTCTGGAACGATGCTTCACTTTGGAGGCATCATGGTTGTTGTGGGGATTGGTGTAAGAGATCTCAGGCTCGTGATCACGATTGTACTGCTCACCATCATTGGCTGTGTGGCTACACGCACCAATGAAAACCCAGATCAGCGCTCCAACAAAGAGGAAAAGCAGAAGAGGTGGTATTGAATCGTCCGAATCACTCATGGCTCAATTGGTTTCAAGTAGTCAACAAGTGAGCAAAGCAAATGAGATGTGCATACTGGATGAGACAGCAGAACCTCTCCTGGTAGTATGTCCTTTCCGCCGAAATATTCCAATTGGTACATGTCCCACGTGCAGCGGAGCAGTCCATTGCGTAATATTCCACGCAAGCGTTTTGATCGTGGACAAGACTGTTTTTGTGTCACGAATGATCAATCTACTTTCCTTGCCTCCCCAAGGCTGAGCCAGGAGGGCACTGGGGAGGACGGGAGCCGGGCAAAAAGGGGGGGCTAGGGGGGAGGGGGATGCCAGGAGCAGAAGGAGGAAGTAGAGGGGAAGTCTGGAGGGAGCAAGAGGAGGCAAGATATGCGGAAGAGGGCAAGTGCACCATCAGCATCCCAGAGAGAGCGGCCATAGCTCATCGTGCCAGCTGAGACTTGAAAGCCACACATGCAGAGGTGGCGGGCCCAAAGAATTGCAAAGCTGAGCCAAGCATTAAAGTAGCCACGCACCACTGAGTAAGGGTGTTCCCACTTTGCAAAGAGGAAATACGTTTTGCAAGTGCCTCAGTTTCAGCCAGGAGACCACCAGCAGAGATGACAAACAGAGTAAAGTGGCGGCGTTGGGAAAGACAGGCTTTGAGACAGTACTAGTATGAGATCATGCACAAGATTTGATGTAATGTGCAACTATCTTTACCTGGCTAGTTTTGAATGCTTCTAATATCCACGCTTGCTTCTTCCAACAAACCAACCATTCAACTCTCGGTTATAATATGACTTCAATCTTTTGCTGCCAGGAAGGCCCTTCCTCTTCATTCTGATGATCTCTTTTTCTGCGGATTGTCTGGTACGATGTTTCACTTTGGAGGCATCATGATTGTTTCGGGGATTGCTGTAAGAGATCTCAGGCTCGTGATCATGAAAGTAGTGCTCATCATCACTACTACCATCATCAGATGATTGGCTACCACCATAAACGTAGCGAGAATTGCTGTAAGATCTCTTAGACTCGCGATGATTGTACTTCTCACCATCATCGGCTGTTTGGCTATCACTGAAAGCCCAGATCAGCGCTACAACTCCGACCACTGCAAAAACACCGAGCATAAGAGGTGCTATCGAAGGACTCATGGCAAAATTGGTTTGGAAGATCAATCAAGTAGGCATCAAGTGAGCAAAGTACATCAGATCCTGGTGAGACAGCAGCAGCTCTACTGCTACGCTCCTTTGGGCCGAAATATTCAGAATGGTACAAGCTGGTCGTAACGTGTGCATGCACCGCAGCAGAGATAATGTTCCACGCTTAGACACAGATCGTGGACAAGACTGTTGTGGGTCACGAAGCTACTTTCCCAGGGCTTCGCAGGCCGTGGGACATTCTTTACGGAAGTTGAGACTTGACTCGACTCCACTCCACTCCCTTGGTCGGTCGTTGCTTCCATCCAAATGGAAAGTGGGTCCAGCATTGGAACATTTGTAAGGTAGGCTTAGTGTATGAGGCCAGTAGAGGGTAAAACGTACCGTACCGGTATGTGGAAAGCAACGTAGACAATGATGTTCCAAGTTGGGCTAGATTTAATCCAGCTACAGTACCGGATGGATCATGCGCGAGTTCTGATGCAATGTGCAACTATCCTTACGTAGTTTGTATGGTTCTAACATCCATCCTTGCTTCGTCCAACAAACCAACCATCCAACTCTTGGTTGTAATATGAGTTCAATCTTTCGCTGCCAGGAAGGCCCTTCCTCTTCATTCTGATTTCTTTTTCTGCGGAGTGTCTGGTACAATGTTTCACTTTGGAGGCATCATGATTGTTTCGGGGATTGCTGTAAGAGATCTCAGGCTCGTGATCATGAAAGTAATGCTCATCATCACTACCATCATGATTGTTCATTGGATTGCTGTAGGAAATTGGCTCACAATCAGTGTTATTGTCCCAAGCACTTGGTTCCATTCTTATCATTCTACGTATCTTCTGCTCTGTTGCCCGCCTCGAATGATGTTTCGAAGCACTCTGATCCAATTTTTGCTTCATTCTACGTATCTCCTGCTCTGCTGCTCGCCTCGAAGCACTTTGATCCATTCTTTTCATTCTACGTATCTCCTGCTCTGCTGCTCGCCTCGAAGCACTCTGATCCATTTTTTTCATTCTACGCATCTCCTGCTCTGCTGCTCGCCTAGAATGATGTTTTGAAGCACTCTGATCCATTCTTTTGCTTCATTCTACGTATCTCCTGCTCTGCTGCCCCTCTAGTAGACGGATGTTTCTTCTTGCTTTCATAATGATTGTACATTCGATTGCTGTAGGAAATTGGCCCGCAATCAGTGTCAGTGTTCGAAGCACTCCGATCATTCCTTGCTCCACCCACTCCACTGGCACCTTGGTAGAGGTGTAAATTGTCACTTTAGAGTCCACGACAATCGCTCTCTTCTGGTGTGGCACTGAAAAGACGTTCTGTGAGACACGTATCTATGCCATTTGGCTCGTCATTGCCAGATTCGATCACATCATGGACCCTTTCTGCCCCGCCATGGTTCCCTGCCTCCTCATCTCCCAGGTGTCGAACCTCGTTTCTTTTCCTCTCCACATATTGTGCGAGAGCAGAACGTTCCGATGTTGTGCTTGCTGACGTTGGCTTCCAACAAGAAGACCGTCTCCCGAGACAAAGAACCGCTCCAGCCAGCAATACGGATAAAGCCAAAAGAATGAAGATTGCATTGTCTGGGTCGCCCATCTCCAAAAGGTACCGGGTAGATTGCATGTTAGTGCCTGATTGCTAGCAACAGTGCAACATGGATATAGCTAGTTTCGGCAGTATTGCAACACTGCATGGTTTTTGTGACTTGTGAAATTTTCAGTTCAGTAGTGTAGTCTTTAGAAGTCGAGTGACTGCGTCCGTGGTGCGGCGATGGGCCTTTCGTTTTCCTCGCCGTGGAAGGGATACACGTGTCAAGATCGTCGTGAAGGCGTTCAAGGCTAACTAGAGAGAGAATCATGAGCACGATGCTCTAAGCTATGCGTCCATTGTACATAAAGAGTCATTATGGTAGCTCTTTTGCCCTTATGCTGGTACTCCAGTATATTGTTACACTACCAGGTTTACTTGTGTCGCAGTACTGTTGCTGCTGCTGGTTCGTGGTGTATCTTCCACGGTGAGTTCCAAATCACCCCCTTCGCCACGACTATTTTCAAGCAGCACTTGTTGTCGTTGATGCGACTGTTGTCGATGATGTCGCAGTGCCGTGACCAAGAGCGCCCGAATACTGCTGCGGGACGGCAGTTCCTGCTGGGCGGCACGGTATTCGAGGAAATGGGGTCGCAAATCAAACTTGCAGAGCGGACACGCATAGCGACCATTTTCGGCGGTTCCATCCCACGTTCCTTCTTCTTCTGCTTCTGGCGGTTGTCGTTGTTGTTGGAGCCATCGGTCGACACAGACGGGATGAAAGGCATGTCGACACGGCAAGACACAGACATTGGTTCCAGTGGGCATGACCTCGAGACAAATGGCACATTGATCGGGATCTTCCGACGAGTTTTGGATTTCTCCCTTGCCGAGGTCGTCACTGGTGAATTGTAAGAGTTGAAAGTCGTGCTGCTCTTTATTATTGTCATTGTCCGCAGTGGATTGTTGTACGTCTCCCCGACTGACCCATTTGAAAACGATGGCAATCATGATACCGTAGAATAGAATGCACGATATCAGATACTGTCCCTGAACGGAAGAGACATCGTCCAAGGAAAAGTCGTAGATTCCGCGCTGCAGTGTCCCCATAAAGTCTTGTTGTACCCGTGGTGGAATGACGACAAAAAAGAACTGATTATTGTTTGGATCATCATGCAGGTACTTTTCCAACAGTGGTACTTTTTGATTCCACCAAAAGAGAAATCTCATTTGGAGCGTCTTGACAAGGTTGTAGTTGTTGTTTGGTTCCTGTTGTAGTACCAGGACAATGATTTGTGCTTGAATGCTGGCAGCGGCTTGTGTAATGTTTTGCAACGTGTCACTGTCATTATCATGGAACGACAGTGCGGCCACCAGAATATGAGGCCATCGTTGGTGCGGTTGCTGCTGGTCAAACAACCAAGCATAGTCGTCGTCGGACGCCCCATAGTCGTCGTCAGTCTCATCCTCATCTAGCGCACGATGGAATGGATCCACTGGGTCGTTGTAATTGTCGTACTGGTAGTCATAGCCGTAGTAGTAGCCACTGCTACTGTCATAGCCACCGTATGATTCCAAGACGTACTCTTCTTCTTCCTCTTCTTCATTGTCGTTGTAAATGTCATCTCCAAACATGTCTTGCCACAATTCGACATTCTCTCCTCCTTCACCATAATAGCCATAGACATCATCCTCCAACATTTCTGTTTCGTCAAAGATTTCTTGAACGAGTTCTGTTTTGGTAGTGTCGTCAAAGTACACATCATCCAACAATTCCTCCAGAATTTCTTCCGTCTCTTCTTCCGTCTCTTCCAAGTACTCGGCTTCTAATTCTTCTTCTTCTTCTGTAGTACTAGGTGCAGCATCGTCATCCCACTGTTCCGATCCCAACATGGGCACTTTGGACGTCGCGTTGTTCGTGGCGGCATCATGGTCGTAGAAAAAGGGACGTCCCGTCAAGTAAATGTCGGCTTGCAATCCCGATCGAGCAAAGGAAGGATCTCCCAGGAATCCAAAATTGTACGCCACGCTGGGAAAATACGAGTTGCCAATCAACACATGACCATCCACCACTGCAGTATTATCACAGAGACACGCCACAGCAATAGCAACAACAACAACAGTAAGCCAATACTGGAACAACGCTGCCGTCATGGTGGTTTTTATCTCTTTTGGCAAAAGAGGAAAGTGACAACAACCGTGGAAAAAAAAGATTGAAAATGTGGCCATGGCGATAGAGCCTTTCCGTTCAGCGCAACAAGCGTGCGGAAGTGATTCCCGTCACTGAATGAGAGCAGATCTACCAACGTCCCTCGATCCCCGAAGAGCAACTCGGCCCGTTGGCTCACCATGGACTTGCCACCAACCCGTGTTGATATCCTGGCTAGTAGCTAGCTACATGTATGTAGTCTACCCTGATCATTCCTAGCTAGCTACCGTAGCTACCGGTAGCTAGAACCACGTGAAGGCCTTTTTGTGGTTGTTCTCGACTCTCTCTGCCTGCCAACATGTGCTGGCAGCAGTAGATACTAGCTCGCTGGCGGGTACGTGTACCCCCTTGGTTGGCTATCACAAGCAATTGCCCGTCGCTCCCCTTTGAGGAATGAATCTGAATGAGTTTCTTAAAATAAATAAAAGCTATGTAATGAGATCTTGGTGATGAGCTGCTGATGAGCAATCCAACCCAACATGTGTCCCTGAATGAATTGATCCATGAAGAAAGAGGATGCCAAGGACAAGCGCCCCTACAACGATGCAGAATTCTGCAAGATCTTGGAGCTCTTCCGGGCCAAATTAGGCTTCAACAACAAATTCAAATACCCCGTGATGCTTGATGATACCTGCCACTTCAAAGTGGACTCTGCTACAGGATCAGCGGAGCTACTATTTGCCATCTTCATGAAGACCAGCCAAGTGGTCAACGGACGTTCGCAATTTGAAAGACTGCCCAGATCAGATTCTTCTTGCTGTGGACGATTGGAAGGTCTGCCCACAGCTGAACCTCGCCATCTACTAGGACATGTGGCTCGAACGGAATCCTGATGCTGTGCACCTGTTTACTACATGTATGAACGACGACATCAAGAAAGGCCCAGCAAACTTGAATGGAATCAACCGTATGGAAATCGGATCAAGAAAGTTGTGTGGGACCACCCTGAATTCAAGGCACTCGAAGATCAAGCTGCGTCTGACACAGAGAAGAAGGGAGTCGGCACTTATAGCATGAGAAAATACGCAGCAGCAAAAGCCTCGAGGAAGGGAGCAGACACAAGGAAGTCCAGTACCCTGGAAGGTGGATTAGAGAGAAGACTGGTCGGGTGGTCTGCATTCACTACATTGACAAGAGATACCACTACGCAGATGCCTTTGCGGCTGGTATACTCTGTGATGGTGGTCCCATCAAATACCAAGCTCGCGACAATATTGCAGATGAGTGGCTTTTTACTAAAGGTGTCAGTCATACCGACAAGCAACTTGGAGATGTCAGACTCTGTCTCGTCCTTGGCAACCTTGCCAAGCTTTGGGCTGCGTTCGACCCTGATGCCTGTCAACTACTTCCAGTGGACGACTACGAATATATTCGCACTATCTATGCCATCACTTATGGGCATGTTACAGAAATCCAGTCAAGAAGGTTCCACTCAAAATCTACCATGTCAATGGGGAACTGGAGATCAAGACAAGAGACAACGATGCACCAACTGGAGGAACACCAGCGGCAGCTCCACCCGGCGGAGGAACTGAAAATGCCATGGGTGGGCCAGCAATCTGCCAAGTCATCCTTTGGATCTGGTTTCACTACATGTAGCTAGTCTAGTACGGTTGTGCATGTACGGTACAGTATCTGATAAGTGCAACATGGCATGAGTTCTACGTTTTGATGGCCAATGAGTGTAGTACATGTACTGCACTGTGACGGGCGTTGCGATCTTGAATCTCGAATGATGGATGAATTGAATCGCAATGAACCATATCAGTTGATCCCACATTGGCATTGCCAGACACAGGGACATGCCACCGTAAAAGGACTTGGAGGGCAATCAACACGAGCTACAAACTGGGGGGAGGAGCAGAGTTCGTTGGGCACACTACCGATCAACTTGTTGTTGTACAACTCCAAGTCAGTCAACAAACTCAGTTTTCCTATCTCGGAAGGAATGCCACCGTAAAATTGGTTGCTGTGCAAACTCAACCGTTGCAATGCAAGGAAGAGCAAGCCAAACTCAGAAGGAATCCGGTTGGATATCGAGTTGTTGTGAAAGTCCATCCACCGCAGATCTGTCAGCAATCCCAGTTCTGTGGGCAGACTACTGGATAACTGGTTGTAGGAAAAGTCCAAGGAAGTCAAGGCAGTGAACAATCCAATCTCACTGGCAATGCTGCCGGAAAACTGGTTGGCCCCAAGTTGCAAGTTGGTCAATGCCGTCAGAAATCTAAGCTCCTCAAAAGGGATCTGACCCGACAAATCGTTGTCTTTCAAATCCAACCACGTCAACGACGTCAAGAATCCAAGCTCGGAAGGAATGTGGCCCGACAACTGGTTGCCATTCAACCACAAGCTCGTCATCGAAGACAGCTGACTAACTTCGGAAGGAATTTTGCCGGTCAAACGATTGTCATTCATCTCCAAAGTTGGCAAACCGGTCAGTTGTCCAAGCTCGGTGGCAATGCTTCCGGACAACTGGTTGGCCCCAAGTTTCAGTTGCGTCAATGCCGTCAGGAGCCCTATCACTGTAGGTATCGTGCCAGCGATGGAGGCGTCGTGCAACATCAAATCTCGCAGAAGAGTCATTTTAGCAAACTCGGAGAGAATGGTGCTCTCATTATGATGGAAATTGTTCAGGGACAGATTGATGGTTTCCATCTCTGCCAACAGTCCCAACTCTGTAGGCAGTGCCCCAGATAGCAGGTTGCCACCAAGATGCAACTGAGTCAAAGCGGAGAGGGTGGCAACCTCGGACGGCAGTGAGCCGCTCAAGGAATTGGCCGCCAAACTCAAATGCGTCATGTAGCGTGGCAGGCGTGAAAACAGAGACGGAGGGATAGTACCTTGAAGGTTGCTGTCGGACAACAGGAGCGTTTCGAGGCTTTTCATGTAGCGAAGGGTGGTTGGGACGACCTTGTCCAACGGTTCACTCCAGCTGGGAGAACTGCCAATGGCAAGGTATTTCAAGGCCGATAGCATTGCCACTTCGGGTGGAATCGTCCCCGAATCGATATCGGTAATGTGACCAAAGTCCAAACTTTTCACAACTTGTGACTCATCGCATTGAATCTGGAAGATTTCTCGATTCTTGTAGGCGGTGGGCTCCAGTGTCCAATCACACTCTGAGGACATCGGATTCAACCACTCTTGCCGGTCCCCGATATCCCACGTGTCCCCATCGAAGGAATAGTAGACACATGCGAGAGCGTACAGTTGGTGCTTTCTCCATCCCTCCATTGTGTCTAACATTTCTAGCGAATAGCTACGGGAGATCCAATCTAGCGCTTTTCGTAGCGGGGCATTGGGGTTGCTTCTTTCGCGTTGCAAGGACTGAAGGGCGTGGTCTGGTAGATGGAGGGATACCAGGAGATACACGTTGACCGTTCCGCCATTGACGACTGTAGAGAAGTATGCGGTGTCTGCGATGGACATGGGTTGGAGTTGCGTTTTCGAGAACAAGAGCATTTCACCCGTTGTGGCATTACGGCGTGATGTCACATTGCCCGCAAACCCGTTCAGCAATCGCTGTCCCTCGTAGAGACGAAGCCGTCCTTGCTTGCTCGTGCTGTTGTTGTTGTTGTTGTTGTTGTTGCTGTTGCTTGTTGTTGTGAGATTGTCGTTGTTGGATGCCAGCGACGGAGTGGTTTCCGTTGTGTTTCCGTGATCAAAAATGTTCCCAACCAAGGTGTCGTTCGTCAATAATGGCGCTGGAGTAGTAACGTTGGACGCCTCTGGTGTTGATCCACCATCGTCGCCGCAGAGGCCCGAACCACACGTAATGCCCGTGATTGCGATTGCGGTAATCAAAAGGGCCAGGATCAAACAGAGCCATTTCCCTGCTGCCGAGACTGGAAGTACCTGGAGTGATCCGTTCTGTTTGTCCAATTCTTGTGCCGGCTCTGCCATTACCACGAGAATATCCGAGGGGTCATCCTCTTCCACCAAGGTGGCTTCCAGCAGTGGTGCTTCTGGTGGATCGTTCGAGACGCCAAACGTAGCTTCCTCTTCATCATCCTCCTCATCATAAAGAGACGAGCTGGAGACAGCAGCAACATGAATGTCTGGTTCATTGTCGTTTCCGCGTCCCTTGGCATCCCTACCAGCTCGAGGGAACTTGTCTCTGGGAAAGGGACGTCGCTCTCGCTTGGCGGATGTGAAGTGTGACTCCTCCGGTACATTCTTTCTTCGTAGTCCTCGCTTGCTCTTGTGATCACTCTGGGTCAAACCGGATCTGTTTCTAGGCAGTGTATGGATGGCTCCCACTGCACTGGTTTCTGCTGGTGCCTCCACATCCCTTGCATCGTTGCCACCAGGAGGATGCGGCATGGCATTATGATTTTCAATTTCACCCCGCAAGCTGTTTATGCTCCTATGGCTTTGTTTGGAATCTGAATCCATGGCAGCTCCTACCTTCTTTCTTCGAAGTCCTCGCTTGCTCTTTTGATCGCTCGGGCTTGAACCATTTCTAGGCAGTGTGTGGATGGCTCCCACCTCACTGGTTGCTGCTGGTGCCTCCAAGTCCCTTGTATTCTTGTCACCAGGAGGATGTGGTACATCATGATTGCCTTGATCCCGGATGCTAGATACACTCCTATTGCTTTGTTTGGAAGTTGATTCCATGGCAGTTCCAACATACAAGAGATCTCTCTATTGCTTGTTACTGTACTTGAATCGAATCTTTGTAATTAGTCCGAGAGAAGCGGAGATGGATGATGCGAAGGAAGGCTTCTGGGTCGGGACCAAAGAAGAACAAGCAGCTGTCAAAAAGAGATTTGATTGGATTCCCCAATCCAATCCTTAACATCTTTGGTCAAATCCTTTACCGTGTTCAACTGGACACACTAGCAAGTCTCCATAGCCAGCCAGTAAGGGTCCAAAGTACTGTGTCCAACAGAACACACAATATCAATCCCTATCCTTAACAAGGCAAATGTCCCTTATGTCTTTGGCAAAACTTACACCGTGTTTTTCTGGACACACTAGTGAGTCTGCATAGCCAGCCAGAACTGGTACCCATATGTTGAAACTACTGTGTCCAGCTGAACACAAAATAATAATCCCTATCCTTAACGAGGAAAGTGTCCCCTATGTGACCAAAACAGCTGCAACAAACACACACACAAACACACACACACACACACACACACACACACACACACACACACATACACATACAGCGATAAAAATGTGAAAGACCCTCAGTCCGTTGAGGGCAAACCAAGATAATTTCCCTACTCCAAACCCCCCCCCTTTCTTCAGGGTTTCACGGAAGTGTCATGAAACCTACCGGTACTGTAGACTCTATAGTTGAGATAAATACCTCGGTTATAAGCGTCACAATGTCTGAGGATCTTTGGTCTCTATTAAAGGGCAAGTTACTACCAGGTACATGAACATTACATGTATGGGTTGGAGGGGACTATGGTAAGGATCTTTGCAGATGACGGCACAAACGAGGATGCCGCAGTAGATTAGTCTACCTCAGTATCGAAATCTGCTTCCGAGCAGGGGTAAGGACATTTCTTCTCGAATCTATGGCTGGTACTATAATACTCTACTAGCCAGATTATATCATCTCTTGATAGTTTTTTATAGAGGGATTACTAATAATAGCCATCGAGTTTCTTTGCTCCAGCTTCGGCCAGTACGTAATGTACCAAAAAATAAAACTGAAAGTCAATTAGCGGATCCAGACAACAAGTGCTTGAGGACGACCCACGAGCCGAGGCCTGGGTGATTAATTCCCACAGTCAAGTCTGTTCACCTGCCACACTGGCCTCCTGAGAGGGTGTGATGCCTATTACTATCCAAGGGTTTGTTCACTGAGGTCCGAGCAATGATTCGATTCACCACAAATTATGGTAGGTAATGTACCAGTAGAGCATATGGGTACCAGTACAGTAGTAGCAAAGATATGACGGTCTCCTCGACATCTTCCGAGCTTACTTTTTAAACAGACAAGGCTATGGTAATTTATATTAGAAGTTGACAGAGCTGCAATTTGGTGACACCAAAGATCCAGAGAGAGAAGCAAAATCTTTTTCTCTCCTCTCTTTCATTTCTTTGCAGCGCGTCAACGACACGACGCATTTTCATCCCTTTGCTCTTTTGCTCACAAACGGCCGTAAAGGGGTAGAAGGCAGCAATTTGATTGGTCGATGAGTACCGAAGAACAACAATACGTCAGGAAGTAATTTGAATTATTTAACGCACCATTTATAGAGATTACGGAGTTAACGTGCTACCAATTCAAGGATTTTCGTGTTTTCAGAAGAAAGAAGAAGGATTCCGTCGCGATCCATCGACCATGACAGGCTCTGCCGCTCCCACTCGACGGTCATTTCTCGGCCAAAAAGGCAACAGCAGCAGCACCATGGACCACCAACAGCAGCAGTAATGCAGACAACAAACAACACAAAATGAAGGGATGGGCTGCCAGAGTCAGAATCGAAATCCACAGCAGAAGAGAGCATTCCAACTCGCCCACAACAACAATCCAAGATCAAAGAGAGCCAGAGAAGAAGGAGCCCAAACAGCACTGGAGGAGGGATAGCAGAAGTCTTTGATCCACTCAGACACTGTCCAATCTGTAAGGCCAGACATTTTGGTCTCAGAGTCCCCAAGAGAGCACACTCTGTCTTCTGTATTAAGAATACAGTACAAAAGGACAAGGACCTTTGAATGCGCTGAACAATGGAGACAATCAAAGAAGCAGAGAGACTCACCAGGCAATTCAGTGCTCCTCTTCCACTCAATGAGAGAGGAAGCTGGAGACATTCCACAAGAGAAAATGGAGAAGCATTCTTTGCCGCTAGAACCAACACAGCCAAAGCCACAGCAGTTCCCAAAAAGAAAAATGTAATGGCCAACTCCAGCTGTGTTCTGTGAGAAAGTCACAGCTCTTGTTGAGGATGCCACCTTTGTGGAAAAGCACAAGACCAAAAGCACCAACTGGCAATGATAGCAATGGCAGAAGCAGTGTCAGAATTTACAGGGCCAAACTTGAAGAATCAGGATTTATTCCAGCAACACTTTGATGGACTCACCATGACAGTCCCATCCACAAAGGAGCAATTCCAGTCTCCTCACTACCACTCCATTGTTGGGCAGAAACTTACTTAGTGGACTGGAATCGATGTGCATCTCTGTACCTTGTCCTGATGGAAGATGCTCTGGCCAACTCAACAAATGAAAGAAGCAAATGGTCGAGGAACAAGACTCTGTTTCCAATCTTTGGCATTGCTGGACCTCCATCTTGGTGATGGTAACACCTATGGTCTTGACCATGCAAGAGGAGATTTGATTCCAATCAATCAGAGGTACTGCTGTCAATCCCAGAGCATGTTTCATTGATGTATCCAGTAGAGCCAAAGTATGCCTTTACCAAAACAGACTATCACTTGGAGAGAACAGCAACAGAAGTGTTTGATTCTATAATGGTTACCTATGGCAATGGAGACCTCTGCAGCCGCCTCATCTACAATGCAAATCAACAGGAGTACATTAGAGCCATGATGTCCTACTATTCTTACTGGCAAGGTAATCAGAGGGAACCTCCTCCCTTCCTTCCAAAGGATGGAACTTACATCAGACAATACCCTCCTCTTGGTGAGACCATCCGTGACTTCTTTGACAGGGCTGCTGCATCCAACAGAAATCCATGGAGGATCAGTGACAATGCCAGGCAAACAAGGGAGATCCAAAGTGTCAGCTGCAACAAGGCTATCTTCTGTCAGGACCACACTTTCCAACAGTCAAGAATTACATTGAAGAGGAGGTTGGAGCAGTGGCTGTTTGGGATGCTGCCACTGAAACTGGAGTAGATAGCTTCTGCAGTGCTGGTTCCCTACCACAAGACATCCACTTCTCCCATGCTGCCATGCAGCTAGCAAGGAGGAGCAACTTCAATCCAGTTGCAATGTATAGTGACACCTGTACTAAAGCTGTGAGGAGAGATATTCCAGCTGTCATGTATAGTGATACCTGGCCCAACAAGGATGACTACTGGGAGGAGCTGTTTCCAGGTATTGAGGGAAGACTTGGCCTGTTTCATTATGAGAAGAGAATCCTGTCAACTTTGAGGAAGGGCCACATTGATCACTTCCAAGCAATGACAGACCTTTTGGACTGCCTGTATGAGTACTTACCTCAGGACTATGAGAAGCTTCTCTATGCTCTGAAACATGGTCTACTATCAGCTGATGGCAAACACTATTCCATGGTGGAGATCTCAGACATGCAATCATCCAAGGTCTTCCGTGACAGATACTCCAAGTATCTAAGGAAGAAGAATGAGAGAACCAGAAACAATGAGACAGAGGATTCAAACAGTGGTTCTGCAGGTACAAGGTCACTGCTAGTGAGGGCAGCCAACCAGGAAGAAGGCTCGATCCAGTCAAGAAATTTACCTTGTTCACTCCAGACACCAAACCAGCAGTAGACAACTGCATTGAGAAAGCCATCCACTTGGCTGATCCACTACAATGGAGCAAATGTATGACACAATCCACCATCTCCCAACTCCAACACAAGCTTCCAGAGTACCTATCAAGGAGAGGAGAGTCAAAGTTAGAGGCTTTCCATGACAAGTTTGCTCACTTTGGCAATGGTGGAATGAGAAGAACCCTTGCTGATGCACTCAATCTTGCTGGCACTGCTAGATACAACCTCAAGATTCGCCACAAGAGAGCCTTCCTGTCAAGAATCAGCGAGGCAGAAAGGAAGTCAATTCCAGCTGGATGGGAGAAGGTTGTTCCTTACTGGAACCATTCAGAGTTGGCTTACCTCAATGACATGGCAGAGGCTGTTGGTCTGGATGCACCATTTCCAAATGCAGAACCACTGCCAGAGGATAATGGAGAAAGATTCTTTTCAGAGTACATTGTTGGATTCAAACCTCACAGGCAGAAGTACTCACCAAATGATTGTTGCTTGTGTAGATTGTGCACCAGTCCAGTTGAAGCTCACAACCACAACCGGTTCCACAACCTCAACCACAACAAGTTCACAACCACAACCACAACCACAACCGGTTCCACAGCTCCACCTCCACCACCCAATCCACCTCCACAAGCAGCTCCTCCTGTAGCAACAAACAAGAAATTCTTACATGGTAACCTGATTCTCTATCAGCAACAACACCAGATTCAAATGATGCAACTTGCCTTAATGCAGCAGCAATTCCAACCAATACTGCCAGCTCCTTTCCAGCCACGTCCTCCACCAAATGGCTGCTGTCAGAGATACTGCCAATGGTTGACTCACAGGAGAGGAAGACCACCCCATGATGGAACCTGCCAAGCTAGATGGAATGGATATTCTGCTGGGTAACAACAACAAAGATTGAGATACATAACTTTCATATCTAATTTAGAAAGTAACTTACATATTGCCAATGAAATCATCAACCATAGTCTCACTCATCATCTGAATCAATGCCAATGAAATCAATAACCATAGTCTCACTCATCTCAGCCAATTCCTGGAAGGAAATATTCTTCTTGTGGTCATACCAGCGGCAACAATAAAAATGCCAAGCATCCATATAAAACTGTCCTTCAAGGGAGGACACCTCATAGCTCTCACTGATCCTTTCCCTCACTAACCAATAGATGCACTCAATGCAGATGTCCTTCCTTTCACAGCCTGAGAGATGTGGCGACTCCAACATTTCAGAAAGAGTGGAGACAACAGCTCTGAACCATTTTGGACTTGTCTGAAGGCCTGGACCAAGCATGTAATCCATGATGTCGGTCATGGCAGGAGGAAGTGGCTTGCATGCTCCTTGCAATATCATCTCCTCAAGAACAGTCACCTCCAGGCTTTTGGTGGCCAAACAGAAATTATCCTCCTCATCATCATTGTACCCACAAATGACATACTTGCAGTTGAATCCATGCCTTGTAACTCTCAGCTCATTGAATGGGTATGCTTGACCTTGCAGCCACTTGGTGAACCATGGACTAGTGGTGATCCTCATGGTCGATCTGGCAACCGGGGATTTCTCCTCCTATCAAACCGAGCGATCGGTGGATCCAATGTGCTTGTTGTTGCGGATCGATCGAGGGTGTTGTTGTTGCCGATCGATCGATCGATCGAGCGGTCCTGTAAAGAGACAAGATAATAGTATTAGCTAGCATCGCAAACAACAACAACGCCATTGTCATCTCCATCGTCAACATAACACAAGCAACGTACCTTCACCACTGTTCGGAGCAGATTGGTTGTCTTCGGAGGAAGCTAGCGGGAAAATAGGAAGGTCTGGTGCGAGCGAAGGAAGGGAAAAATCAAAAAAAGATCCACCGAGCAAGTCAGCCAGGTATCCGTTTGGCCGATTTGAATGGACTTCAACGAACAACGAACCTCTCCAGTGACGTATTTGCTGACACTTACACTGTTCTTCAGACAAAGAAGACTTAGAAAAGAGGGGAGATGACCATCGTCATTGTCAAATCCCCTCTTTCCTTTAAGTAATGAGTATCCGTTGTCTGGGTCATAATCTCGGCTCCCAGTGCCGGATGTGTCCCGGCAGGCTCACTTCGGAATCAGGAATCTCAACGGTTAACCCTCTCCCTTTCTTTTTTCTTTTCCCTCCCCCGCGCTGTTGCCGAACCCCCCCATAATCTCGCAGGAAGGTCGGGAAGGAGTTTCGGCAATAACACTCTGACTGAGTCACTGACTGAGTCACTCATTTCTCATTCGTGCCAAAGATCTTTGTCGTCCTCATTCGGACCATGCCTCCATCGCATTTTGATCGTGATTTCTTCGAAATCAAAAGAGAACCAAGATGGTGAGGGGGAAAGAGAAATAACGAAAGAGCAACATTGCTATAGGGGACGACTGGAAGGGGTCATCCGTGTTGTGGATGGACCTTGTCTCGACTGACTCAAAGAACTCTCAAGGTTGCTGCAGAGGACATCGGCCCTGTCGGGTCCCAAAGGAAGAGTCTCCAGAACATCCTTTGTGCTTCGATTCTGCCCAAAGTGCCTTGCCGCGAAGTTAATTGATACTTCCGAGGGTTCACAATGCGCTTCTGTCATGTCGTCGTTCTTGTCATCGCCATGTCTTTGGCAATGATTGAGGCCTTGGAATTTAGTTTTCAGTTTGTCGACAATGCTGACGGGGACTTTTCGACTCGAAAGTGGCTTTCCTCTTCCTCGCTGTTTCAACAAAATGTCCTTGCTGCAGGGGATATCTTGGCCGCCAAATTCGCTTCAGATGCCACCATCACCGTCCAAGTGGAAGCTTCCAACGACGTTGCCCGATTAGGTGGAACATGCGCCAATTGTGATTATCTGGGTACTGATTCCCAAGGAAGGAACATGTTCCAGCCGGCACCCTTGTCGACCATCTTGTTGGGTGAATCCGTTTGCCACCCGGAAATGTTCCTACGAGTCAACTCTTCGTTTGTCGAAACGCACTACTGGTTCGACCCCACTCCCTCCGTCCGTGGGGACAACTTTGGCGCTGGTGCCAATCAAGCTTCCTTTGTCTGGATTATTCTGCATGAAATGGGTCATGCCCTGGGGATGCTGGGAAATTTGGTCACAGACACGACATCACCGGATTATGGAACCATTGTGACAGACTTTGTCACACCCTTTGATGACTTGAGTGTCTTTGAGGGTGGCGTGGAGCAAGCCTTGGATAGCAATGGGGATCCAAGGCCACTATTCTTCAATGGCACTATGGCTCAACAGGTCTACGGGGGGGCCGTCCCTCTGGCCAACATTGTGCCCGATGGCTATTACACATCCCAAAACTTTTATCACTTTGGTGATAATGGAGATCCGACACTGGAGCATACGCTCATGAATTGCTGCCGAACACCTGTCGGAGATGATCCCTGGGATATTTATTGTCTCGACATGGCCGTGCTGGCTGATTTGGGCTACCCCATCGCATGTTCTGGGTCGGTCGGTTGCGACATACCCTGTATCTCCACCAACAGCAGTGCGAACGAAAATCAACCAACAAATAAATCCTTTGAGCAACGCGACCTTGAAGGGTTCCCAGATGCGACAACTGATAGAAACGGAGCTTGTACCGATCATGTCGTTGTCTACAATGTGGCTGTGGATATTCAGATGGAGTACCCTGGTGGTACTAAAGAGGACTGCAGCACTGGCGAACAAGAAAACATTGACGCGGCCATTGCCACAGCACTCAACGGAAACTTCGTTACCACTGTCCCTGATTGGGATGGAGTAGTTGGATTTGGACCCATTACATTCGATTCCAGCCAGGCAGTAGATAATACAGCAGGAGGTCGTCAGAGGAGAACTCAAGAGAGCCGCATGTTGGAAAGTGCTTGTAAACAAACACGAGGTATTGATTGTTTGGGTGACTACTGCAGCTGGGGATGTCTCCTGGCCCCTTCGACATCATGCAATATCAACGCGCTGACCAACTGGGCCAATCTTGCTGATGACATCAAAGTGGCCTTGTTGGCTCTGAACTACAACTGTCTTGGCATGCAGAACAAGTTGGGTGTCAACTTGCTGGTTAACGACGGCACTGGAAGTGTCACGCCAGGTGAAAGAATCGATGCCGACAAACTCTTGGATGGATTGGGTATCAACCGCCTGTCAGGATCCAACTTGGACTCGACCACCACTACCGGCAGTGAAGAGATTGACTTGACAGATTGCAAGGATCTCAAGATCAATGCACAGTTCACGGTAGACTTTTTTGGTGGCACAGGCCGCTCACCATCGGCCGATGACCTGGCATCACTCATGGCCAACACTAGGAATTACGTTCGTGACTTGTTGGATTCCATCAATGAATTTAAGGATCTCGTCTGTGATGTGCAGTTGAACCACCCCATTCCAGACTACGATACCGCAAACGCAGATTCACTCAAGGTGCACGTCACAATCAATTCCTGGGTCAAGAACAGCTCCAGAGGAACCACCTCGCAAGCACTGCAGAAGATTGCTGGATCTGGCTGGGATACATATGTTGCAGACTATGCCCGAAACGTTGGGGATGAGTTCAATGAATTTGCGAATACATTCAAGATTCACTTTAGGGGCGTAGCCAAGAAAGGGTTCTCGAAGAGTGTAGATCCCTGGCAACACCACTTTTTTAGAGATGCATACTGATAAAACCCGACTAGTAGCTGGTGGAGATTTGTCTGGCTCTCGTCCTACTAGTACTCAAAATAGGAAGAACGTGTTCCTCCGCTTACATCATTCCTACAGTCAAAGCAATACTACGTACACTCAACTCCCTTTGTTGCTAACCCGCTAATCTTTAGTTTCTAGTTTTAGAATGTTTTGGATTATGCGCTGCTCTTGTACAGCAGAAGCCAGCGGCAGACCAAGCTCATCGTAAGGGAACACGAGGCTAAACTTGAGGCATGGCTTGGTCGGATTTTGTAGCACCATTTTGAAAGGAGTCTTCCAACGTCCATCACCTTGAATTCTTTCTCTGTTCCATTTCTTTGGCGGTTCTGGCAATACATTTGCCCACAACCCGTTGCAACTCATAGCATGGTATCTTGTCCTGAACTTGCTTATTTTTGGCAGAAGTATAGGCAGTTTTGCGCTGTGCCAGAATGGTTTCCATGCCTTGCTCATCAAAACAATGCTTCATTTGTTGTAATTCACTTCCACAACGCACCGACAAGGCACGGCACCCCCAGAGAGCGTGCTGCTCTGGAACACATCCCTTCTTGTTGGCAATTGGCAAATCACGCCATCCAAAGTAAACCATCCAGCGTTTTCCCAATCCAAACTCGTCCAATGCTGGGGCTTTTGATTGTTGTTGTTGGCATGCCTCTAGGCTGTCCGCCAACTGCTGACACTGCTTCAACCGTCCCAAACTCTGATCATCAGCAAAATTCTGTAGCCAGCTCCAAAGGCCACTGTTGTTGCTGTTGTTGCTCGGTTCATTTCCGCTGGAAGAGGGAGGTTCTGCTCCTGCTGATGACGATGAGGAAGCCATGGTTTGATGGTATGGCAGTGGCAGAGTGGAGTGGTGGGATTTGTGACTGATGGGCGAGAGGTCTCGAGACACTGGCACCCAAAGATCCGTCTGGAATTTAGTACATACATGTACCGCTAGCCCCCCCTCAAGGTCTCTTGTTCGCATGCTACTAGCTAGCTAGATAATGGTTCATTTTTTGGGGGGCTAATCTGCCTTCGTGCTAATGTCATACTAGCTAGCTATTAGTCTTGGTTTAATCGAATGAATCTTTCCCAAATCTTATTTTTACTATTTCCAAAGGAAAAGTCCTCTACATGTTGCGATTCGATTCATTGAGTTGCGACATCCATCTGTTCTACAGTAGTGGTGTCTATTGCATAGCTACTGGGTGGTAGCGAGAGTTATCAATATGCTTCTTCCTGCTGCTGTTGGGCGGCTGATGGCAATTCCAATTCTATTTGTATGCGCCATCCAAGCCACACTTGGTGATACTTCTCACGAGCCTTCATCGATACAACCCAAGGATAATGAGGTCAACCTGGAGAAGCTACTGCTGTCAGTTCCAGACCATGAGCGCCTCCGAGAGTCCCTGCGGTATATAACCAAGCGATCGCATGTTGCAGGAACGGAAGGTGATTGGGAAAATGCCTACTATGTACGGGATCGGCTCAGAGAATTTGGATTTGATGCCAATATTGAAGGGGTAGAGGTGATGATGACATATCCTGTTGACCGGCCCAAAGTGTTCACATCGGAAGGATATCATGCCAAAATGAGTGAAGACATTTTGGTGGAGGATGTTACATCTGGAACAACTCAATGGAGAAATCATACCTTTCTAGCTTACTCACCATCTGGTCAAGTCACTGGCAAGCTTGTGTACGCCAATTTTGGAATGCCAGAAGATTTCGATGCATTGGGAAAAATGGGTGTCACTGTCAATGGAACCATTGTGATTATGAGATATGGAGGATGTTTTCGTGGCCTCAAGGTAATGAATGCAGAGGAACGAGGGGCCATTGGATCCATCATTTACTCCGACCCACAGCAAGATGGCTTCTCTCAAGGTCCTACCTATCCAAAGGGACCCTGGCGGCCTCCTTCCGGAGTCCAACGAGGCAGTGTGCAGCACATTTCAAAGTGTGCAGGAGATCCCTGGAGAATCTATCTCAACAATAGTCAATCGTCAAACTCCACGGTCAAAGAAGTGTGCGGATATGAAACACACGACATGATTCCAAAGCACCCTGCAGTTCCTCTCTCATACGAGGATGCAATGCCTCTTTTGGAAAAACTGGGTGGTCTCAGTGCTCCTTCAGAGTTTCAAGGTGGCCTTGCCTTTAACTACACAGTTGGGCCCTCTGACTTTGATGTGACCATTCACACCAACCATACATTCTTCCCAAGGACTATCCCCAACGTAATTGCAACCTTGACAGCTGAGGTCAGCAACAAGGCCAATACGACCTCAGCTGTCATTCTGGGTAATCATCGGGATGCTTGGGTTTTTGGTGCCGTTGATCCCAACAGTGGCACCACAGCCCTTCTGGAAGTGGCTAGAACCTTCCAAGTCCTCAAACAGACTGGACAATGGAAACAAAGGCGCGACATCATCTTGGCTTCTTGGTCTGGAGAAGAGTATGGATTACTTGGGAGTACAGCCTATGCAGAACTGAATGCCCAGGAGAGCCAGAACAGGGTCATCGCTTATTTGAATGTCGATTGTGCTGTCAAGGGTAATTACTCGCTTCAAGTCAGCGCCACTCATTCTCTGGCAAAGTTATTTCGCGAAGCTGCCCAACAGGTTCCAGCTCCACCTGTACTCGCCTCACCCTCTCAACAAAGCAACAACACCAGAATTCTGAGGCGCAAGACTCCTGTAGCCAACAATCGAAGCATGGCGGATGTAACAATCTGGAAAGACCAAGAGGTGCTAACGTTGGGTAGTGGAAGTGACTACACCGCCTTTCTGGATCGCCTTGGTATCAGCTCTTTAGATATGTCCTTCCTTGGATCGTATGGACAATATCATTCTGTTTATGATTCCATGTCTTGGATGGAACAACAGGGTGACCCTACATTTGAGATTCATCAAGCCATGACAAGATTGTGGGCTTTGCTTGCCTTTAGGCTGGCAACAGATGAGAAAGTCCCGATTCACATGACAGAGCAGGCAGCACGACTGGTTGAGGATCTCCAGGTGGTTGACACATCAATACAAGAAAAGTTTGGCAATCAAGTCGACACATCATCCTTAGACCAGGCAGCTATGCACTTTTTGAATGCGGCAATGGCCATCGACAACGAACACTCTCGTCTTGGCGAGTATGCGACAACTTCTGCCTCGCAGATCGAAGACATCAATAGGCGCCTTTCATTGGTGGAACGGGAATTTCTTGGACCAGGCCTACCCAAGCGACCATACTATCGTCATGTCTTACAGGCTCCTGGTTACTACCTTGGATATGGAAGTCAACCATTTCCAGGTATACATCAAGCTTTCTACGATGGTGATGCAAAGTTGGCGCAATCTGAGGTTCTTGTGGCAGCCAAGGCTGTTTCCAATGCAGCCAGTCTTCTGCGAGGCGACCCTACATCCAAGCTGCCTATGGAAGGACAGCGTCAGCAACATTAAAATCACTCCAGTCAATAGGGACTGCAGAAGTACACGGATCTATCTCTCTACTTTTCCTGTCGTATCCAATCCCTATCTGGGCGCCAGAATAGTCACATCACTATAGAAACGCCACGGGCGGGACAATTAGCATCAAGAAGCATTTGTTATTAAGAAACCATCATGAATCCTTCAGCCAAGGAGACTCTAGCACTTGCTTTGCCGTCCATCTTTCAAGTGGGTTTAGCTTTATAGAGTGTGGAACAAAACACTCAGGGCTTCTGGAGGCAATTTTGAAACAATCTTTATCTGATCAAACAGAACTTCCTTGGCCCTGGCATCTTCAGCCACATCTTCAAGTACTTCTATCATCAACCCACCCACGAATGCAAGCGCCAAATTTGTAGTAGAGTTCCTCAGCATTCTCCTTGGAACTCTTCCCGTTCGTCTGAACGTGTAGATATTTGAGGCAAAGAAGGGCCTCTTGCTGTGTCCATGTTGGCATGTAAAAGAAATTGATGTCTCTACAGCCCTTCGTGTTCCAACGGCTGATCAAGCTGTGACCATGGGACAGGATAAACAGGAGCCGTGGAATATCGAGCCGCGCGTTTGAGATTCTAGCATCTCCCTCGTCGGGATCATGAAGGACAATCATGTCTCTTTCCTCTGGAACTCGTTTTAGGAATGACCACTCATTGGAGGTTGCATCACCGTCCCAACTTCCATAATAAAGTGTCTTGGAATCAATCTCTGTCAGTTCTTGGCTTAAATTAAAGAGATTCTTGACTTCTTCGTTGAATGTAAACAAAAAGATGGCATCTGCGTGCCAATAGACTACCGTCTTGTGGTGATCCTTAACAACTACGCTGTAGCTAGAGCTACCGGTACAGCAGGGTGCGGAAATGGGACTTAAATCTTTAAAAAAAAGGATTCTGCGTGAAACTAGTACTAGTTTCACGCACTGTTTCACGCACTGTTTCACGCACGTGAAACTACTACTAGTTTAACGCAAGCCTGCGCGAAACTAGTCATAGTTTCACGCAGATCTGCGTGAAACTATATTGAGTCGTGCGTGAAACAGTGCGATCTATCCATAGTATTCACGAGTAAATCTTGCGTGAAACTAGCCGTTTTTCTGCGTGAAACTATGACTAGTTTCACGCAGACCTGCGTGAAACTATGACTAGTTTCGCGCAGGCTTGCGTGAAACTAGCTATTTTGGAGCTAGTTTCACGCAGGCTTGCGCAAAACTAGCCGTTAGTTTCACGCAGGATCCGTTAAATAGCAGACCGAGTTTCATCCCGTTTCCGCACCCTGCAGTACATGTAGTTCTTCTCGAATGATTTTAAAAGTCGAATCACCAATCGAATCGAATCGAATCGGTACTGGTACAGCTGTACGCCGGACTTCGCTAGCTAGAAAGTGCGTGAGCCGTTTGAAGAAGAGAGGAAGAGCTAGACTAGCTTTTCTACGGTCAGGTACATCCGGAGATCAGGAGCTGCAAAGTCGGTGTCCGTAAACTACTATTTCTTTGTTCTATAGAACCAGAGTTAAGCCAACCAACTGCGGTACCCTCTCGTGCGAAGCTTTGGAACCTCACGGAAGCTCTGCTTGATCAGTTTTCCTTCGAGAAATGTGAAACTGAAGAAGGAACTATGTGTCCATGTCGGGTTGGAAAAGAAACCACGCTCTTTCTAGTCTTCGGCATCGTCCTTGCAGGCTTTGGAATAGTACAGATTGTCCAGATCGTACTTGTCTTGTTGTCCGTTCATGTATTCTCGGGATCGCTTTCCCGTATCCCAAGCATCAGCAAGATACCGCGGAACAGCCTTGGGGGCGTCCTCTCCGCCGTCAAGGATTTCCTCCCAGGCTTCGTCTCGAGAGTCTCCGGCGACAGGGAACTCACCCCACTCTATCCACAACCAGGGATCCGAAGTCTCGTAGCCGCTGTGCCCGTAGACACTTGGAACCAAGACACGGTGTCCTTCGTGATCGTCATCGACGTCGTACGTCAAGTTCAGCACATGAACCACGCGTTCATCATCCGATAGAACGTTGTCAACGTACTCAGATTTGAGAGTGGGTACCTCCCTCGGAGTACGGGGTCGTTCGGTCCGGAGACGACGCCAACGAGTTTGTTCGTCTCGCCGGTAAATGTACCCAGTGAAGGGTGCGGCGCTGTCCATTTCAGACGCCACCTTGAGAAATCGGGACATTCCTTTGAGGTCTGCAAGGTCGCTAGAAGGGATGCGCTTGTAGTCGACTGGGCAACGATGAAGTCCGGGCACCAAGACTTCAAATCCGCGATTGGCGTATTTTGCCAGCTGAGGAACAGGCGAATCCAACTGTGAGCGGCATTCACTGCTGTCTGATACATGGTTTCGTTTACTTACACGGAGCTCATAGGATGGCTTGTTGGGCCATGCATGAAGAGGATTTAGCACGTTGACTCCGGATCGAACTGCTGAAATCCACCGAGGGGAGACCCATACATTACGTCCATCATAGCAACAGCAGCAACAGTCTACATCAAATCCAATCAAGACTTCTGTAGGCGAGTCATAGATTCGTAAGACGATCTGAACTTTCACGTCAAGACCGTTCACCCATTGCACCAAATTGATCACTCCTCGTGCTCGGACCACGACCCATTGTTCTGGATCTAGTGCCAAGGCATCAAAAATTCGTCGTGCAATCCTACTTGCTTCATTCGGCTCACAACCGTACACGAACAAGTCGATATCAGACTTTTCTTCGCCCCACCATTTGGATGTCCGAACGTCCTCCGATGCTGTCAAGGCACGCAGCACGGAACCACCTGCCACAACGACATTTTCCTGTAGAAGCACATCGAGCAACCTGTGATGGATATTGGGCCATTCCTTGTTGAAGTTTGTCGTGAACTCTTGCAGGCTCTCGACTGACACACTTGTATTATCTGCGTCTCCTCGCAGGGAATCCATAAAGAGGTTTTGCTGGTCCTGAAGAAGCTCGCTTGAAGGATCGAATTTCAGTGGCATCTCAAGGGTTGTCTCATGGTCTCCGACGGGAAACAGGGCCAAAAGCCCACGGAAACGATCAGGCCATTGCTTTGCAGTCCCATCGACAAAGGCAGCTCGCAACTGGGATTCAGCTTCCCATTGTTTCAACGTGCCAAGAGGAACGGTTTCGGAGATGTCAATCTTGGGCATGTTGATTGCCTTGACCAGGTCATCGAGCCCATAGAAATCTGCCTCGACAGCAAGCTCCGCTTTCGCAGCTGGGCCTTCGGGCAGCGTCACCGCACTGCCAGACCGAAGGAAGTTCAGGACATGGTGAAAGTGCCTGCACGAGTCACACGGAGCGAGAAGGCGCGATTGAGGAACGAAGTGATTTCCCATCCGAAGATCGACTGTTGTGGCCATGTAGCGAAAACTTGAGATACATTAACTCACCTTCCATCACGATCAATGAAGAACGATCCATCATCATCTTGGAGAGGCCCCGTGGCATGACGACCACTGAACATCGCTGCCAAGTGGGAATCAGGAATGCGACAAAGAGTGTCGCGGCTTGTCTTGAAGGTATAACCTCCCACGTCCAGCTTGACTACTTTTGAAAGGCCAGGAGCCCGTCCAACAAGAGAAATTGGAGACACAATGTTGGGCGAAGGTTTAATTGCATTCAGCGTCGATTTGGACTCAAAGGCTGACTGCGAGGGACTTCCAAACGGTACTGCGATTCTGCAAACGGAAGCTTCCTCCAACCATGCTTCATTGTCCTTATCGATATTGGGATTCATGGTAATGTCAACTTGACCTGCTTGTGCTAATGCTATTGTTGGCTTCTGTTGTCGATTCTGATTTGATGTTCGCCCTTTCTAGATTGGAGGGAGGCAAAATAGTGAGGTGAACTGTGGCCTGACTGTTTTCGTCCCAATTTTGGATCTTTTGAGCGCCACAAGCGCAGGCGTCGCCGCGGGGGGAGTGATGCCAAGTTGATGCCAATAACAAAAAAATTGACGTTTATTTTGTTTCGATGTTGCCGGTTCCAGCAACTCTGTAGTTTGAGGTACACTTGATGTGGTTGACTTCACGCATCAGAGGAGCTGATAAGGGACTGCCAGCAAGATCCAGAGAGGGGTTTGCTTGATAGCAATGGAACACTTGCAGTTCAGACGAACATTGGAAGCATTCCCGTGACGGGGGGGGGGGCTTCAAATCTCCTCCGTTGATGCATGCAAGTAAACGACAGAGTCGACTATGAGGTCAGGAGAGGAAACCACAGATAGCATCAAGCGATCCTTGAACTATCAGAAAACAACCTCAGAACCAAAGGAGCTCGGCGACCCCCACTTTCAGCTCCGACAACCTGGTTTACATTTAGATTGCAATGCAAACCAGGACGTTAACATCATCAAATCAAATCTCTTACATTGGGAGTCAGTAGCGTTAGTTCGATTCCCCATTCCCTCTACTTCTTGGGGCGGTAGTGTAGCGGTAGCACTTTCGATTATTGTGTCCTGCTCTTGCTTTCGGTTGCACGTTTGGACCGGTTGCTTCATATGCCTGAAATTGCTGTATTTTCCGGGGCGTTCACTGCAAAGATTGCAATGTCAATCCCATCAATTCCTCTACCTCATTAGTCAGTGCTGTCAGTTCGAATCTGGCCCGTAGAAGCAATGTCTTCCCTTATTCTACGGTGGTGTAATGGTTAACACACTGTTGGAACCTCAGCGTCCTGTTTTGGTCCTGCAGTTCTCATTCCACTTTCAATGACAGGCCCAGACACTCAACTGACACTCACCTTTTGGTGGGAGCTGTTAGTATGTGTGCCTAGAATGGACCCTAGCTAGTGACAGCTGTCTCGATGAAAGAGAGAAACCTACATACAGTCTGACAACCATACAGCCAGCCACGTATTCGGACTTGCGCAAACGGACTCAGGGGAAATCATCCCGCTAGGGCGCCTGTTAGTATCCTGAACTATCATAGGTAGGTGTATACTCTTTCAAATGCACGGCATCACCGAACTGGCCCGGCCTCGCCACCATTTGCGATTCGATTCCACATCTGGACGCACCAATCTATGACTTCTACGGTACGGTCGCTCGTACATGCACATGATGCCTTTGCATAATAAGGTTTGCGCAAATTGAGAAGGCCGCCAACAGCAGAGATTGTAAAGACAATCGCGCCTATTCCTCAAGCCTGGAGATGCCCGTTCGAGTCGGGTCCGTAGAAGCTCGATCTCTGCGGTGGTGTAAGGGCAATCACACCCTGTAACCTACCAGCGCGTCCTGTTTTTGTTTTTTTTGTCATTCGCTGCGCCACACCACACCACCACCCTTTTGTGGTAAATGGCTACGACTGTACCAGGTATGTAGATTTTGTGACAGCCAAAACAGAGCAATTCCAGAATCAGTTGCCTATATCGCTTTTTACATTTCAGATGTACACCACACCAAACTTGTCTTCGATAAGCTTGAGATCCAGGTTTCCCTCGTGATTCTGTCGCGACGTTTCGGCCATGAAATCTTCGGCCCAATGTCCGGGGAAAATGTAGCTGATCAACTTGACCTCGGTATCTCCCGTATTCTCGATAAAGTGAGACACACCGCGTGGACAATGGATCGTGTCACCCGGCCCCACCTGATACGTCTCGTTACCAATCTTGGCTTGCAACTCTCCCGTGATAACGTGAAAGGTTTGATCTTCCCACTTGTGATAGTGGTCTGGCACAAATCCACCGGGACCAATGACCCCGTCCGTGATGACATATTCGCCGCCCGTGGCTTCCTTGCCTACCACGACACCCGTGTATTCCGTGTTGGACATCCAATACTTCTTGCTGCCGTCCCATTTGGATACCACCGTCTGCTTGACGGTATCCTCCGTCTTGGTATCGTGGGAAAGGAATCTGTTTTGTGCATGTTGACGCGTAGCTCTCACAACAAGGGGAGTCTTCCAATAGCCACCCAGCGCAGAGACACGCTGCCGTCGAAGAGAGGTTGTTAATAAAGTTGCCGTCTTCATTATTGTTGGGCAGGCTGCAGTGCTTGGAACCAGCGCAACCCAGGGTAGTACAGCAGCGAAAGGTGGAAGCTGAGAAGATGCAACAGCGATTTGTGGCAATATCTTTTGGATCTTTTGCTGACGTCACATTCACTTTTGTTGACGCTGCCATCAAGCCGTGCCAAGCAGTGTGGGAATTGTGAGAATAAGAACACGACGAAGCCAGGATATTGCCCTTTTGCCAAGGGAGTGGTATCCTGCAGACAATTGTCGTTATTATTATCAGAACATCAAGAGCATGAGATCGACACTACAACATCGCTTTGGACTTGCCAGAAAGCTAGCTCGAGTACCGCTACCGGTAGCATGCTTCTGTCGCCAGAGATACTCTAGCCACACGAAACGGTTGCATTTCCGTTCGTCATTTCCAGCTTTGGAAGCAGATCGAGCATACTGGCACGACCAAGCTGTCTTGTACTGGTGTGATCAAGTGGTCTTTGGCTTCCACAAGAGTGAATATGCGCAGTAGCTTACTTCATGGTGGATCCCAACAGCTGCGAACGGATTGGAGCATCAAATTTACAGTACGCGCCGGACATGTCACACCCACTCTAATTCGAAGAACAACACAGCGCGGCTGCGATTCCACGATATGCGCATCAGGAGCGAGGACAGCCAGTTGTAACGCACACTGAACGCTACTCGCCATGCGATGACAGTATTGGAACACAGTCCGTCTTGTCCCCAGGTCTTGTCGCGAGTTAGTTCCCAGTCGACGTCGACTTATTGACGTCAGAGCTTAAGTGGATCCGCAGATTAGGCGGCGCCAGAGCTACATCACCACCACTCGAGCTTACTTCAAGCAGTCGGCCACCAGCCGGTAGGACAATATATACAACATTCTGGTACGCCCAAAGCTCACTCCGGCATTCCTATACTCTGCTGTTGCCTCCTGCTCTTGCCTAAAGATAACTATTCTTCAAAACCTATCAGACCCTGAGGCTCTCCGAGTACAGAGTTTTTTCCCTCTAAGAGCTTCAAATCAAGTAGGTCACAATAGACAGAGGTACCAACTTGTTTTCTCGTATAGGACTGTGCCTGTTCATGCGTGGAAGCGTTCTCGTATTCAGGTTCGTCGAGCCGAGTGAAGTCCTTTGTGGACCACGGTTCTCTCTTCTTCCCAGCGCACCGTAGGACCTAGATCTACTCGAATCGGGAGTGCTGGGGCTCAAGGCATTCTTGTCTCCACTACCACCCACGGCGGGATATGAAAGCGTATCACCAGAACAACTGTTGGAAGCAGCTCAAGTTTGCGGAAAACACGACAAGCCTATTTTGGTGCACTCCGAGCTCATGACCGAGCAAGAGCTAATGCAACAAGTGCAAGAGAGCTTTAAAAATGACAATCCACGATCTTACCAAGCCCATCTCCAGTCGCGTCCGCCTCAATGGGAACAAGATGCGGTAGAAGTTGTCTGTCAAGCAGCATCGTTCTGTCATATGCATGTTGTACATCTCAGCTATGCCGGTTGTTTGGACGTCATTGCCAAGACCAAAGCCGATCCCAACAAACGACTGTCGGTAGAAACCTGTCCTCACTATCTAATGTTTGACGACACCATGATACCCGATGGCGACACGCGTTTCAAATGCTTTCCTCCCATTCGCGACGCCGACAACCGAGAACGGCTATGGCAAGGACTCGTAGGCGCTTTGATTGATATGGTGGCGTCGGATCACAGCCCCTGCGAACCGTCTCTCCGACGCCCGGGCAACATGAAAGATGCTTGGGGCGGCCTGACGGGTCTTCAATATCAACTGGCGGCGACGTGGACCGAAGCCTATCGACGAAAGGCATCGCTCTTGGACATGGCCCGGTGGTGGAGTTACAATCCTTGCAAGCTAGCAGGATTGACGGACACCAAGGGAAGTTTGGAAGCAGGAAAGCAAGCAGATTTTTGTTGGTGGGACCCACGGCATGTTGCCGCGCCAAATAGCTATAGCCACGAGTATCACCGATGGAAAGGAGATACGGTGTACGCATCTGATGCAAACTTGCGTGGTCGGATCCTTGGTACTTGGGTGAACGGGGCAGAAGTGTATCGAGGGAAAGATGACGTTCACCTCGGGGATCCCGTCGGTCGTTTCCATGTGGGCTAGCAGCTTTGATGCACGGTGATCCACAATGTCCAGGGAAGTATCTTGTTGACATCCCCCCTCTCTCGATCACCATCTCAGGGATGCAACAATCTTCCTTTTTCTGCAATGGCCGTCGGCCGTACCGGTACCAGTACCAACCCGCATCTAACAAAACCCGTGCTACCATGAAAGATGCACTATGGCTTGGGTACTCCAGCAATCCCAATTCGAGAGCCTAGCTAGATACATGTAGTAACTACTTATTGGTGGGTACTTGTCAGGTTTGCAAAATCACTCCTAATAATCTACAGGTTGTCAAGAATTCCAACGGAAGGGCATCCATTCTCTTGTGCCCAATTGACAACCCGCCAACGTTTGCTGTCTCGTGCCCAATCAACTGTCCTACTATCCCAAGGACAGCCATTTTCTCTGGCCCATTGCAGGAGTTCCAGATTCCCAGCACTAGCAGCACACGCACATGTCCGTGCATCCCAGGGGCATCCGTTTTCTCTAGCCCATTTCAACAACTCAAGATAACCTCCTCCAGCTGCCCTTGCACAGGTTACTGCGTCCCATGGACATCCATTGTCTCGGCCCATTTCAAAGTATCCAGGTGTCCACCCTTTGCAGCATGAGTGCACGTGTCTGAATCCCATGGGCATCCATTGTCTCGGCCCATCAAAGTATCCAGGTGTCCACCTTTTGCAGCATAAGTGCATGTGTCTGCATCCCATGGGACCCATTCTCACTTAGCATATTTAGATCCAGGTGCCCTTTGCGCAGCCAGGCAGTCCGTTCATCCACGGACAGCCGTTTTCTCTAGCCCATTTCAGTATTTCCCGGTACCCACTTTCAGCAGCATACTGGCATGTGTGTGTATCCCATGGACAGCCATTCTGGCGAAGCCATTTAAGGGTTTCCAGATGCCCACCTCCAGCAGCAGTGGCACATGCCATAATAGACCATTGGCATCCATTCTGGTGCAGCCATTTCAAGGTTTCCAGATGTCCACCTCCAGCAGCAGCAGCATAGCATGCACCACTATGCCACGTGCATCCATTTGCTCTAGCCCACTTCAGTACCGCCAAATGACCACCCTGAGCAGCTCCTTTGCAGGTATTTGCATTCCATGGGCAGCCATTTTCCCTGGCCCATTGCAGCAATGCCAAATGGCCATGCCTAGCAGCCACACTGCATGTATTTTGATCCCACTGAAAGCCTCTTTGGCGGGCCCACCACATCACTGGAATACTCCCATATTTGGCAATTGCTGCGCAGACGTTGTGATCGGTGGGCGTTTTGTTGCTGGATCGTCACTGTACCAGTATTTGGCACAGTCAACATTGTAGAATGCAGCACTATGAACGGTATCGGTGCTGGTTGCTGGAATTTTCTTATGGTTCTGATGGCGGACAAGGGGAGCATCCTTCACAGTAGAACAGAATTTCTCATAGAGCCCCTTCATCTGTTTGTTGACCCCACCAACAAAGGCATATTGACCCATCCCCACAAGGGGAAGGATATCATTGATCCAGAGGTCCTTCTGCTCCAAAAGTGTGGAGAACGTGAACGGAGAAGCAGATTCTTCGTCGCAGGTGTCTTCGCGAGAAATGCAGGCACCTGACAAGCATTTCTGCTTCTTGGGATTTGGAGGATGTGTGGCATGGGAGATCGAATTGGTTTTTGCCCTTTGCTGATGCTGGGAAGGGAACATGGTGAGTGTCCTGTAGTGGAAAGGCGCTGGGGAGTCAGAGGGAGAGGTAGGATCGGGCGATGTGCGAAGTGAGATAGCTGTGATTGTGGGCGCTGTCCATTGGTCCCCAATTTATGGCCCCTGATCAAACGGAACTCAGTCCCAAATTTCAGCTCTTCTTTACCTGAGAGAGCTGGTCCCTTCCGTAGATAACTTCCCTACTCTAGTAGCCTGAACCCCCTTCCCAGCTACCGGTACCGGTACCGCTTCGCAAGATTTTGATTCGATTCTGATTCGATTCGATTCATCATAATAGTCGAATGAATCATTCGAATCGAATCAATCGAATTCAATTTCGCTTTTCAATGACAATTCTGAGCGGTATTCAAAGGACTTAACTAAAGGATCCGGCGACAAACCTCGCCCTGCGCGTTTTGTCATTGCGAAAAGCTCTTTCACCACCGCCGCCACCAAACCCTCCGATCAGTGTTTGTGCGGTGTGAAGGGTATCATCATCTTATTTGTTGTGCTACAAGTCTAGCTAGCTAGCTAGTCCCTTTTTGTTTGTCGTTGTCCTCCCATTAGCTATAACCACAACAATCACCATGGCAGAGCGGTCTCTGAATGCGTCGAACATGTCCATTTCGGTGGCGACATCTGTATCTCAAAAGGACCGGTCCATGTTCATGTCTCCCACTAGCATTGGTTCCTTGGGTTCCCCATCGGCAGCTGCCATGACATCTCCGGAAATGGATCTGCATTGGGATGCACAAACGATTCGAAATGAGTTGCATACGGCCAGCATTGTCTTGTCGCAGAGGTGTCTCAAGCTAGCCGCCAAATGGGCCACGGAGCAATTGTTGGGGTTGCCCTACGACAGTACTACTACTACAGGTGCTACCAGTAATCCCAAAATGGAAGAGGACAGCAATAGCCACAGCAACAACTCACTGATCAAGGAAGCTCTGCAAGAAATGGATCCCTTTGTCTTGCATGCCAAGTCACTGATGGAATTGGGAGAGTATATGCATGCTGCTGCAATGTTGTCTCGACCCAATCAAATTGTTACCACCATGGCAGCGCCTTTACCCGAATTGTCATCGTATGGCATTTTTCTGAGAGCCTATGCCTTGTTCATGGCGGGAGAACGGCGTAAAGAAGAAGATTATGTGGAATTGCAGAGGTAAGAATGAGCAAACGTCAGGATAATCGAGATCACAAGGACGACGAAAACTGAGGTACATTATTGTTGATTGTTGATTATCGTTTCTCACCGTTCCATCGTGCCAATAATTGGAAATTCACACCACAACCCACAGCGATGCACAAAAACATTCTTTTGTACGCAATCCTTACCTATCACAACTGTGTCAAGAACTCAATGAGGCCTATCAGAAACAAAAATTAGACGCCTTTGGTCTGTATGTCTACGGGATGGTGCTGAAAGAAGCACAAGCCGCTCGATTGCCACTCAAAGCCGACGACCCTCCGGCACACCAAATTTTGATGGAATCCGTCTTGCAATTTCCTTGTAATTGGAGTGCGTGGCTCGATCTTGCCGCCGTGAGCTTGAAAAATTCGCAGGTTGAACAATCCTTGGAACAACGACTTCTCCCCGAATTGGGAGGTCACTACATGTACCATTTCTTTTGTGCGCATTTAATGTCGGCTCACCAGGCACACGAAGATGCACTGGTGCTCTACGACCGTCTCATGGAACCACAGCAGGGATCACCTCTCTTTCAATCGCCCTATCTCGTCAGTCAATTGGGAGTACAGCATTACCATTTGCGACAATTTGGACCCGCCCGAGGATGCTTTCAACAATTACACGCCAAAGATCCCTTTCGCATGGAAGATTTAGACGTCTATTCGAATGTCTTGTATGTGGAAGAAGATCGTGTCGTCTTGTCGCAATTGGCACATACGGCCGTCAAAGTCGACAAGTATCGACCCGAAACTTGCTGCATTGTGGGAAACTACTACTCTTTGAAACAAATGCGCCAAAAAGCCGTCGTCTACTTTCAACGGGCGCTCAAGTTAGACAAGCATTACATGAGTGCCTGGACGCTGATGGGACACGAATATGTCGAGTTGAAAAATACAGCCGCCGCAATGGAGGCCTATCGACGAGCGGTGGAACTGGCACCACACGATTACAGAGCTTGGTATGGTTTGGGTCAAACGTACGAATTCCTCAACATGCCTCTGTATGCTCTCTACTATTATCGCAAAGCTGTGACATTGAGGCCTTTTGATGCCCGCATGTGGTGTGCCATGGGATTGTGTTTTCTGGCTCTGAATCGGACCAGTGATGCTATTCGCTGCTACGAACGGGCTATCAACCAGGGAGATGCAGAAGGGATTGCGACACAGAAACTGGCAGCACTCTACCGACAACAAGGGGATAACGAGAAGGCGGCACAGTGCTACATGCGACACTTGGAACTGCGATATTTGATCACCAATCCTCATGCTCAGGCTCCTGGATCCAACAATCATGACTTGTCTTTGGATTCGATAGTGCAAGAGGTTGTCATGGAAGCACCCGAAGCAGAGGCAATGCTCTATTTGGCAAACTACCACAAACAGCATGGAGAATACAACACGGCTGCCCTGTTTTGTTCGCGGTTGTTGGAATACCCGGGGCCCGAAAAAGAAGAAGCAAAGGCATACTTGCGCGAATTACGGTCTCGCAAGAATCATGCCCAACAGAACCAACAACCAGCAAGACGGATGCACACACGAAGCAAGGGGCCGCCCATCCCGGCATGGCCCATGGATGAAGACGACAACGAAAAGAAAGATAGCTCATTTGAGTTCTCACCATAGCATAACAAATAGCTAGAGAGGAAACAATTCTTACTGCTCTTTATAGGACTCCAGCTGCTGCGCGGCGAGATTTTGTCTCCCGCGAATTGTGTAGTTGGGGTGCACGGATTGTTGGAGGTACCAGGTACCGTATCGGGTCGAGCGAGACAGCTGTTGCCTCCGTCGCTTTTACATACTTGCCATACCGGTAAGATAGACAGCATCGGAGTACATGTACTCATCAGAATACTGGTAGATCTAGCTAGTCGTCGTCCTCTTGCTTCTATCTATCCATCTTTTGCGTGCCGACCTACATTACTAGTACTGTATAACTAGCGCGCAGCAACTTCAACCATTTTCTATTCTTCCTTGTCTTTAGTGGCAGATCCATCAGTCGCCACTGTTGCACCCTTGGCAGGGGATTGTGGCGGACTGGACCGCCGTTGTTCCAAGAATGCTGCTTGTGCCTCGTCCTTCCTTGGGACCAGCGCACTCAACCACCAGGACATGGTCAACCAGCCAGCCGATGCCAGCACGGATAACTTGGATAGATGGTATATCCCAAACTGCGGAAAGACATATGCCAGTCCCGACATGAGAAGCGACACTCCACTCTTTCCAAACCGGCTGCCCAAAACCCCAATGATTTCTTTGCCGAGATACCGACTGTCAAAATCGAGTGGCTGATATACCATTTCATTGACAACTCCACGAATACTGTAATCCATCGTCTTGGCGGCAAAAAAGGACAGTGCCAAGATGAATAAGTCGGGGGACGCCCCTTGAAAACTCTGATAGAGCGAAAACATGAATGGAACCAGGGGCATGACCTTCCATACCAAACGGGGCTCTATCCGCTGTAGGAACATGGGAATGACAACAAACTGAAGTACTCCACTAAGACCACTGACACCGGCAAAGAGACTCCCGGTCCATGCCGCTCGTTCATTGTCGTTCGGCATGACTTGTTTGAGCCGTGTGACCATGGCAATATTGAGAATGACCGACATGGATTGAAAGGTCAAGACTTCTCCAAAGAGAGCTCCCAGAGTTGGTACCCGTTGGAACAAATCTTTGGCTTTCCAGACCAAGTTATTATTGGAGGAGGACGAATTGTTGTTGTTGTTGTCGTCGTTTTGTGCACTTTTTTCGTTTTGTTTGATTTTGGCAGGATCAAATCCGTGTGTCTCGGACAATTGATAGGCTCGATCACAACAAATGAGACTCAGTACGAGAAAGATACAATTGCAGGCCACCGTCCCAACGAGCCCCACGGAATTGACCAGTGGTTTGACCATGGTCCCGGTCATAGTGCAGATGATGGAGGAGAGTCCTGCAATGGACGAGAACCAAATGGACCCCTCTTTGGGAGTCATGACACTGGACAGGAAACTCCAATGCTGTGTATATAGCAAATGGGCATAGGAATTTTGATAGACAAATGCCAGTGCCACCAATGCTTTTCGAGCCATCCCCAGATGATTAGAAGAAGTGGATTGCAATGATAATAAGAGTTGGAGCAACAGGGCCGTCCCGGCAAATACAAGGATGGAAAACAGCGTGGTGGCTTGAAGCGCCGCCCGTGGTCCCTTTCGTTCCAATACATTTCCATATCCCATGAGCAGCAAGAAAGAAAAGGGACTGGCCAACCCCATGGCGAGGGGAAAAGCACCTGGATTGGAGAAACCCACTTGGTTGGACGTGAAGAGTGCCAGCATACTACTCCGTACAAATTCGTATCCGCCAAAGTGCAATGCCATGGCACTGGCCATGTACAAGATGGCTCGAGGGCGAGGTTGTGTGAAGAGTTGTTTCGCTTGGTCCATTCTGGAGGATAAGGAATGAGTAGTTGTGGTATTATTGGTATCACCACTTGATTCCCAAAATAAATCGGGTGATGCAGGCTGTGTAGTTTCTTCTGGATTTAATATTGGTTCTGTACTGTTGGTGTCACTTGTGTTATTATATCCTTGTTGTGATTCTTGGGATGATGATATGGACGACGCCAATAGAACTGGCAAGGCTGATCGAATCAAGGTGGGTCGTAGGAATCCAGCTGATTGAGAAACAAGCGACGGAAGGTTCATTCTACTTGTAGCAATCCTTGCAGCAGGACTCAGTAGCTGCATTCCTTCTTTCCTCCTATCCTCCACAGAAATGATAGATACCGTGTAGATCAGGAGCTACGGTAGCTAGTCTAGAGTAGAGGTTCCCGATGAGTGCCAGAGTTTCAAAGGTGGGAAGTCTCCTGGTTGATTGGCGGCTAATGTTGTTGGCACTGATTGCAGACTGACGTACTTTTCACATCCCTAACGCTAAATTTATGCATCGCCCTTCGCATTGCCTTGCAGGCTCTCGCGCCGAAAGTGAGCCCAATCCTGGCGCCAATCTGTGAGAATGGCTCAGAGCTGCCACCACCAACAATCAGCACAAGAGACAACTAACTTTGAGTGCTGACCATGACGGATCCTACGGCTAATGGCAGCGGTGGAGGCACGCCTCAACCGTGGTTATCATCCACCACGACGCCTCAAGGAAATGTCAATAGCCACATGCCATTTGCGTCCACTACCACAATTCGCCCACAGATGATGTCTGTCCCATCTCTTGTCAGCAATCGAGGACGGAAAAAAGTAACTCCCTCCACAGCACTTCGGCGACCTCCCCTTGCTGCGGCTTCCGCACAAGCATCTGCCTCTGTGGTGCCATTATCCATCACAAAATCTACATTATCTACCTCCAAAGCACCCAGCAAGGCATTATCTTCGTCCTCCTCCTCATCTCACTCGTCTATAGAAAAGATCAAATCCAAGAAAAAGTCCAAGAAATACATTGACTGGCCCTCTTCCTCTGCCGATGCATTGCCCAAGCTCGCTCCTCTCTTGCTGGAACGACTGCAAGATAATAGTCTCGAATTTCCCATCAATGAAGAATGCACGGCTCTGACCTTGTCGCCCAGTGGTCGTCTCATGATTGCCTGCTTTCCCGATGGTACGATTCGGCTTTTTGACTTGACTGGAACCTTTTCATCCTCCTGTTGTGCCACTCCCACTAACAGCAGCAGCAGCAGTAACAACAATCCAAAGGGCAAGCTGGAAGATAACTTGTTTGACATGGACTCGTCTTCCGAAGAGGAAGAAATGGACAATGACACCAAATCTCCCCATGCGGCTTCTTTTCAACAAGAACAAGAGGATACTAGTCCCAAACGAGGAGGACGCAATCGCTTTGTATTGTCCAAAGAACATCAGCGTTTTGGGACGGTGGCATGTCAGATTCATGCCAAGGGGGTCATTACATCCTTGCTCATGGATGTGGCTGTCGCCGAAGATGGACAATACTGTTTTGCCGGGGTTTTGCGTGGGACACAAGAAATGGTGGCCGTTCATCTGGGGGCTGTGGAAGCGTTTCTCGACAAGCACCTCCGGCAACCACAAGAGCACATTCCAGAATTGCTCGACTTGATTTCCGTCTATCGGTGTTCGGATGCCAAATTACGAGGCTTTGGGGCGTGCACGCGAGTCCGCAATGGGACACGGTCCCATCCACAGTATCTCCTCTTTACCGGCAAGGCCATCAAGAACATTCACATTTGGCGATTCACACCACCGACAGATCCAACCCTGAGCACTTCCGAAGATGACGGGACATGGACACAGCTATATGATACACAGACCAATGGCAACAGCATCAAGCTGTTGCAGTTTCGATACGACCCGAATGGATTGTTGCAAGGGATTAGCAAGAGCGATGATCAGAAACTGCGAGTGTGGGATTTGTCTTTTGAACAACACCAAGGCGATCCCAAGAACCCCTTCTTTTCCAGGTGCAGTGTCATTCAAAAGTTTGCCAAGGAACAGCGTAAGAGAATCATTCACAAGGAGCGCCCCACGAAACCGCTCTACAGCGATGCCACATCGTCCGAAGCAACGGCGACAGTGTGTGGTGGTTTTGCCTTTTGCTATAAAGACAATCATACGAGCCGTATCAGCATTGTCAAACTGGACGTGCCAGACATTACATCGCCCTACAATCATTCCGAGCTCGCCTTGCCGGGAAGCAGTAGTGGTGTACCGTCACGAAGTCGACGGCAACAACGGGGAGAACTCAAAACAATCACCTGTGTAGCTGGAATGGCCATGGATCCGTCTTATGTCTTGCTGGAAGTCTCGGATGTAAGTGTGTTTTTGAACAGAAGGTGCTTGTCTTGCGCGGTGTGGGATGCTCACCAATTAACCTTTTGTTTGCTGCATCCGTTCATCCAGGGATCGATCATCCAATACTCTGACGGGAACAACGAGGGGAACAATGGACAACCAAAAGTAGAGCGAGCTATATTGCCAGGGACAGGGACTGATCCACTGCAAGACGGATTCAGCCGCAAAATGTGTGTTGGGAAGGTGGGCTCGGAAGGAGCAGTTTTGGCAGCCTTGAGTTGCTACAACAGCGGCAGCTCCAGAGGCACCATCCTTTTGAGACCTATCAACGGAGCGACATACTCCAGCAATCCGCGTCAGAAGGGCTTTTGGGGTTTTTCTCGTTTCGTGAAGAAGCCCAAGAAGGCCAAGTCTGCAACCACTGAGCCAAAAGTTGAAAGCACCACCAAAGCCATACGAGTGTGTGCCCGTCAAGAGTCACCGTCACCAATAGGGCAGCAACAAGTGGGTGAAAGCCGGGAGTCTCCAACTGCCTCGCAGCAAACGGAGCAAGGTGCTTCGAGCCCACATCAGCCAGCCACTGATATCACCCAATGGACTAACCCGCCAACGGCACAGCAAGCAACCTCCAGCCAAAATGATTCAACAACGGGTGTGCAGCTGTTTGGAAACCCCTCGGAAGACAATCATGCTTTCAAAGCTGCACCCTTGCCGAAGAAAAGGAGCCAAGAGTCACTAATCCATATCGCTTCCACGACCCACTCGATGACGAAGCCTTCAATGCTCGCTGCAATTGCCACTTCAAAAAGATCAACGAAACCAACACCAAAGCTTACAAACAAGATCTTTTCGACATCACAAGCACCGACATCCACTACAACCGCAAAGACAGGCGAACCGCCTGAAAAGAAACGCAAGTCGATTGTTGACGCGCCATCGGTCGTCCCTGATTCTTCCGTGAAGGCCACACTGAATGGGATACCTATGAATGGGACACCAAGTGCCGTCAAAGTGGCCCCCAAGAAAAGCCACAATGGGCAGGTCTCTCCAGACCACGAGCAAGCCGCGATGACATCCTCAGAGACAAAGCACAATGTCGAAGCGTCTCCAGATTCTCTCCCTCCCACCAGCGCAATTCCGCCTAAGCAGAGGAAAGAGAAGCGTCCATCGCTGGGAGACCTTGCAGCGGCCGCCCTTTCAGTGAATACTATGAATAATGATGAGTCAACGAAGGACGCAGAACACAATTGTTCCGCCTCAATACGGTCTGCTACTCCACAGCCTACCATTCCAAGACCCAAAGCAGTGGACCGAGTTCCAGCGACGCCAAACGATACCCCAACGAAACTGCATGGGATGTGCGGCAGCGACACAGCTTCGGACCGTGTGCGAGCTGGAGTGAAAGAGGTCTCTCCAGATTCGAAAGCTTCATTGGATGGACGTTGTATTACTGCATCGAAATCAACCAGCAAGCTCTCTGTGACCGGACAAGTCAATGCGCAACCACTGGCCGAAAACACCACGAAGTCGTCAGCTCCTTCGATTGACAAGAGTACTAAAACCTCTCGCTTGCTCCCGAGGAACCCTTCGTCAGCGGAAGGGGCAAAGCAACGTGACAATCGAAACTCCGTTCGATCTTCCATCAAAGAGACTGTCTTTGTCAAACCCAGCCAAAAGCTTCCATCCTCAAACGACAAGGAGAACACCTCCAATCTCCGACATTCGAATGGAAGCAGTGTGTCTGCAACGAAACAGAAGAGTCAGAGTGCCACTGGGCGAGACAAGGGGGACGTTTCTCGGTCAAAGCAGAGTGATGGCAGCAAAGCCGCTTCTAAACAACATCGCTGTCAACAGTCGGGTTCCAGTGAAAAGGGGGATGCTTCAATGTCCACAACCAAGCCGAAGCAAACTGAAGCGAGCTCTGGGAGTTCGACTCAACGAGCTATTAGTCAGTTCTCTTCTTGCTCAACCCAAATCGACAAAGACAACGCGTCAATCACAAAACGGGAGAACTCCAGTGATATCAGCAGCGCTGTGGTTTCTGTGGCTGAAGAGAAAGGGTACAAGTCAGCATCGCAACGACAGTCGGGTGCGGGGATTTCCACTGCCACGCGGAAAGAGGATCACTTAGCTACGGCGCGCGACAAAGAACAGGGGCCAAAGGCGCTATCTGATGTACCTGCAGTCGCTAGGAACGACGATGCCAAGCAGGACAATCAAAGCGCCTCCAAGGCCACAGGGAAACGTCGGCATGCGGATGAAAACGATTCTTCATCTGGAAACCAGAGCTGCAAGGAGAAACCGACGAAGATTGCAAAGACCGCGGAAGCGTCAGATGTGGCAGCGGCACCAACAACGTTCAACCAGGTCAAAAAGCCAAAGGTCCCAAAGAAAACTCATCGTCAGTTTCCGAATCGCGATGCCCTTCTCGATCAATGTGACGAGCAAGAGGTTCGAATCACCTTGCTGGCCAAGAACCATTTGCCACCATCTCCAGTTGCACAACGAATGGGCCTTACGGATGTCTCAACTCCATCAGACATAGCTTCCCGCCAGGAGCTGTCGCGCATGAAGTTGGCTACGCAGCACCGTGCCGAACATGAAAAGGTCCTGAAACAATGCATTGGTATCTCCCTGGATGCGATTGAAGAGGCAAGATGTGCCAAGTCTTTGGCAGCCGTTGATGCGGCCGAAGAGGAATGGAAAGACTTGTTCAGGTACTATTATGAAATCTTGGAGCAAGTCCTGTGGCGACAGAATGAAGAAGCCACCACGTTGGCTGACGAGCAAGGCTATGAGAATCGCGAGAGTGGCCTTCGACACACTCCGGTTCTGCAGGTTTCATTCCCCTTCTTCAGTGTCTTCAAAGAAGTATTTGCATGTATGGATGCTGTCTTCAAAACGACAGCTCGATGAGCTATCAATCCTCCTGGCTGGGAGTTAGGGATCTGACTTAAATGTTGTTGTCTTTTACATGGCTTCGTTCGTTGTTACTCCTGCCATAGAAGTAGTCTAGTCTAATCTATCTATTGCTACAACTGGTGAAAAAGGCTGTTTATTCTTTGAATGCATGGTTGAGCTAAGCTCGCATTATCAACGTCACTTTTTGTTCACATCGAATTCAATCTGTTATGAAATGTCTACGGTAGTAAGCGTTTGGCTGCTTCCTTTATCTTTATTGTCTATGATAATGAGCTTCTTCCTCTATTCAAATTCACCCCAATTGTAAGCCTGAAGCGTTTCCAAGATCAGGGCCAACCGGTCTTTGGTGCTGACAGTTTCCAGCAATCGTTGCTTCAAACCCTCCATGCCCGGCTTGTTTTCGACAAGAGTTGTCGCCGAGTAAGAAAGGCGCCGAAGTCGACGATGCGATGGCAACAAGGGCGACACGGGCACAAAGTTGTGCTTCAAATCAGTTCGTCTTCCAATGTCATTGGCGATCTTTTGCAAATGAAAATTGGAGGGCCATTCCATATCGACAGGTAGCAATCCCAACAAGGCCGGTGACACTGGCGTTTTCGTCGCTGTAAGAAAGGTGTTGATTTCCAACCAAACCTTGTATTCCAGCTCATCAAAGGACAGATTCATGATTGAGTCATCTGATGGCGTAAAGTCCTTGAGAATATTTCCATCCAGAAGCTGTTGTTCTAGACACGGCTGTTCATCTCTGACACAAGCACTCTGTAGGTCCTCTTCCTGCACAATGTCGACTACAGTCTCCGTCTCTTGATTGCCACTTGGGCTGTTGCAGTCAATCATGTCAAAATCAAGAGATATATTGTTGAGATGTGCCAGGTCTGCCGTTTTGGAGAGGGGCACGAATGGGACCACCAAAGTCAGCATGGATCCATGAATATCAGCTGTCTGCAGATCCTTCTTTTTTGGAATGGGTAATTTGAATGTTTCGTCATATTCGTAGGGATGATACCTTTGGAAAGATTCTGCCAAAGCCAACGATCTCGCGTCACGAACATCTCCTTCTGTGCTAATATCCACCCAGGTATCTGGATCCACTTCTTCGGTATCCGGCAAAAGTTGGACATCGGCAATGGAATATGGGAGCTCTTGCTTCACATTGGAAACCACAAATCGCTCCATGGCTTCTACCAATACCAATAATCGACCATCTTCCATTCTTCTATAATCAGCAATCCTCATCAGAGTTCCAACCACGGCTGACCTATCACTGGACGTGTTGTCCTCCTTGGATTCGGCATTTTCTTCAATCTCTTGTTCCCAATTATTCAACGGTTTCTTTTTGAGATTTGCACTTCCTTCGGGCAAGGATAAGTGGCCAAGATACCAGGGTTTGTCGTTGTACAGAATACTCTCAAACCTAACAGTCATGTCATTGGAAATGTATGCGTCCGAGGGAAAAAGTGAGAGGTGTAGAAAAGCCTAGATATAAGAATTGCAATGGAAGCCAATACGTACAAGTTTGTATAGATTGGCTCATGTACATTGAGCATATTGGATCTTCCAGGCAACTCGGTCCAGCCAACCCTCCACAAGGGCAAGTCTGTGATAATGCCCGACGAGGGATCAAACTTTGGTTGGGTAAAATTGGTGGATCGATAGTAAGACATTTGCAAAGACCGAACCATGGCCATTCGGCGTTTGAAATCAAGTTCGCTCTCTTGCTCTCCCTCGGAAGCATCCCTAAGGACCACCCTTGACGAGACGGACTGATGGGACCTTCGCAGTGGCAACGCCGGAGAAGAAGTCCATGCTTGACAGAATAAAGAATTCTTGGGGGCACTACCTCCAACCAACGCCAACAATTGCAGTATCAATACTCTTGGATCTTTCATTTTGCCGCCATTCATTCATGTAGATAGTCTCTCTCTGTGTTTGTGAATCCATCACCTGTGTTCTGCAAATTGATTGATGGGTGGAGCGTCATGGAGACTGTTGTCAAGAACCGCCGTTGAGAACATGAATCGAATCGAATCCTTCTTTCGGAACAGGCCGCAGAACCAAGCAGCTGCAGCCAACAATGACGGATCTGTGAAAGCTAGATACTTTTGGCACGAATCAGTGTCATGCGAAGGCTTGTTGAGCCGTGGACAGCGGACCGTGGAATCTGGCCCAGTGGCTGGGTGTTTGTTGCGATGGACGGTATGCTCACGATGAGCATTTGCAATGACCAAACATTAAAATTACTTGGAGTTAGCTACAGTACCGGTACATCTGGTGCCAAATTGAAGCTGCTCTGAAAGGGCTGAGGGGGCACGGAGTGGAGCGACCTGCTACGCAGCTGATGGAACACAGGTCTGTCGCTGGAAAGGATGCGCATCTAGGTGTCTTGAAGTCCCCAAACACAATTGATGTGCTATGGTGATTGGTGCAGCTCAAGAGTTTCATCTGGAAGCAAGTGATGAGATGGGCTTATGAAAAACGGCTGCTCATGGAATAAATGTAGCCACACCTTTTTGGGTCTGCTTCCAAATGCTTGAATTACATGGGCACATCAGATGTATGCTAATGTTTGGTTAGGGACAACCTCTCCGACAGTAGTAACGAGTAACTAATTATGGCAGGCTAGTTAAACTTGTTGAGTACCATAGACTTGACTCTACATGGATCACAGCACTATTTGATGCAACTTTTTGTCGTCACTTTTCTCAACCTCACAGGGAAGCGCTTGCAATGCCTTTTTTGTTGTTGTTGCTTCGAAGCATTCCATCTACCTGATGAAAATGTATTGTCACACAGACGTTAACTGTAGAGGCTCTCCTTTCATGCATCTCTGTAGATCCAAGGTCCTCGAACAGTTCCAATGACAAGGACATTGGTATTGGTGGACGTATCGGTAAAGTCAACAAGGCCTCGGCTCAGTAAGTGTGGTGTGTTTCGACTGGAACAAGCATCGTCAGCTACTCGAACCCAAGTTTCACCATCGGTACTTTGATAGAGACCATCCGATGTGCTGGCAAACAACGTTGCGCTGTTTCGTGTAGTGAGCCCAGTGGGATGCAAGTCGTTGCCGCTCGTGCTGTCCACTCCCACGGTAACTTGTTCCCATGTCAGCTTCTCATTCCAGTTTATGCGGACCATTGGAAGTGACTGAAAGGCTACATACAAATAGTCTCCCAACATGGCAGCATCGTATGTATGACAGAATCCGCTGTCACACGTTGTCGAGTCTTGAAATGATGGCAGTGCTTCCCAAGACTCTGGCAAGAGAGGATCGTTGCCATTTGCAAGCAGATGCGCCCCACCCCACCCCATGTAAAAGGCAAGGAGACTGCCATCATCCAAAACATGCATATGAGTGACAGGGCCATCACAATACTTGGCCCCATCAGGAGGTTTTGGAACCCCTGTTCCGGGTGCCTCAGTGGGAATACTCGAAAAGTCAAAGGGCTCACAATCTGTGGGAGTTTGCGCCCAAGTTTCTCCTTCATCAGAACTCGTATACAAACCTGAGAACGTAGCAGCATACACAATGCCCCCACTGATCACAAATCCACCCTGAGTTCCAATAGTGAGTACAGTTCGGAACGTACTGTCTCCGGGCGTTCGAAGCTTGATCCAACTATGGCTCCCGATCAGCTCGTTTCCATTCACTGTTTTTCCAACTGACCAAACATTTTCTTCTTCCACACTGTTTCCCAACCAGGAACTGAAATCAGCGGGGTCTCCACTTGTCGCTTCAAATCCGCCTTTCCACGTTCCAACAAGCAAGTTGCCAACAGCGCTCCCGGTTTCTGTGATGGCCAGGGTGCCTGTCATTGTATCGGGTATCGTCCATGAATGGTCGGCAATGTTGGTCCGGGAAAAACCGCATCGACACTGATCACCACTGTATCCTGGCTCACAGCTATTCGTGGTAGGTACACAGTCACCCGCAGATTCTGATCGAAGCACACTCTGAAAGAAGGATCGAACTCCAGGAATGAGGTCACGACAAGTGCAGTAAGGCAGCTCACACCAATCCTGACAGAAGATTGCCTGGCAGAGATTGGGAGCTGTTGCCAGCCAGAGGATCACAGAGAGGGCTGAGGGTTTTAGATTTCTCATTGTTAACGTTTGTCAAATGGGTTGATTTGGAGCAAGAACCCTCCAGTTGCAACACCTCGGTTCGTCAATGTCATGTATGTGTTGTTGTTGTTCCGAGTGCAGAAACGTGGGCAACTGTCTTCCTCTAACTAAACGCCCTCATTGAGACATGGATAATTCGCTAAATAAGTGTTTGAAGATTCGACTCATTCGACTGGATTCGATTCGATTGGATTCGATAGTAATCGAAATAAAATTCGGCGGGACACTGGGTCGAGACCGAACTCGGACGGTTTGTCATCGACCTCCTCTCTCATTTTTTGTCAGTTTTTCCTCTTCGCAAGGCTTGGTTTCGAAGATGATGAGCGTCGAGCTCGCACAGGTCACAAAGGCCACAAAGGCTCCCATCTACAAGGGTGGTGACAAGATCGACCCCTTAAAGTACTTGACCCATGATTGTTTGGTTCACGTCCTTTCGTTTTGCATCGGCTCTGGTAACGTTGTGAACGATGGCAACGACGGCAACGACTGCAACGACTCTGGGGTCGAGCCGCCAAAGATCGAAGGAGTTCTCCTTTCAGACTTGTTGACTCTCGTCGACATGTTGTCCTTGCTTTCTCAAGAGTGGAAACGCGCAGTGATTGGAGCCATCCCGTCTCTTCAAATCTTCCTCAATGCTGATTTCAACGCCGTTCCACCGAACAAGCTCGACAATGCAATTGAGTTGGCTCGTCTTCGTCCTGTCAAGTCCATCGGTTGGTTGGGAAATGAAGAAGGGCCACAAATGCTTCGAATGCGCGCTTGTGACAAGAGCCAGTTGGAGCATGCACATGTAGGAATTTGTCTACCACTGCAACCCAACGTCACCACGATTGCTGATTTGGAAACCTTGACGTTCTTGCAACTTGCGATCGGCCTCGAATGCCCCAAAATCAAGAGCATCAACGTTTCCATCCGTCTTCACGAAACAGTGGACGATGTTCCGTATCGGCTGTTCCGCCGTGCCCTTTTTTGGAATTCGGCCATCACCGACGTAACGATGACTGTTGACGTCCTTAAGCACGGCTCGACGATCAACGACTTGTTCTTCATTTCCGCCGCGGTTGAGGATTTGCAATCCCTCCGGAGACTACGATTGAAATGTTCGGCTGCCAGTATTTCCCCGCATCCCAGCCACAACTTTCACATATCCTCTCGGTCTCTAGAAACACTTGTGGTGAACGAATTGTGCGAACGTGCACAAATAGTTTTGGACGCTCCCAAGCTAACTCTCTTTGTGTGCGGTGGCGAATGCGTGAACAATGCCACCAGAGAACTTCGAGTGAAACAAACAGTGTTTATACTGGATGACCACGCGGTAGCAGAGAACTGCACAGTCTCTTGTCGCCCCTTCGGCCAACTTCACGAGCTTCGTATCCCGTTCCGGACGATGTTTCGTGGTGCTCGGGGTCGAGCTTTGCGAGAAGGTCGAACGCTACGATAAGTTCAAACAGGAACAGGAAGAGACGTGGTTTCCGCTGAGTAAACAACGATGGAACTGCAACAGGAGCAGTCAACGAATTGAATGATGTGAGACTTTGAATATGAAAACGGAGAACTGAGGATTGCCAGGACATCGCAAATCTGGACCTTGATAAGACTATCCGCACCAGTACGGTGCGACTGTACGACGAATGATGCAATCTAACTTATACTAAATACGGTACAACATGAAAGCCAATACCGTACCAGTACAATACACTGTAAGAGTCAGGCTCTCCTGCGCGGTGTCACACCGGACCTAAACAAACGGGACAAAGACCGCCAAGAATCTAATTGTACGCTGTCGGAATGGATGTTTCTTAACAACAGGGTCGGGGTATTGGCGTCGCGGGCTGGAGCCGAAGTTGCAGGGAGATTTTTGAAAAAACGATTTTAAGATTGGGAGCAATGACACAAAAGCAATCCTTTGAAGACAGCTTTCATCACGAGACGACTGTTGGGGCCGCTGGTGACGTCGACGCCGATAAACTTCTACACCTTAGCGGACTGCTACTGATACATCGAGTGAGGAAACAGTGAGTGAGCATAGGCAGCAACTGGTACCGGTAGAACAAGAAGAAGACGGTGGCGAACAATACAACCTATTCCGTCCTTGTCTCCAGCCTTGTTGTGACAAACCCTTTCTGTGTTTCCGAGTGAACCAATCAATTCTATCAAAATGAAGCACGAGACTCCCTCTGTCGCAGGCGACCGTGCTCCCAAGCCCAACGAGGTTGACGCCCTAATTGACGGGATGAAAAACATGGCTATCGACGACAAGAAGCCGGCGAGCGTCGCATGCGATGGGCGTGTTGCTGGTGGCGGAAGGGTGGATCCAGTTGGTTTCTTGCCAGATCAGTGTTGGTCCCTAATTTTCTCCTTTGTGGGTTTCAAGGGACGGGAAAAAGATTCGAATAAGAGCGGCAACGACATCAAGCTTGGCGTCGTCACTATTCCTGATATCCTTGACTTCTTGTGCGACTACGCACCAGTTGCTACGGGATGGAGAGACATGGTAATGAATGCCTTGCCCCATCTTCCAATCACGATAGATGTGCAATACTGGGAAGATTTGAGAGACTATGCCAAGTCGATGATGCGGGCAATTCGTTTGCCAGTGAGCAGTGTTGAATGGCACGACGAGGACAACCAAGGGATCCTTGACCTACTACTACACAGCAACATTGCCCAGTTGAAAAATGCCAAAATGCCTCTTCTTCTCGGCGGTAACCCAAAAGGTCGTGCTCTGGGAATTCAACGAAAACTGCAGGATTTGCTCGCAAGTGCATGCCCAAAGCTGGACTTCCTGGCCCTCATGTTGAAGCCGCAAGAACCCAATCAAACAATCCAACCGGGTGTCCTCAGTCCAGCGCTATTTTCGTTTTCTTCCATCACTCGTATGGCCATCTGTACCCCCTTCGAAGACAAAGTTGTCGCCATGAACAAAGACTTGATTACAGAATGCATCAAGAATCTTTCCTGCTTGGAGCATCTACACCTGGTTTGCAAAGCGGAGACGTTTTGTGAGGAGGAAATTGTGAGCGTGGTTTCCCCATCTTTGAAAGTGCTGGAAGTCTGGGACTTTTGTACCCAAGCAAAGTTGACACTAGACTGCCCGCAGCTGACCCGTTTTGAGTGTTTTGGCGCAGTCGTTCCGCGGTGCTTGTTTCTGAAACAGAAGGTAGTCGAGGCCCAGAACATTCCCAGCGTCTGCATGGCTAGAGTCCACGATCCTGATGGGAAGCGGTGGGGCATGCCTTTCTCCACGATGATGCGCTACGCACATTTTCTCCCTCGCCTTCCAGCGGATGAGGCCCATGCTAGGGCAATGGTACAACGTATGTTTGACGATGAATAGGATTGCTTGTGGGATTGATGAGGTGTCGTCTCGCTTGGTATTAGTGAATGGTGGATGGACTGGTATCTCTTGAAGAAAAGAGACCAATTGTACTAGTATGACTGCCGAGAATATCATGGCTTGTGGTGATGGGGTGTCGTCTCGCTTGGCAGTGAATGGTGGATGGACTGTATCTCTTGACGTTGCTGTAGAGCAAAAACTAAACTCTAGCTAGCTGTTTGTGAAAAAGCAAGTGTCAACCGACATGGTCACCAAGTAGTGTCGATACTACCGGTACTTAGAAGAAGCCATGGGTTCATTACCATGCAAGGCCAGTTGGCACAACGGTAGCTACAAGTGGAAACATGCAACCAGCAGACTTCAGTGGCACGACTTGGCCAAAGATACCGCTGTGCTGGTATAAGCGTACAAAATGCACTATCAGATTGACTCATGTTACGATCCTTGTTTGCAATCTAGCCTTCAAATTCGGAAGAAGCGGCTAGCTAGGCTTGGATGCTTGTAGACTCGGAACACGACTTGTCCGCTCTCTCCATGCGAATCGAATCCTCATCGTCCAGTTGGTCCTCTCACAATTTTGACCGTTTCAGCTTGATCATTCAATTCAATCATTCGTGCGAGAGAAAATCTTTTGCGCACCGCCACCATGAGCACCAAAAATGATGGAACGCTCGTCAGGAGAGTCTCCTTTTCCAACCGCGTCTCCTATTCAGATGATGCTTCGACTACAACTGTAACCACTGATGATGAGCTGTATCAAGACGATGGCTCATTCACCGACAGCGAAGATGACAAGTCCTTTTGCGACCACGACTCTGTTGAGTCGGAGACAGAGGCGGTTACTGACGAAGAAGATGACCTTGAAGATGACCTTGTAGAGGATGACAAGACAGAAGATTACAAAGGCGAAGACAACGACCTTGGAGAGGAAACCGAGAGTGAAGACCAGGAAGAAGAAGAGAATGAAGAAGATGACGATGATACCATGATGGAGGAGACTGTGGAGGTCACCTCCGACGACAAGGCCAACGAAAGCACTGAGTCGGGGACTAAAGTTTCTTCCGAATTGTGGGACAAAGTCGACGATGATGAGCCGCCATTGGTGATCCGAGATGGCTTCTTCCTTCCACAGCGCCCTTCCGACTTTCTTGGTGGCTATGGAGGTGAGAATGCCACATCCTCTGGCCACAAAGTCAAGCTTCGAAAGAGCTGGGTTGCTGACGCAAAGGATGCCGAAGAGGAGCACGCAAACCCCATCCCAGTCACCTACAGCCAGGTAAGTAAAGGAAACTACCACTCCCACCAAACTGGTACCAGTATCATGAATTCGGCATGCCGCTCACTTATCGCTTAGTTTGAGGAATGGAAGAAATCCCGTGTAACCAACACACCTACTTTCCGAAAGAAGAAGGAGAATGCCGAGGCAAAGGCTAATGCAGCCCTTTCTACAGAGGAGGATCAGAAGGCCACAAGCAAACCCAAGAAAGAGAGCAAGTCAAGCAGCAACGTTGCCGCGGTCGCCAACAAAGCTCCAAGGGATTCTGAAGTGGCGGACAAAAGGGAACCCACCGCAAAGGGTGCATCTCCCAAGAGCACCGAGCCCTCGACAAAGGCTGGTAACTCTGACACTGTTGGCAACAAGGAGCGACCCAAAGGCATCATAAGCGAGACGGGAGGCAGCGAAATGTCATCAAGTGATGCAGCGGTAAGCAAGTGCGCCGCCGGTGAGCAGACAAAGTCTACGGGGAAGTCACCCAAACCTGCGCTAAAGACAGGTCGTTCGGCCAGAAGCAGCTCCAAAGAGGGAACCAAACCAGCCCCAGTTGTCAAAAAGCCTCCTAAGAAGGACCCCGAAAGTGAAGCGCACGAGAAAGAGATCGCCCAGTTGAAGGATCATGTCACCAAACTACAGAGAAAGTATGATGTCATTGAGGTAAGGACTATCTCCCAGCTTGCTGATCTGGAGGAAGAGACAACCAAGAGGATGCGCGAATACCGCTCGAAGGCCGACGATCTTGCCCGCAAAAAGCGTGCCAAGGAGGAGAAGCGAGGTTTGAAGGAGAAGGCCATGAAGTCGCAGGACCTGATTGAGCACTTGCGGCGCTCCAATCAAAAGTTGCGTCGTGAAGGAATCAAGATGAAAAAGGAGGTGGAAGAACTAAAGGAGATGAACCAGCAATTGGAGGAACAAAACTCGATCTACGGGGACTACGCTGGGCAGTGTCGGAGCTTTGAAGAGGTGGAGGTAAAGCTTGCTGAAGAACTAAACCATGCCTTGAACAAAGAAATGCCCAAGTACGAAAAACTCCTTCGTGGAATGGAGGAGGGCGTCTCTGATCGAGCCAAAAGTGGCCAGAGCGAAAGGAAAGCCAAGGAAATGTACCAGGACTGCATGCAGTCCATCCTCGAGATGCTCGAGAATGATTGCACCGACGATAGCTTGATCGATAAGGTCGCCGATATTATCGAAGAGGAGTCCTCCGACGAAGACACCAGGATGGATGCATCCAGTCAGGATGAGCAGTCGATTGCAGAGCCAGAGCCCGAGAACGTCAAGCCAGCCCGCCGCAAAAGTTCCATCAAGTCTGCCTCTCCAACCAAGACAAAGCCTGCTGCTCCTTCAAGCCCCAAGAAGTCTTCCAAGCGTCCAAGTGGTATCTTAAAGAATAAGACAAACTCGGAAGATGAGAATGCCGCGCCAGGTCCTACAAAGACGACTGTCCGCAGGAGCAGCAGCACTGGTGTAAAGCTCGCGGGACGCCGTGGAAGCAGTGAGAAGACAAAGGCGCGTCCTCGCAGGTCCTCGTCCTCGTCGTTCAGGAGCACTCGCGCACCCAGGAAGACTGCCGCCAAAGTCGTCTCGGACAATGACGATTCCAGCATTTGCTCTGGCACCTCGTTTCAGTCGGAAACCTATTCCCTGTCTGAGTATGTCTGAGAAGCCAAAGTTGGTGAAAAGTAGAAAGTAGGTTCAGCGTCAATTGTCTGCTGCTGCTGATATGCTGATGTGTGTGTAGCCGGGTTGTATCGAAACCCCGAGGAAATGAAGGAATGTAGCCATAAGATTAGTAAAAGAGGAGTTCAATGCTGACCTGATACGACTGTACCTAACCCCTGACCTTGTCACGGTTAAGCATGCCCAGTGAGAACACGAACGGACAGCTACATTGGAACCAACCAAGGCTACCAAACTTTGAGCGACTCGCTCAGAATTACTAGTACAATATTCCTACATCTCAGGAGCACGTTCAGGCTGATGCAGAAGCTTGAAGGGGCTGGAGTTGCATTATCAATCGATTTCCAGTTCGCAGGACCAGTGCGAACTTGCGGGACACAAAACACATGACGGCAGCAAGCACACTTGCTCCCAGAAAACATTGGCCGCCAGGCTCGATTCTTCTTTTGCGTTCTTTTCAGAAGAGGAAGCGTTGGACAATGACGACACAACCCGCCAAGAGGAGAGACCACGCTAGCACGAAGCAGATTCGATCATTCATTCACCAAGTAGTAAAGACCCACCATCTTTTAGTTATTCTGTTTGTGAAGGAGCACCATGACAGCCAAAGTGTCATCACAGGAACAGATTCAGAAGCAGAAGCGTCTGGCGGACCTCGAAGCCAAGGCGGTTGCGGAAGCCAAGGCGAGTGCCGATGCATCCTTCCGTCCTTCACCGAGTCTCCTCAATGCCTCCTCGGCCGAGGCTCTCATGTCTCAGGTGGATGGACCCTCTCTGGGCACCTACGAAGGCAAGGAGTCGGTCTATGTTGGCCGTGCGGTGCCAGTCGCAGCCGGGGGCAAGCTGGAAGTGCCAATCCAAGTGACTTCTCCAGGATCAGTCGTGGAGTACTTTATCGAGATCAAGACGTATGACTTGGCCGTCAGTATCACGGCCGAACGAGATGAAGGTGTTACCATTGTCAAGGTGAGGAGTGAATGATATGGAGTGTCTGTGTTTTGTGGTGGCCAGTATCACGAGGTATTTGCTAGAGTTTGATTCTCACCTTGATTCTTGCGTCATTTGCTACTTTTTCCACCATACACCTTTGGACCAACGCCAATAAGAAAACATCACGAGTCGACTCTACTCAATCTCCCTTGACACAAAAATTCCTGGTTGGAACGGTACCTTGTTTGGTGAATTTTAAATTCGACAATGAGTTTAGTTGGATGCGGGAGAAGGTGCTCAGCTACAAAATTACCGTGACCCCTCCGTCCAAGGATTCTTTGGCATCCGGTCGTCGTAGACGCGCCAAGGCGTGCATTCAAGCCGTGGAGGACGATATGAAGAGCGCCGAACAACGTTTGGAAGCGGCCACGCAACAAAAGACTTCTCTGGCAAAGAATATTGAAAAATTGAGCAAGGAATTGGAAGAGAAAAAGAAGAGCCTACAGGGCTGCCAAAAGGAGGAAGATTGGTTAAAGCAACGTGTAGCTCTTCGTAAGGACCAACAAAAGCTCTTGACAACCCGCCTCACGAATGGATGGCCAGATGAAGGCAAATAAAGGAACAAAGAGACGACAAATGTGGTGCTGGATGAATCTTTTATGTGTGCATTGGAAGTGATTGTAAATCCTTGTACTAGAGTAGAAACTAAACAGTGATAACGCACCAGATGCATTACAATCCGCAAGAACACAAAAATTGGGATAGCTACAATGCGTATGGTTGGCCAGTCCTCGCATTCTTCTAGAGAGAGAGATCTGAACACCCGTCTGGCAGTACCGGTGGCTGGTGAGCCAGCGTGCGGACACCCATCATTCTTAAGTAACGCACGGTAGAAAGAACAGAGGTGGAAGATGCAATCTATTTATTGGCCATCGTTAGGGCATGCATGTTCGGTGGAATTTCTCTGGCGAAAGCAAGTTTGTTGGAACTGAGACTGCTTCTGGTACCGGCAGCTACGGTAGGTGCACGTTCCACATTATTTGTTTCATCCCTGCAATGCCTTGAACGTGGTTTCCAACAACGCCAGGAACTTGTTGTTCTCTTCTTCGGTTCCAATCGTCACTCGGATACAATTCTCGCAGTGAATTTCGGTTCCACGATATCGAGTAACGACACCGCCATCGGCCATTTGTTTGTAGCATTCCAATGCCTTTTCTTTCATGCGGAACAAGACAAAGTTGCTATCGGAGGGAAACACCTCCGTGACAAAATCCAAATTGTTGAGTTTTTCCATCACCACCTTTCGTTGGGCCAGCACCTTGGCAATATTGTCTTGCAAGACATTGGTTTTTTGGAGTGCATTGATGGCGACTTCACTGGTCAATGCATTGACATTGTAGGGTGCCTTGACATTGTTCATGAGTTGAATGACATCCGGCCCCCCAATACAGAACCCACATCGAATCCCGGCCAGTCCAAAGGCTTTGCTGAGGGTTTGCAATACAACAATGTTGGGATACTGATTGACCAGAGAAATGGCAGAACCTTCGGTGGAAAAATCAACATAAGCTTCATCGACGACAACCAATCCCTTGTATTGAGACTTGGCCACTGCTTCAATGACCGAGAGTGGAATAGCTTTGGCCGTGGGATTTCCTGGACTGCAAATAAAGAGGAGCTTGACTTCTGGTGTCACGGCTGCCAGCATCTGATTATTTATTTGAAACCATTGTAGAACCATTGTAGAATAAGTGGGTAAACAAATGAGATTTGGACAAGAATCATGAGTTTGGTTGTTGCATAAATAATGGAAAAGAACACAGTTAGAAAATGAAGTTCTCCTTCATCCCAGTTTCACACTCTTTTTCTTCTCAATTATTCCCTCTCATGGATTGGTATTACAGTACATACCTCTGGTACCCTCAAACTAAAGTCCTTCTCCAAAGGTACTGTGATAATTCCCACATCATTCACCTTGGCACAGACCTTGTACATGCCATAGGTCGGTGGAGTCGTCAAGATTTTATCTTGAGCGGGTTGACAAAAGATGCGCATGAGCAGATCAATGGCCTCATCGGATCCCACGCCCACAAACACATGGGCCGGTGTGATGCCACAGCCACGGTATTTGCAAAATAGTTCCTTCATGGGTGTCTGGTAGGGATCTGGATATCGTTCCAACGTGTTGTGATTGTCGTAGGGATCCAAGGAATTGGTGGGCAAACTGGTCGGTCCATAGGCATTTTCGTTGGCATCCAACAGGACGCCCTCGGAGTAATCGTCACGGGCGCATCGGTAAGGACTCAGTTCCAAAATGTTCTTGCGAGCCAACAGGTGGGCAATTCCCGTGGAGGGGTCGGATTTCTTTTCTTCGGCCATGATGGTTGTTGTGATTGTGAGGAGGATTACTAATGAGAAGATCGCAAGCTGCAGTCGTCTCCTATGAAACATTCACGTTGTGAGAAAGTTTGTTGTAGGTTTGGGGAGAAAAGCCAATCAACGTGCATGACATGACATGAAGAAAGAGGAAGCTTTAGGATCCGACGCAGTTTCAATGAGGGGTCGGTTTGGACCTGCGTCATCATCTTAGCTCTTTTGAAACATGCTTCCACACAGTGAGCTGATAACCAGTGACATCGTGATATCCACGTTCTGGGTCCACTTTGACACGCCGTGGATCGAAAATACATGTACCTCCCATTCAAGTATCATACCAGTGCCGGTACCAGGTACCTGGTAGCAAGATGAGATAGCAAGAATCTCCTGTCGAAGGTAGCATCATCATTGCTGCAGCAAAACCAATACCAAAACCAATATTGGGCGATTTCCTTCTGAATCGAATCATCGAGATCCACAGATTTTGATGTCATGTCTGCAGAAATAAATGTGAAGTGTTGCTATTATTCTCTCTATCGGCTATTGAGGAGAAAGAGGCATTTGTCCCAGCCAGTTTCTTCTCTTTTGGGGGGCGTAACAGTACCGGTGCGAGTTGTGGAAGCCATCAACAAAGCAATACCTCAAAGTTCTATCACGAGTATGTAGCTGGCCTACGGTATTATTTTTCTGTTCTATTCAATGAAGGGAAGAGGATCCCCGACTTTTGCCGTAATTTGTCGATTGACCACTTGACTGTAGGAATTGAAGCTATCCTTTCCAAATTCCCATGCCGCCAATGCCCGTGGGGCATCTTGCTCTTGAATGGCACTGGCAATTTCCGTCACGGCGTATTTGAATTCATTCACGTAGAATCGAGCCACGAGGAGTTCTTTCGCTGGTCCGGAATAATTGGGGGATGTCAACATTAACGATGCAAAGAGGACCATTTTAAGTTGTGCATCGACCGGTGCGGGTGGCAAATTGGTATTGGCATTGACGAATACATAGGACGCGGCCCGGTTCCAGTCTTTTTGTTGCAGCAACGGTTTGAGTTGCTGGAATTCCTTGGCGCCCTGGGTAATACTGAATGCGTATTTGGAATAGGCGGGTTGTCGTTGTTTGAGGGAAATGTAGGTACAGGAATTCGTGGCCGCGCTACCCGAGCCGGTGGTTTCGCAGCTCCCAAACGCGTTCCATTTGGGATCGTCCATTTTGAGTGATGAAGCGAGACGACGAGGGGGTGTCACGCCGCTGCTGTACCAGTAGTCTTCTCGAATGACAGCTTCCTTGTTCCCGTTGCGATCGCGTCGTTCGAAGCGATATGGATCTTCGTCATCGGCAACGGCAAGATTGGGTAGCAACAGAGCTGCACTGCTACCAATGACACTCCTCAAGGCATCTCTTCTGGAAGCACTCCATGAGGTAGATTCAGGAGATGATGCTGACGAAGAAGAGGAGGATGTCCAACCCAAGCAGGCTTGAGGGAGGAGAACCCCCGCTACAAACAACAGATTTCTCATTGTCATGGTCATGGTCTTTGTTGGTGTTGCCAGAGAAGGCTTCAAAATTTAAAAATGACAAAAGATCGCGACAAAAGATCGCGAGGCGCGACTTCAAGAAAGATTCTGTTAGGGTTAGAGGCTATCTCAAGACGATGTTAGGGTTCAGGACTCTCACTTCGACTCAGATGCGATTCGATTCGATTCGATTCGCTCTCTACAAAGAAGCCAACGCGTGGAACAACTTCAGTCTTTTTGAGATGATGTTTGCACAAGAAGTCAAGGACGGCTCATAGCTCCGTCTTCAAAGCCTTCAAAGGTGTCACCACAACACAGTCTGACTGTTAGAACAAGAAATTGCGAGAAAACACGATGAAACGGACGTCAAGACCGAGGAGTCTTATAGCGCCACAATGGTTGCTGGCAGTTTCCCTCCCTTTCCTTGCTTTGACACAAGCCCGAGCTCCTTGGATTAATCATGCGCAATCTGCACTGCCACTGCAGCGTCATTGGTGGGGACGAGTTACAAGAGGAGGAAGCTCTATATCAGAAGCAAACAGACATGCAGAGACAATATCATCCGATACCACTAGTACTGAAGATAATACCCATCAAAGCAACAACAATGACACCCACAGTCAAAGCAATGCCACCACTACTGCTGCCAACCAGACGATTGTAGAAGCATGGAAACAAGAATTGCCGCCACCGTTATGTTTCAAATCCACCAAAACACTACAACGGATCTGTGTCCCTTATCAAAATCATGTGGCCGAAATCTACCTCTTGGGGACTGCTCATGTCAGCAATGATTCGTCTCGCGATGTCAAGTTACTGCTAGAAACCTTGCATCCCGATGTCATCTTTGTGGAACTCTGTGAACAACGAACGGCATTAATGGAAGATCCACCCGATATTTTGCTACCAACAAACAACAACAACACTAATGACGACAATACTACTACTACCAAACTGTCCTTTTCTCAAAAAGTAAAAGAGCTGCAACGGCATACCCAAAATTCCAAGTTGCAATGCATGGCAACGGTATTGCTGACCAGCACGCAAGAAGAATATGCCGAATCCCTAGGGGTCGAATTGGGAGGAGAGTTTCGAGTGGCATATCAGTACTGGAGATCCATGCGAACATATAAAGGACAACGGCGCCCCCATTTGATTTTGGGAGATCGACCATTGGCCATTACGCTGGCGCGGTGTTGGGAATCCTTGTCCTTTTTTGGCAAAATCAAAGTATTGATTGGCTTGTTACTGAGTTCCTTTCACAAACCTTCGCCAGAAGAATTGAGAGCCTGGATTCAAAAAATCATGGATGATGAAACCGATTTGCTCAGTTCTAGTTTGGAAGAACTGCGACGACATTTCCCCAGTCTGGAACGAGTCATTATCCAAGAACGAGATGCCTACATGGCCTGCAAACTGTACCAATTGTGTCGAGGAATGCTAGTGTCGGCAGTCAAACAACAGCAACAACAACAACCTTCGTACGGTGGCGATAATCGCATTGTCATTGCTGCCCTGGTAGGGGCGGGGCACGTTCCTGGGATCTGCGCTTGGTTGACTACCAAGGACCATCCAGAGGGTCCCGAAGCTATACTGGATGGACTCATCGCGACGAAGAAGTTTGCGAATGAAGATTTGAGTCCATTGGTGTATGATGTCACGGAACTACAAGACATGCCACAGTCGCAGCAGCAATAAGAACGGTAGTGCGATGTGTAAAACTTTTAAAATCATCAATCAGCTAGTCTAGACTGCACCAAACCATGTTGCTGCGTGGCTTGTAATTGTGAATGGCTGAAGACAATGATGACAGAAGCGAAATGTGTACAAACGGTGGAGACCGATCCTTTTCATGGGTTAGACTTCCCATCTCAATTTGCAGAGTCAGATGATCAACAGCAATTTCAGTGCCAATTCGTAGTCTACAGGCAGTACTTTTTCCCTCGTCCTCGGAGCTCCTTTCTATCTGCCATTTAGTTGGACCACTTGCAAAATTAAAAGGATTGACGAGTCACTGAACTTCTTCTAGACTACAGCCCATCGATGAAGACCTCTAGCTAGTAGAGTACCACTGGTAGGTGGTCCAGTTTTGTGGGTGGGTGGGTTTTCGAGTCGAGTCGAGGTCGTTCCCAATTATTCGATTCGATTCGGTTCAATCGAATGATTCGATTCGAGACAATCGAACCCAATTTCGGCGCCCAGCAATGACAACAACAACGAGGACAACTCCCTCAGCGGCAATGTCTGTCATAAAATCTGCTGTGCCCGTGCCTGTGGCATCCAGAGATTCATCGACAGGCAGCTCCTAAAAGACTGACACTCAACAGGAGAAAGGATGGGAAAAGGGAAGAAGCAATCCATGAAGACTGGAAAAACACAGCGCTTCTGCGCTGGCTGCCAAAAGGCGGAGCCCATGGGCGAGCGCTTCAAGCAGTGTCCTCGGTGCACCGAGGAAGGATTTGTTCCAGCAGTCTTCTGCTCGGATTCATGTTTCAAAGCAGCTTGGCCAGAGCACAAGGAGTGGCATAGCAAAGCAGGACAAGAATCAAAGGGGACCTTGGAACGAATTTTTCAAGTCGTCGCCAAGCCTTGGGCCGCAGATTCTGACTCTTCGTATCTGGACCTCCTCGAACAATCCACCCGTTTGTTGGCCAATGGTGACATCAATGGTGCCAAGAAAATCCTTCAAAAAGCCCAGAATCTGAGCCCAAAAGATCCAGCAGCATTTCTCATGCTCTGCATAGTATACCATACATGCAATCAAAAGGGCGAAGCCGCGACATGCGCTAATGAAGCATGTAAGCGATTGGCACTGACAACTGTGACAGGATTCATTGGAGACAAACAAATCCCCAATCATGACAAAGATCCCATGTTCGCTTACTGGGCTCTCTTTGTGAGCGATGTTTTCGAATGGTGCGGTGAGACCATGGACAACATTCTGGTTCCAAAACCAAACTGGTGGCATCAAGACGGCATGCGAAAGCGGATCACAAAGGTGGCACTAAGTGGACTCAAAGGGAGTAGTCTAGACGTGATCTTGGCTTGGCAAGATCCGAAGCTGCTTGCAGGTGTTTCGCCAGGAAATATCATCGCCAGACTGCGACGCCAGAGGTTGTTGTCTCTCTCGCAGTGCCTCGCTCGAGACGACGTTCTTTTGCCGCTGAATCGTACAAGTGAAGAGCTTGAGGAAGGAGCTGCTCTTCTAAAATCAATTCAGGAGCGGGATAAGGAACTTGGGAATACTTTCCCACATCTGTTGGGAAAAATCACTTATGATATAATGACAGCAGACCCCATCAATGGTTCTCCTTTGGAAATTGGGGAGGCTGGCCTTTGGGTTTTGATACATGGCCTGGAGAGCAAAGCAGGTAAGGCACTGAATGGCAAAGTTGGCCTGATTTTCAAGGATGGAGTGGAAAGTGATCGAGTTGCTGTGGAGGTAGATGGGTTTGATGGAGAGAAGCGGATCCGGCCAAAGAACCTCTGGGAACTCCCATTCTCTGAGAAGCAAGTGGCTCTCATTTCGACTATGGACAAAGATGACCAGTGGACGCATGTGAAAGGTTCAGGGCAGCTCAGCCTAGCTCATCGTTGCCTGGCAGGACGGAGCGTGCAATCTACATGGGCGTAATCCTCGTGTGACATTGGTGGAAGCGCTCAGAGCACTGGGTGTGAAAAGACTACATGTAAGCATTCAGGAAGGCAGCAAGGAGGGGTGATGCCATATAGCACCCTAGTAACAGCTTGAATTTATCCATTTTAAAAAATTGTCATCTCAATAAGCGCACCTCTGGTACCGGTACCAGGTACCGGTACGTCAACATCGTAGCTGGGCAGCAGGCGCGATTTCAGACTACATTATCAAGCCGAGAGAGGACGCGAAAGTGTCCCTACAGGAATGCAAGCGTTGGTCAAACGTTTACCTGGCAGTGAAACAGGGAATATGACGTCCGCTGCCCTCCTCGGTGCAGTGATTTGACCCTTTAGGAATCAGGATCCAGATATCCTGCTCTCGAGACGATGGCATTTCCGGAGGTGCATCAACGGCATCTTGAGTGACAGTCGAAGCTCTTTGCCTCCTCGTGGGCCTTCCAAATCTGTCGCCATACGGCATGGATTGTCGAATCATTCCCTTCTTCGTCACTACATTTACTTGGTAAACTCCTCTACAGTCGTACTTTCAATGACGAATTGAGCCAACGTAGAAAAGGCTCAAGTGGGAGACCATGTTTCGTACCATTCCCGAATTTCATCCACCAATCTCTCAATGTCCTCTCTGGTAAACTGACCAGGTTCTTCAAAGTCTCGAGGAGAGATGGGTTGCTCTGCGACAAAGATTTGAATCCCAACCTCCTGAGCCATGTCTTTTTCAATGGATTGTCCCTTCCCCAATTCAGGGGTTAAAATGCAATGATATCCAACTGGATTCAACTCCACCACCTGAATCATAAATCCATGGCTTCGCTCAGCCTCTTCCAAGTGATAGCGAAATGAGTATCGCCAGCAGCATTCTGACTCTATTGGAACTCCAGTTTTGAGAGATGGATCTTTGCTGCAAGTCTCAAAGGTGCCACGACAGGGCCAGTCGAATTCGGTCCATTCTGGATCACACGTGCCCTTGTTGAATGCATTCGGAGAATAGACCATGAATCCGCCATCTTGAATGTAAGAATGCTCCTTCAAAAGCAGCGTGAATTGTGTTGCAGTTGGTGTACTTCGTTCATCCAAAGAGAATCGTGTGGAGAGAACAATCTTACGTGGCTGCTGTTTGTCGTTCGGTTTTCACAAGCGCTTCCTCTGTGGACGGATCTGCAGTTTTGGTTTTCTGCTCATCCCAGATGCCAGCCATGACCAAGCAATCTCGGTCTTGGTTGAGCCCTCCCAAGGCAAACTTGAGGGACTCGGGTTGGTTGGATATGGCAGCAAGCACGCAGTCCTTGTCGGCCCGCAGTTGGGCGGAAGCCCCATTGAGGCACTTTCCATTCTGCCGAACTGGGGAGAGAACGATGGTCTTGTCTCCTTGTAGACGAAGAGAGGCATGCTGCAAGGCTTCTCCACTTTGGGCAGCTGCCACAGATACGACTTGCTTGTCATCCTTGTAGTTTGCCGGTGCGTACTCGAGGGATTTTCCATCTTGGGTCAATGCCGCCATTACAATATCTCTTCCTTTACTACTGGAAACCAGATCGAGGGATACGAAACGGAGGGCCCCACCTGCGCTTTGGACCGCAGCCAGGGCGACACCGTGGTCCGCCTGCAGATTGTTGTTGGCATGTAACAAAGCATGGCCGTAATTCTGGACTGCTGCAAGAACGACATCCTTATCCCCTAGCAACTGTGCCGCCACATACTTCAATGCCACTCCATTCTCGGACAGGCCTTGAATGAGAAAGTCTTTGTCCTCCTTCATTGGCTCTGCCGCAAACTGAAGCGCGTTGGAACCAAATTTGACCATGGCAGCCATGACAACGTCTCGGTCTGCCTGTAATCGCAGGGAAGCATACTCCAATGCCCAGCCATACTTGGTAACCGAGGCCATGACAATTGCCTTGTCATCTTGCAGCCGTTTGGAGCAAAACAGCAACGCCCTAGGGTTGCGAGCCACCATTTGGAGGACAAAGGCACGGTCGTCTCTAATCTCGGCCCCTGCAAATTCAAACGAGCACTTGTAGGACCCATCCGATTCCAATTTCTCTCCTTCCCCTTTGGTTGCTTTCCAGACAACCTCTGGATCGTTCTTCATGGATTCATGAGCAAACTGAAGGGCGTCTCCATGGTTGGATACCGCAGTCAGCACTACCTGTTTGTCTGATTGCAGATTGTGAGAAGTATGTTTGAGAGCAAAGTAGTCGTTCTTGACGGCTTCAAGGACGATTTGCTTGTCATTCCTGAGACGTTCCGACGTATGCGAGAGGGCATAGGAGGACCCATAAAAGGCATAATTGGATCTGTTGATTGAAAAGGACTCAGGTGGAGTGACAGCTGCCAAGACCACTGCCTTGTCGTCCCTCAGATCATCTGCTGCATATTTCAGCGCCAGTGGCGTTTGGGTAACTGCTGCCAACACAACTTCCTTGTCGTTCTGCAGTATTGGGGACACAAATTGGAGATATTCTCCGTTTTCTCTCACCAGGGCGAGTGCCTCCTCTTTGTCTGCGGCAATTGGTTGGGTACTACCGGTAGTGTGTCCCGACACAAATTAGGATCAAAAGTAGCTGATTGTTCCTTGGGTTCGTTGCTTTCCCTCGTTCCCTTCAAATGATGCAAGACCTCATCGTACAAGGCAGCCTGACTCTTCATTTCTTGAAGGGTCGTCCACGAAAACGAATTCTGCAGCTTTCTGGAGGCTCTGCACTGGGGTCCGTTGGTAGGGCCACATCTTCCATCAGAACCAGGGACACCTCTCCACCTCTCCGACCCAGTCGTCTTCCACAGTACAGCAAAAGCCTGGTATCAAGTCTGCGCGAATCTCCAAACCTCACTGGAGCACCATCTTCATTGTTTAATACAGCTAACAAACTTTGCTTTCCATATCGATAGTACTGCATGGGCTAATGGCGAAAGTGAATAGGATCATGGGATGGATCTTTTTTAGGAAATAGATGTGCATGATAGTCATAATAATAATTATAACGGTACTCTTTAGTACGAGCAGCTTCGATTTTTCTGATTCAAACGCGTGCCAGCTTTTCTGGTACACTTCTACGAGTGCTAGTGTAGAAATGTACGAAGAAGCTTGGCTCGCGTTTGAATCATTAGAAGGGAAGCTGCCTGTACCGGTATCGCATGAGGGGGGAGGAATCGAATCGCAAATGAAGCAAAAAGTGAGATTGGTAGTATTGGTAGACTACCAGTACGGTACGGCCGCACCATGATGTGCCCCCTCCTAGCCAGTCTACCGGTAACCCCCCCAGTCCCCTTGTAGCGTCCGCGAGGGTGAAGGATACCGTACGGTACGGTCAGCAGTAAACCATACCCCAAGTTGGTACTAAGTTCTTCTAAGTAATTTCACTGGGACTCTTGACAGTTACATTAATTAGACAAACCGTAAATCATCTAAACTTGGTACCGTGGTACCAAGTTTAGTCATCGCAAAGGGTCTCAGTGGATTTATTGCCCGAAAATGGTTTGCATATGAGTGTGTTCCCCACAGAGGTACCAAGCTATTGGAGCTCCAACTTGGTACCTTTTTTGCTCTTTTTAATAGTTATTTTATTGGTACCAAGCATTCTTGGTCCATGGACCAAGTTTTACTTTTTCATTCCCAAGCCATCTTGGAACCTGTACCAAGTTGGCTAGTTAGATACTATCATAGCCTAAATACTTCTTGGGCCATCACTTGTACTTATAGTGGCATCTCACATTGTGGTTTTCAGTTTCTTGGTACCTGAGAGTTCCCTAAGTATGTAATTGGACCCTTATGTAATTTTTCCTTTGAACTTGGTACCTCCCCTAGGGCCAAGTTTTCCAAAATCTTGGCACCTCCCCTTGGTCCCCTTGGTACCACCAATTTAACTGTTTTATCTGTGTCTTGGTACCCGGACCAAGCAGAGCACCAAATGACCAAGTGGAAACTTCTTAAACCTTTTTGCCTTTTCTCTAATTCCAGAGTTATGTACCCACTGTACTCCCAAGAGTTTTAAATTACTTGATTCCCACCAGCGTCTTGGGACATTCTTAAGTAAACTTGGTTTAATCTTGGCACCTAGTTGGAACTTGGTACCATTATCTTCTTTTTCATGTTGCCAATCCCACGGGAACAAAATTTCATGTTGCCAAACATTTGGCAACATAACCTAATCCCAAGCCATTCATTTTTTCTCAATTTCAGAACAACAACAATAACAACAGCAACAACAACAACAGCAGCAGCAGCAATCAACAAGCTTTAGCCACAACAGTAGCAAACAACAATCAATAACCAAGCAACAGGAAGCTGGCAGTCACATTGGTTCTCTCTTACAAGTACTCATCAGGCAGCTTCCCTGTTCATTCTGACTACTGTGTTCTCTGTGTTCCTACTAGCTGTTATAGCTGTCAAGAACAATGGAGGTCAATGACACCAACATCAGTCAAGAAGGAAGTGATGATGATTCTCCGACAATGGAACCCCTCTACAAGTCAGACAAATCACTACCGTCCCCTCTAGAGTTTTCTTTTGACAAGCTTCCAACAAAGCAGAATCCACCTTCCATAGCTGGCACGATCGACTATGCTAGTTTCACTCTTCCCTACCCACGTGGACACGGAGTTGACTTTGCAGTAGAATGCAATCCCATGACATTTGCCAGAGCATTCTTTGATGGCAAGAAAATTGGAGCAGATGATTCCATTGGCACAAGGATGAAAGTTGAACATGTCAAGGTCAAAAAGACTCTCGAAGCTGCGTGCAAGGCTGTCTCAGAAATCACCAATTGCAATGTTTCATTTTGGACCAAGGACAAGAAGTCCCCAGGGATTGCACTTTCCAGAGTCCGTGGGCTCAATGGGAATGACTTGCAAGTTCCACTGTACTGCACCACGTGCATGAATAAAAAAAAACAACAACAACAATATGCGCCCTGTGTGTCCTCCATTGTACTCCAAAGAACAACCCAAAGGAATCATACACATGTCTTACTCAAGAGTTCAAGTATTCAATCAATGACAGCACTCTCAATAGTACTCATTCCCACCAAGAGCCAAATGAAAATTCTGCTACAATCAATCCCACCAATGATTCAATGCTTATGTATGCTGAAATCAAAATGTTGGTCCCCCACTCCCACATTGGACAAGACAAAATTTCTGAATACAGAAGTGATAAGAGACATGCCACAGCAGAATTCTCCACCAACTTTGCACTTGGAGATGCATTTGATTACGCCGTTGAGCAACTTGGGGTACGGGGTGCACTTTCCACTGTGACTATATCAGATGGCAACCCAAAGAACAATCTCCAATTGCTTCCAGGTTTCTCCTTCATTAATGTGGGAGATCTCAATCATCAAAGTGACGACAGGCAGTATCTCCCACTTCATCCAAGTACCAGTACGACTGGTTCAAAAATGTCTATTCCCAAGAATCTTGTCAAGGATCACTGCTCTGACGATTCATTCTCTGCGTTCCTTGCCAGAGTGTTCTTCCTCATTTGCATCTCATTCGGCATTGAGAAAGAAATGTGCCCATTCCTCATTCAGCTTCCAACAGTACAGGAGACCAATGACTCTTTGTTGAAGAGAGGAAACATTGGGACGAAACAGCGCAACCTTCGGTCTATGAGGTGGATCCCCAATCAAAACTGGCACATGTATGTGGATGAAGAAACACTTCTGGCAGCTGGGGCCCAACCAAAACTGTCTCCACAACCAAACCATTCCTCTACCAATTTACTCAGCAACAAGCCTTCTCACCAGATTGTTCACTATGATGCTCCCAATTTGAGGGAGGCAATGAATGATCCCAATCATGAGCTGTACCAGAATCAAGAGAATGCATTGACCCTTCCCGGCTCCGTGATCATTCCCATTCTTCAAGATCAATCTCGGCGTATCTACATTCGAGGACCAAACAATTCACTTGATATCCAATACAACAAAGCCCTTTTCTTTGATGGTGCACTCTATCACGGTGGCTGGACATACAAGTGGGATGAAGTTGTTGTAACTGATGCAGGAGGGGGGACCATGCGACGAATGTGGAAACCAGCATACCATGCTCACATTGAATCAATCTATCTTCAGCGAGAAAAACAGTACCTTGGATTGGCAGTCAGGGAGGCTCTTGTCAAACAAGAAGTTGTACCAGAGGGACATCATGTTTCAAAGCTCAAGGAACCTCATATCATTACCGATGAGCTCGAATATCAGTCTGCTGTGGCTGCCAGTATTCTGTTGGCTGAAACCAAGAAGCTCAAAGCAGACTATTCCAACATGGGAATTGCCAAACAAGTGATGTATGCGGCCATCAATCCAGATGAAAGGCATTTGCCGGAGAGAATGAAACTATCAATCCAAAAAATTCCAGAGCTTTCCCAAGGTGAGAACTCATCTGTTCTGGGAAATTCCATCCATCTGATGAGGAAGTCTTTGGCAATAATGCAAGAAACGAGCAGGGGTATCTGTCCCCCACAAGACAAGGTCATTTTGAATGATCTTATGAAAACAATGGAATCATATGCGAGTCAGTGTTCTGCAGCAGTAGAAAAGGATTCAAGCAACCACCCGAAAAAGACCTAGAAACGGCAGCAGGAAAGAAGAGAGCCGCAAAACAAACTGATGACAGGAATCAAAGATCTCGCAGGCGAAACAACATGTCTGACGAGGGTTGAGCATGTTGGCCAATGTTATAAGCTGAGTGCGAAGAGGTATTCTCAGGCAAAATTATTTCCTCTCGCTACATTAACGTTTCTATAGGAAAACATTTATCTCGTGTTTCTTCTTCTTCTCTCTCGACATAAGAGGACGCGCGACTGTGCAGACTCTGGAAGTGCAGCGAAGAGAGGTTCACGTCTGTGCCACTCCGTAGTATACCATTCTTTGGAGACAACAAATCCATCAATGGTTCGAACAAACTTTGTACTCCAATTTTGGCACTCGCTATTAGGGCAACCGAATCTTCCATTAACATCGCGAACACAGAGCAGAGAGCAGTCCGAACAGTAATCAGTATCACATTCCCACTGGCATCCCCTGCTTCTTCTTGAGCTCGAAATTGTCAACACTTTCCCACAGATTGTACATGGATGGATAGTCCTTGTCTCACACTGTGTTAGATAGGCATCGCACACACCGAAATAATCTTCGGGTGAAGAAGTAAACCCATCTCTCTCAGTCAGTGCAAAACCTTGATTTCGATAAGCATTCCGGGCAACTGGTCTTGTATCCAGATAGCCAAAGTGATCACAAAGGGACATCCATAGGCTCTTCTCAGTGATAGGATTGCTAAATATTTCAGTGCCACGGGCATCCCGTAGAACATGGAATCCCCAGAAATGCTCCTTTGGCTGATTGGCCCCCCGTGGTTTCCCAAGTATCTCTTCACCAGTGGTGACATTGGTGAAGTGGCTTCCGACCAAGCGGCAAGCTGGGCACCTACCAGCTCTAAAAAGGAGATGACCCACCAATTGATCGGCAAAGTGATACGTCACCAACAGTTTTCGGGTACATTCTTCGCACATTCTGTGGTTGCAATTGGGATGGTCGCTCTTGACGTTGGATTTGTTTTCCAAACACACACAGCAAGTCTCCATGTCCAACTCCTGAAAATATTCATCCATGTTCCGATGGGCGACTCCAAATGCTTCAGTATTGAAGATACTCTCATTGACTTGGGAATTTGGTTGTGGAGTTCTCGAAACACTTGAGGGAAATGGGTGATTATGGACAAGAGCAGCAAGCAGATACTTTTGGACAGAAGTGTAGTTGTTGATCGCACTTAGCAGACACTCTCTGATTCTTGATTGCAGCTGGACCAGACCTATTGGTTCCGTACCGAATTGAATGAAACAATATGAAATGCACAAGGACAGGCACCTGCAGATGTTTGTTGTATTCTGCTGAATAGAGGTGACTATCTCAGTCGGTAGCTTCATATCTGCTCCATGGGAAGTATATAATCCTTCACCACCAATGACGCCTGACTCTGTCATAGTCAAATAATGATTGAGAATAAAACAGAAGAACTTTTGATCTTGGACAGTGCCAGCAGACAAGCTTCTGTCGTAAATATGGATGATGATCTTGTCGTGCAGGTTGACTGCATACATAAGTCCTTTTGGGTCTGGTACCAGCAGGAAATGGAACTGGTTTCGATCAAATGGATTGACATTTCCTCCACTGCTGGTTAGAGGGGTGTTCTGTTGTAATTCGTCCTTTCCAATGAGTGACCAGTTCATTAGAAACTTTTTCATCAACCTTTTCCCCCTTGAAAGATGGATAATCCATTCTTGCTCCCTTCCAGGACAATAACCTTGGACAATATGACGTGAAAACAATGAAGGATTGAGGAAGTAGACACTTGGCCTTCGGCAACTTTGATGACGGTGAATGGACTCCACTGCATAAATTGATAAGAGTTGCTCGAAAGCAGCATTGGACATGATTCGATCATGTTGGGGTGGAAGGAAACAAAGAATATCCGCAGCTGTCAGATGTTTGGAAGGGTCATTCTTCCATGCCACTTGCTTGACATCCCGTCTTAGTTTCCTTCTGCTGGGGACAATATTTCCACATGATGGATTCCCCTCCTTACACATCTCTCGGCAGTAGTTGTAGAGCTTTCTTGTGTCAAGATTGATGGTAGAATCTGGGCTCATTGTTTTTTGGATTATGTTATCCATGCAGGCCAATGTGTCTGGGTCAAGATAGCTCCATGGACCAGGGACATTGGGTAGAGGATCAATCACCAACACATTTTCCTCAGCTGTATTCAATGCTGTAGTGGATGTAGCTTCACTGATAACATCAGACATATCATCGTCCTCAGCAATGGATGCACCAGCAGGTAGACGGTCCCCAGTCTCGCCCTCGACCAATGTGGCCAATGGGAGAGATAATGCTCCAGATAATAACACTTGGCTCTCCCCAGTCCCATCTTCTGGGTGAACTGGATCTACCTCCATTGGACAGGTGGTGTAGGTGGTCGTGACTCCTCCTGTGAATGCTGTTGTAGATGCTGCTGTGGCCGCTGTGGATTTTGTGGCGTGGCTGTTGTGGTTGCTGCTGTTGTGACTGTTGCTGCGACTGTTGCTGTGGCTGCTGTTGTGACGTTGTTGTGGCTGCTGCAATTGTTGTTGTGGCTGCTGCGTGGCTGCTGCAATTGTGGCTGTGTTGTTGTTGTTGTTGTGGCTGCTGCTGTTGTGGCTGTTGTTGTGGCTGTTGTTGTGGCTGTTGTTGTGGCTGTTGTTGTGGCTGTTGTGGCTGTTGTGGCTGTGGAGCTTGTGGTGGACCAGGTGGTGGTGGTGGAGATGGTGGAGCTTGTGGTGGGCCGGGGGGTGGTGGTGGTGGTGGTGGTGGTGGTGGTGGTGGTGGCGGTTCATTATGATTCTGCATTGTTGAGAGGGTGTAGCCATGGTATTGATAGTTGTAATCAATGATCTCATTGAGAGGGATGCCAATCCACTCAATATCTTCAGCCTCGGAACCAAGCCGTCCAGTTTCAGCAGAACATCGTGACTCAAAGACTGTGACCCAAATGTTGGGATTCGAAATGGGTATCAGAGCTGTATGGCAAGACATCATAGCTCTCTCAAAAATCTTCTCAGCGATGATGCACTTAGGGAGAACAATGCGCAGACGAATGGAACAAGCTCCTTGATTGTTACAGGAACAAAAGGCAACTTTTCCTTTCTTTTCATTAGTGCCACTGCTTCCACCGACATACCTGGCTTTGGCACTCTTGTGGAATGTTAGCACTCCACCGTGAGGACATGTCCATCTCTTGTTGAATGAATTCAGAGCTTGCTTGAAGTCTGATTGATGATTGATGCAATAGAAGGTAATCTCTTCATTGTATGGTGTAGTTCGGCTGATGTTTGCACTGTTATTTGTCATCACAGACACAGAAGAATTCTGTTGGCCACGCACTTCTTCGACTGGGAAGCTATTTGATGACGATTGATCACTTCTGGTATGACGATTAGCAGATGGCATCGATGTGGAGAATTGATGACTATCCCCTCTAGATGCAGTATTGTTGTTGGCAAAGTTTGTTCTTGAATTGCTTTGCATACTATTGCGTGCTGTGGGAACCTGTTCACCGTTACTTTGCTGCTGCTGCTGCTGCTGCTGCTGCTGCTGTTGTTGTGACTCTGGTAGCACATGAGCCTGTTGTGGTTCTTGCTGCTGCTGCTGCTGCTGCTGCTGCTGCTGCTGTGATTGCTCTGACTGTTGTTGCTGTCCTTGTGAGTATCTCTCTTGTTGATTTGGTGGTGGCTGCTGCTGCTGAGGCGGCGGGTGTGGCTGCTGCTGCTGTGGCTGATGCAGATGTTGCTGTTGTTGTTGCCGCTGCGGCAGGGGCTGTGGCTGCTGTTGCTGCTGCTGTGGCTGCTGTTGCTGCTCCTGTGCATGCTGTTGCTGTGCTTGTGATGCCTGAGGCTGTCGCTGTGGTGGAATCAGTTGTTGGTGTGCACCAGGTTGCCATTGCATTGCCTGTTGTACATGCTGTTGCTGTGTTTGTGATGCCTGAGGCTGTCGCTGTGGAATCGGCTGTTGGTGTGCACCAGATTGCCATTGCATTGCCTGTTGTGGTTGTTGCAAAGAATGATTGAAGACATTGCTACCACCCATCAAACCTACGGAGGACCCAGGTATGTGAATGTTGCCATGCATGGCTTGCTGATGAGGGGGATACAATGGAACACTCTGTTGTGGATTATTGAATATAAATGGTGGCTGATAATACATGGCTTGCTGTGGCAGCCCAAATGGTGGCATAAATTGTTGTTGTTGCTGTGGCAAGTTGGGCGGGTAGCTTCCAAATGGGTTGATATTTTGGTGGTAATACATATTGCTGTTGGGGTGGAAAGCAGCAGTGGATTGATTCGGAACATGCATCATTGAGTTGCTGTATCCAAATTGTTGTTGTTGGGGAATCATTTGCTGTGCTGAAGCAGTGGAGATATTGGAATTTCCATTGCTGGGATTGATGTTGAATATCCAATCACGAACATATGCATAGAATCTTTCTCTCCTACCAGCAACAGCATCAAAAAAATGTGTTCTCTGGTTAATGAAATCAGATATTACATTTTGACATGATGCATGCTGATACCCATGATCAAGAGCAAGCTGATGGACATATGCAGCCATGGTATGGAATCCATCAAGACTGGAAAACTGCTCACTTTCGAGAGAAGACATGTTGCTATAGCAAGAGCCTTGCAGATCTTGTCTTGGCTATTTCAAGATGCTCTTTGGATTGGGAGTTGCCTATTGCCAGCTTTCTCTCTGCTTGTTTCTTCTAATCAACTTGACTTCTGGTTGTTCCTGCTGTTTTTGTTCTTCCTGTTGAGCACTGCTTGTGCTTCTTGTTGGTGATTGGTGATTGGTGTTGTTATTATTGTTGTTGTTGTTGTTCTTCTTCTTCTTCTTCTTCTAGTTGTTGTTGTTGGTTGTTGTTGTTCTGTTGTTCTTGTTGCTGTTGAGTGAGAATTTGGATGACAACGTAATATACAATAGTTTAGTATTATGTAAAATGTGTTGCCAAGAACTCGGCAACATGATGGTATTTAAGGAATGACCATGGTACAATGAAAAGACTGTCAATGGACATTGTACCAAGGGTACCAAGTTTCAACCAACTTACTAAAAACAGTTAAATTTGATGGTACGAAGGGTACCAAGAGGTGGTACTAAGATTTTGTCAAACTTAGCACTAGGGGAGGTACCAAGTTCAAAGGTAAAATTACATAAGGGTCAAATTTCATACTTATGATATGTCGAGCTCTTAAATATTGCCTCTGCTAAATAAACTAGGTACATTTGAGTACTTAAGCTAAGTAACTATTTGTAACTATTAGCAGAAAGATGCCAAGTGACTTTGTCCTTGGGAGATTTTGGCTTGGGCAGTGGACAAAGCAAACTTGGTCCTTGTACCAAGTTTGCTTGGTTACCACCATGAGGGCAGGAGATGTTAAGTGGCTACAAGAGGAAAAGAGTATCACCCCTAAATCCACGAGAATGACCATTCTTGGTCCATGGTACCAAGTTCAATTGGATTACGGGTTGTCTAATTGATGTAACTGTCACAAGTCCCAGTGAAATTACTTAGAAGTACTTAGTACCAACTTGGGGTATGGTTTAGGTAAGACCAGGTGAAAGTGCCTGGCGACGACGGTGCCAAAGGCAGGTCTGCAAACCTCACGCCAAAACACTGAGTTGGAGCAAGTGTGAGCATTGAAGTATCCGGTCCGGTTCCGCCAAATTCGTTCACAGCGCAACTCCATCTTTTCGCACCCACATACGGTACTGTAACATCGCATCGGCTCTAACTTGACATCATACATCTCAATCGTTCAGTTTAGAGTAGTGTATTGTAGCTACCATTTCTCTTGGCAACACAGACAACACAACACAACACAACACAACACAACACAAGTAACTGACAATGAGCATGGCCAACGACGGTCTTACCCTGAAAGTATTGGACGCCGAATTCAGCTGTACCATTTGCTTTGAACGATTTGCATCCCAGCAGAATGCGCTCTTGACACCCCATTCCGGAATCTGTGGCCACTCCTTTTGCAAGAGGTGTATTCTGAATCTGTTGGACGAGCAAGAAGCAGCGCCGTGTCCTCTGTGTCAAAATCAGGCCGCGTTTGTGGCGGGGCACTTGATCCCCAACGTGGCACTATGCAAACTCTACGAAGCCGTAGTCCCATTTGTCACTACGGACGACGACAACAACCAGCGCCAAGACGGCCGTAAAAAGCAATCACAATCACAATCGAATAACGAACAACCACCGACCAAGCGATGGAAGTACGACGATGACGACGAACGCAGTCATTGCGATTTTGCGCAGACATATGTGGCGGCTGTCAAGAGCCGGTTTGCCAACACGCCCGAGAAGTATCGGTCCTTTTTGAATATTCTGCAAGTATATCAACGAGGGATTGTACCTCCCGAACAAACGCTAGAACGCATATTTTACTTGCTGGAAGACCATTCCGATCTCCTGGATGATTTCACCTACTTTCTCCCAGACAATAATAATCAGGAAGAAGCATCCAGCGAAGGGGACAGCTGATAGCCGTCTGTCTGGCTCGACTCGACTCGACTCGAGCGAGTCTGTATTTATTTGATAGATTGGCCCCATCCATCGTATTGGACACAACATCACTGGAAATGGATGGCAACACTCACGATAGCGGTAGAAGTGCCAAGTTGTTGCCAGCACAAAGAGATCCAACGCGAAAAGAATCATTTGTACGGTGATTTTTGGCGGATAATTTACTAGACCAGCTAGCTACATATAAGTTCATCTTCATGCTTTCTTCTTCGTCCCGAGCTACGAATCTACATGTACTAGCTAGTACTAGCTAACGGTAGCTAGACTACGATCTGTAGCTGGTAGGGTTGGTTGGTTTGTTGAAGCGCCCACATTGCGCCTTTTATCCCAGATTGGCCAAACTTCCAAATTTCAGATCGCTGGCTTTTTCCACAAGGCGTGTGGATGAAGAGAAGGGCAACGACCAAAGATCAAAGATCAAGGAAGACTGTTCGACATTGACCACACCTCCGGTGTCTACCTAGCTAGACTACGTATCTTCCTTTTTAGTTTGTGAACCATGGCCTCAAGCCTCAAGCAAATCCACCAAGACGTTCGAAGAAAAAGAAGAAGCGACATTCATCGAGAGCAAAATTGCTCTCGATGGATTCGATTGGGCTTTTACAATCTTGATAGAAGTTGTCAACATGGCCAGCTTTCTTGCTCGGCCATGTTCCGGTTCATTCCAGTACAACAAGTTGGTGAATCACTACTTCTCATGGGTACTAATTAGCGATGTTGTGGGCATTTTCTTGCCACCAAAGCGCCGTCATTGGGTGAACCTCTTCCGAGTATCCGAGAGTTTTGTGTTTGTATACACGACAATAACGCTCCATTTCCTAGAGTTGGAGGAGCCACGTCTGGCTTTCCAGTTTCGACTTGGAGTTTCCTTGGTTCGATTGATCCATGCAGCATTCCTTTTGTACAAGTACAAGACAAGTCTGGTGCAACTCTGGGCGCTCCCTAGTTGCCTCCGAGACATCTTCCAAAGTGAATTTGTGCTGGAGGGAACAGAATATGTTTTTTATGGCTTTGTGCCTTTCTTTCTTGGAAGTATGCTACTCCCAAACCTTTTGTACCTATCTCACTACAACTATGATGTGGCAAGCTTGGATGCTATTTTGACCCACATGCAAGGCAGTGAGAGTGTCAATGTCCATTTCAAGAAACTCATCTTTTTGATTCTTATACCATCGGCAAGGAACAGAGCTGTGGCTTCCTGGTTTGTGTTTGGTGCATTTTCTATTCAATGGGTCATAATGCTACCAATGTTTGCACTGGCACCAATTCCATACATGCACATTGTGGCAGAAATTGTCTTTTTGATGGAGGCTGTTTTGCTCACTCGAGAGTGGTGGCATCAAAAGTCGGAAACAGGAAAGCTGAAGGACTCAAATCATGAATCTGAAGAGCTAGCTACAATTGAGAGTGATCTTCCTCTTGTTGGATTTGATTGGGGTTTCACCATACTGATTGAAGTGGCCAACATGGCCAGCTGCCTTGCTCGACCATCTGCTGGTGATTTCCAGTATAACAAGTTGGTGAATCATTATATCTCATGGCAGCTGATTACGGATGTTCCAGGTCTTCTCTTGCCACCCAAGCGCCGTCACTGGGTCAACCTGTTCCGGGCACTAGAGAGCCTTGTGTTGCTCTATACCACAATATATCTCAAAGTGCAAAACCTGGAAAAGCCAGGACTGGCTTTTCAAACGAGACTTGGGGTATCCGTGGTTCGCTTGATCCATGCCTCATCACTCCTGTACAAATACAAGACAAGTTGGGCACAAATCTGGGCATTGCCAGGTTGGCTCCGAGCCATGATCCAAAGCGACTTTGTGCTGGAGGCAACACAGGGGGTGGCACACATCTCCATCACTTTCTTTCTCGGCAGTATTCTACTCCCACACCTTTTCTACATCTCCCACTTTAACTATCAAGTGGCAAGTTTGGATGCCATTTTGACCAACCTTCAGGCTGGCTTTTGTGTCAATGTGCAGCTCAAAAAGCTGCTCTACCTGATGCTCATGAACTCGGCCATGAATAGAGCTGGAGCTTCCTGGTTCACTTTTGGTGGATTTGCCATTCAATGGGTCATCATGCTGCCAATGTTTGTGTTGGCTCCAATTCCATACATACACATTGTGGCAGAAATTGCTTTTTTGATTGATGCCCTTTTGCTGACTCGAGAGTGGCAACATCACAAGCAGAACACAAAGTTGAAAGACTCGAATCATGGATTTGACGAGCAAGTCCCACTGTCGAGTACCGACAAGTAAGCGAGCTGAAGCATGGTTGTACATGTACCTGATTGAGATTGAACTACACCTTCAACAATATCAGAATCGAGCAAAGATCTGCCGCAACCCATCGCTTCCAAACGACCATGAACGCAGAAGCCCACTTTCCGTGGAGGCGAAACTGCTTCTTTCGCCAGACGAAGCCAATTCCCCGTTGAATGCATGGTACTGTAGCCAGTGCCGACGAAAGAGTTGTTGGAATGGTCTGCTACAGCCCACCCTACGAGGGATCGTTCAGTCGGTTGGTCTGATGATGGTTCAGTTGGATGCAATTCCATAACCTGCTTTTTTCGGCTTGCGTAGACTCATCACCTATATGTACGGTACTCTATCTGGATATCTAGCTGGACCCCCTTTCACAAACAAATGCCGCGTGCTTATCAGATCAGCCAGTGTGGCAATCCTGGACACGTCTGACGAATTTCGACTAGGTTTATGCAGTGCCTATGTATTGGAACCGGAGGTCGTGGGTTTTGAAACCGGTATCGTGGGCTTAGTCCAGCCAGGCGATGGGGAGGGCTTCGAAGATTGCCAAGATCTCCATCGGAATCATCGAGATGTACAGCGTAGCACAATCGCCGATCGCAATGACTGGGTCGCATCCTCACAACGTAACCCAGCACATTCCCGAACTCGAACTCAAAATGCTGGATATCTACCACCGATGTACTCGCTATCTTGAAGAGAGACAGCCATCGCCCAACCTGGCAATACGTATTCTTCGAATCTATCGCTCACAAAATTTGCCCTCCGCATTCTGGCCGTGTTACATTGCCGACCATGCTGTCGTTTTCTCCATTTCCCGTACATGTGCTGGTTTTGCTCGTCTTGGTTGGTCTCCACCACTGTGCGGCATCTACAAGGAAGATTGGAGTAGGATGTCAGCTCGACTTTACGTTTGACCGCAGCAAGGTTGCCCGAAGACCCAACAGCGCTGAGGTGGACGCTATTATTCAGCTGACAAAACTGTTCTATGCAGACAAATGCTCCAAGCTCCTGAACGGTGAGTTCGTCGAAGTTGGGCTCTCCGACCTTGCGACACCGAAACGCCTTCGTGGGGTAGACTATACTTTCCGCTTCAGGTTCTTTACTACTGTGGAGGTCACATCGGACTCGTCGTTGGGGCAAGCAGATTTATCTGGCCTTTTGTCAGGGCTCGATTACGACCACGAATACAAGGAAAACTTCGTATGGAAATACTTCGGTACGTCGGACAAGAGCATCTTCTCTTCTGCGATAGCGGTGACCTTCCAGCAGGCGGGTCTCCCGAAGCAATCGATCTTTGGAAATGTCGAGAGTGAGGGGCCGTATTTTGAAAGAAAGCATGGTCACAGAGACGGACCGTACTACGACAAGAGGAAGAGGCACGGTGAGAGATACCCGGGGATCTAGCTAGCAGGAGCTTAACTCCTGTCCGAGTCCATGCAGGCCACCAAGAGTCAGCCTTGCGAACAAAAGAGGATTAGCCACTCTGAAGAATCTTTACCAGCGGGGCACCGCTGCGTTGTCCGCTTCGTTCGGCTTAGTCACTATAGCCACGTTTTGGAGGTGATTGCTAGCTAACTTCTGGTACCGTAGTAGGCTCCCAGCATGAGACTTTCGCTCTCACTCGTTCCTAGTTTATTTTGAAACAACCGATTGCAAGGTAACCGTGGCGTGAACCGGAACTCCTCTTCTATACCCAGTAGTTTTTGCCATGTACAGCCTTGAGGTTTGAATGTCTCTCCTCGTTGCGAGAAAACCGGTACCCATCCATGTATAGATCGGCATGGCACCGTGCTCTCGTCCAGCAACAGCAGCAAGGCACAGGAACAGGAACAGGCTCCTCAAGTGCAAGCAAAGCAGAAAGGACCTTTTGGGGATGAGAAAAGGTTGGGATCGCTGTTATACTGACAAGAAGATTCATCAAACATGAAGTCCACACAGGCATTTGTGTCGAGAATGCTGCTGCCCCAGCTACACAGATTCATGTTGAAGCTTGATGCATATCGAAACATATCCGTGAAATCGGTCCCCGCTGCAGGAACCCAGCTGGAGATGTCCACATTGAAAGATGTAGCGGTATCAAACATCTGAAGGATCCAAGAAGTGAGTTGCAATGGATACAGATAATGTTGATACGGGTCTGTGTTCAGCTCGTCCAAGAAAGCAACTTACCTCATCAAACCTGACAACGTTGGAAACATCCCAATTAGAGATATCTGAGTTGAATACATAGTTCCATTCAAACATTACCCCCATGTCAGTTACTGAAGCAACATTCCATGCTGAGATGTCCCCTGCAAAGGCCTGCATAATCAAAAAGCCGAGCAACAACCTGGTAAGGATTGGCTCCGCTACTCTCCCAGCAAACTCATGTAGCCACTTACACTGGGTCCAGTAAACATGGCAAACATGTCCTCCACAGATGAAACATCCCAGGTTGAGACGTCACCATTAAAGGCATTGTTGTCGCCAAACATTCTGTCCATTCGTTGTACTTTCGCTGTGTTCCAGGCAGTCAGAGATTCTGAATAGGAACTGGTCGACTCAAACATACTCTGCATGGATGTAACTTTCTGTTGGATGGTTCGAGAAGAAAACGTTGTAAGACCAACCAGACCAGGCAGATTTCATGATGTTAAACCCCCGCGTACCGAAACGTCCCAGTTCCCCAGTGATCCTGCATAGGTAGCTGACTTGAACAAAAATGACACATCTTCCACATTCTATTGGCAAAGAATCAAAACAACTTTAAGCAAGATTCCAAATAGACGACCAGAGAGCATCGTAACCACAACAACTCACAGACACATCCTAGAAGAAGAAGAAGCAAGATGAAGCAGCGAAAACAATTGAGTGAGACGTGAAAGGCCATAAGTGCATGGTTGTGTTGTCAATAACATACCCATCCATTGATGTCTTCATTCAATGTCATAGATGAAAATAATCCACTAAAATCAGTCACAGATGGTTCAAAGCACCAGCCAGAGATGGGCCCATACGTTGTGTATGGGAAAGCTAGATTGTTAGTCCAGTCAGCAGAAATGGCAGAGACAAGATCAGATCTGGATGCAAAACAAGAGTACGCGGATGATGGTGCTGAAGTAGGAAGGGCGGTCGGTGCTTTACTTGGGATGTGAGTGGGTGGTTGTGTTGGCATGGTTGTGGGCACCTTAGTTGGAAAGTTTGTGGGTACCTTTGTGGGTGGTCTACTAGGGGGCAGGGTGGGTGGTACAGTTGGAGCTAAGGTTGGCTTTTTGGTAGGAGACGCTGTGGGGTGTTTGGTTGGAAGTTTAGTGGGTGGTTCTGTTGGCATGACTGTAGGTGGTACAGTTGGAGCTAATGTTGGATTTTTGGTTGGAGAGGCTGTGGGGCTGTTAGTTGGGATTTCAGTGGGTGAATCTGTTGGCATGGCTGTAGGTGATCCTGTTGGAGCTAATGTTGGCTGTTTGGTAGGAGTGGCTGTGGGGCTTTTGGTTGGAAGTTTAGTGGGTGGTTCTGTTGGCGTCAATGTGGGCAACCCAGTTGGATATTTGGTTGGTACCTCTGTGAGAGATCCACTTGGGGGGTGGGAAGGTGGCGCACTAGAAGCTGATGTAGGCAGTTTGGTTGGAGTTGATGTGGAGGTCATGGTTGGAAGTGGTGTGGGTGGCGCCGTTGGTGTGTGTGTTGGCATCTTAGATGGAAGACTTGTTGATGCATTTGTGGGAGGACTACTTGGGGGCTGAACAGGTGAAGCAGTAGGTTCCAATGTCGGCAGTTTGGTAGGAGTGGCTGTGGAGCTTTTGGTTGGAAGTTGTGTGGGTAGTTCTGTAGGCATTGTGGGCACCTTTGTTGGAAGATTTGTTGGTTCATTTGTGGGAGGACTACTTGGGGGTTGAACAGGTGAAGCAGTAGGTTCCAATGTAGGCAGTTTGGTAGGGTGGTGTGGAGCTTTTGGTTGGAAGTTGTGTGGGTGGTGCAAAAGGCATATTTGTAGGCACCTTAATTGGAAGATTTGTTGGTGCATTTGTGGGAGGACTGCTTGGGGTATGCATAGGTTCATTAGGTGACAAGGTTGATTCCGTGGGGGTGGCTGTGGTGAATTTTGTTGGAAGGTTTGCGGGTAGATCTGTAGGCATATTCAGTGGGCATCGTACTTGGAAGAGTTGTTGGTGCTTTATGGAAGGGCTACTTGGGGTGTGTGTAGGTGCGTTGGTGACAATTTTGAATTCAGTGGTGGTGGCTGTGGGGATTTTTGTTGCAAAGTTTGTGGGTAGTTCTGTAGGCATAGTGGTGGGAACAATAATTGGAAGAGTTGTTGGTGCTTTTATGGAGGACTACTTGGGGTGTGTGTAGGTGCATTGGGAGACAAGGTTGGCAATTCAGTGGGGGTGGCTGTGGGGATTTTGTCGGAAGGTTGGTGGGTAGTTCTGTATGCGTACTGGTGGGCATATTAGTTGGAAGATTTGTTGGTGCATTCAGAGAATGAGTAGGTGATTCAGTAGGGGCCAAGGTTGGCTTCTGGGTGGAAATGACTGTGGGCATTTTGGTTGGGAGGTTTGTGAGTTGCTCAGTAGTTTCTGTAGTTCCGACAGTTGGAAGATTTGTAGGTATTGATGATGGTTCGGACACAATTTCTTTTTGTGATGGAGCGTGTGATGGAGTGTAAATTTGTGGAGTTGGATGGTTTAGACGTTCTGTGCTGGGAGTAGATTCAGGTCTGGGTGCAAAAGTGGGTGTTTGATCCAGAGAGGACTGGATTGTAAAGTTGGAGCTGGGCTGGATGTGGCTTCTCTATTCAAGTTAGTGAAAGACTTCAGCCCTTCAAGCGTAGCATGTGTTAAGCTCTGTTGTGTTGTTTGAATCGGGGAAGGGTTCTCCATTGTGGAGGGTGGCTCAGTGGGTACAAAGCTTGCTTCAATTGATGAGGGCCTTTGCAAGACAGCACTCACGAAAACTTGAGTGGTCTCATCTGACAACACCTTGGTTGGTCCTTTGGCAATTTGTATTGAGGACACTGTTGGTGAAAATGTGCCTTGAGTGGGTGGCAATGTATGGGAGCCTGTGCCTACATCAGCACTTGGCCGTTCTGTTTTGGCGAATCCCCCAGTTGTTCACTCCTTGAGGGTGCCAGTGTGATGGGTGCCGGAGTTGACACTATGACAGAAGTCCCTCCCCCTGAAGCAAATGCAGCTGTGTATTTGTGAGGGTTGGGTGGTTCAGTAGCCCGATTATCTGCTGGTGCTGTGCCTTGTGTTTGATTTGTCCAAACAGTGCTTGGGATGGTGGACAGTGGGTGGTTGCCACTGGTTCTGTTGCTATTAGCATCCAACTCCAAAGCTGGAACAATCAATGGATCTGAAGGAGAATGGGCAGCCAACTTCGCATCAACAGTATCAGCCACTGTTTGTAAGAACTGGGCCTCAAAACTCTCAAGCTCAACAGATCTCAGAGTTCCATCAGTGGGCACTCCAAACAAAGGGGCTACATCAGAGCATCCATTGCAACTGATAGTTGACTTCCACCAAGTCACAGTCCATGATTTTTCCTCTGTTGTAATGGTCTCTGCCTGGACCAACTCACTTTTCAACATGAATCGTTCATAACTGTCATCACAGCCACCAGTTTGATCGTTGTAGATTTCCAGGAAGGCATCTTCCAGCTCTCGCTTCTTTGTCAACAGAACATCTGAGTTCACATCCCCAACCACAAGTTGAGTGATGCCCATCTTAGTTTCATTGTCATCATGAGTGGATGCATTGCAAAGTGGTCTAGAATCAGCATACACTGGTGGACTTGGAGCTGGATTCCTGGTCAGAACCACTGTTGCTGCAATGGCAATGCCCACAGCTATGACAGACATAACAGTCATGCTGACGGAAGTGAGGGCCTTCATGGAAAGAGCTGTCATTTCAGGAGCGGCCAATGTTTGTGACCCTGCTGCAATTTCATGGTTTATGGTTTGGGCTGCTTCAACCCTCATCTCATTGTACACACTATCCATGTCATAGTCTCTCTTGTCAGTATCCAGTCCATCCTTTGAACAACATGTATCCAAGAGAGCTCTTGAAGCTAGCCTGGGCCATTTGAAGAGCCACCAACAGAAACCCTACCGAAAGCTCTCTTGAGCAACATCATAAGCGATGTACTTTACACTATTCCGAAGAATCCGACTTTCCAATAATTCACAGTCAATGGATCCTGTGGAATTGCTTGCTGAATTTGCCTCTTCGTTAATTATGTTTGGAGGAACCAAATCAAGGAGCAGAAGTTCACCTGACTTGCTGCCATTTGGATCGTTTAAAAGTGTGGAGTGAATCAGACTGTGACGGGGCTTTCGGAAGAACTCTTCTAGGGAATCCTCATCATTACATGGGGTCGGTTCATTTACATTGGCCCTACCCAACTCTTCGTCTGTTCTTAGCATTGCTGAAAGGTGTGGAGGAGCCCTCAGGGGTTTCACTCTTGATCCTCCTTCACCATGATGGGTGTTTTCTCTAAGATCAACCTCAGGTTCCATCATTGCATTCGTGCTTGTTTGGGGCATCCTCGTGAGAGTTTGAGTTGTCAGTTAGTTTTAGTCTGCAGGAAGAGGTGTTGGCCAAGTTGCAAAGGAAGAAGATGTGGGACGGAGCGAAGAAGCACAAACCGATGCAACCAAGTGGGTGAGTTTTAATGCTGAACATGAACTTTTCTACTACCTTTACTAAAATCTAGCTTTCGCTAGCTATCGCTAGCTACAGTAGCTGGGTGTAGCTTCGTCTACTGTGAGAACCAAGAGGACAAGCATGGTAGCGATAATGAGTGGGTTCCCCTCGCAGAAGGTGTCTTTTTCCTGGAAAATGATTGCCACGTAGTGAATTAGAGGAATGACCGCGACTTTTTAGCAAATTTTGTCCTTTGATTTGTGGGACAGCCAAAATCCGTGAATCACACACTAACTATGACCGGAAAAAGTACGGTACGGAAAGGGTGGCTACCGGTACGGTACAGCAGCGGTGGTACTAGTAACTTGCTTGTTGATGGACAAAAGCCAATGACATGGCTATCTAGCATACGAACGATGCTGCACTCAAAGCTACTACCGGTAGAACTTGTTTCAGGTTTCAGGTACTACGAGTAGCTACATGTATGCGGCCACCATAAGGTTGCATTTATTTCGTCCTTCCCCTTCCTCTTTTCGTGCGCCACCCTTCACTTCTTTGATTGTTCGGTTTGTTCACTGTGGATCAGCAAGGACTCAGGACATGGAGTGGGTTCCACCGTCTTTTTGTCCTTTTGTTGCTACATCGACTCCTACTTTTAGCCTGCTTGCTTCTTTCTTTTGCTCTTGGTTGATCCAGCTGTTGATCCAAAGACTTCCGGTTGTACCGCTGCCAAGTGGACATGGATCATTGATCCTCTCATCCTCTCCCTCTGCTCTTGTAACGGTACATTCATGCCGGTACTCGAGCGGTACAGTTTCGTGCTGTAGTCTACTCTACTCGTCCCATACTTAAATACGGTGGTATGGTACGGAGATACAGGACCGTCCGACGATTGTGGGTATCAAATGCAATGCAGGCTCATGTGCAAGTTTGCTCATTCCCCAGCACCTCTGGTCCCAGTCCTGCCGAATTTACTCATTACACTCGATGCATCCCTCAAGCATCATGGTTTGACTTTCAGTTCAAGCTTGCAAACACACACAATGAAGAGCTACAAGAAGCAGAAGTGTACGAGTGAGGAATGACTGATGAAGCGATCACCGAGAGAATCTGGCAAACGCCCTAGAGAGGCCAATCCAAGTGTCCCACAAGAGGTTGTCCAAGAATGAGAAAATGCCTGGTTCCTTGGCAGCACCAGACTTTGGCAAGCAAGCGTTGTCAAAAAATCCTCATTCTGAATGCTCCTTGGGAGGAGCGGTAGGCAAGAAAGGAAATACAACAGCCCATCGGTTATATCAATAGATAGACTTGGCTACGAGTACTCCAGCCTGACAGCAATGTTACTAGTACGGTACCGCAGTAAATTGGATTCGATTCAGTTGATTCAGTTGCATAGCTGCACAGCGGTGCCTGGAGTTTCTTTGATCGCTCTTGGCCACTATCCTTGTCCATCGACGATCGTTACTCCTCCTCCTCCTCCTCCTCCGATTCTTCTTCTGGCACATCAAGATCCTTCGCCGCATTGAGATAACGCATTGTCTTCTCGTCGGAGAAACTTTTTGCGGTACCCTTGTCAACAGTCACGAGCCATCCCAATTTCCTAGAATCTGATTTCTTTCTTCGCTTTGTCGCGGGAGCGCCCGCTTTGTCCTCCTTCAACACCTTTACCTTGTGATCTTCAAGAATACCTGGGGCTGCACTTTTCGTTTTGTGACAGGGATTTTGAACAAAGAAGCGAACACAACCCTTTTCATTCCCGACAAGTTTTGGCCTTGCAGCCTCCCAACTAGCTGTGAGGCTTTCATCAGAAGTTATCACCTTTGAGAGTGCCTCTTTTTTTTGTTTGTCTGGCCCCTTTCACCATTTTTCTTTTTTCGTTTGTAGGAATCTCGATTCTCGTAGTACAACAGAGCTGGCATGATTGTCCTCAAGGCTTGCATTTGGTTGAGATCATTTCTGAGTTTGACTTGTGATATGACGGAAACATGAGTTGTGTAAAGAATGTCCCACAACAGGAATATGACGTCCGGTCCAATGTACACGTCTGGCAAACAGAATGGAGGAACTTGCCCCTCAAAAGCGGAGCTAGTCGCGTCGTTGATCCATTCCATTGTTCTTGAGGGGTGCTGCATTTCCTGGCGAGCACTCCATAGGATGAGCGATAGGACACCTGGTAGTCTTTCAAGGCAGCCGCTTTCTTGCCGAGCTGTCCTTCGAGTATATCATGAAATTTCCTGTGAATCGCAGGCAGTAACACCTTCTCGAATGCTTCCCCAAGACCAGTGCTCTCTTGCGACATTAGGTTGTTGAGGGCCGACTGTTCTAGGCCAAAAAAATTGAGGCCAGCCTCAATAACTATCGGTTCGTCGATGACCGCTTTCCCATCGGTGCGACTAAGAGCAGCCACACCAACCTGAATGAGTGTATCGTAGTCCTTCTCAATATATGATGGCTGTCCTCCAACGGCAAACTTGAAAATGGCACCAATCAGAGTGCTGGTGAGCGAAACACCATCCTTCCATTCATTGTTATCGACTACCTGCTTGATACCACTAAAAGCCGTGCTCTCTGGCGGGTTGTATGACCCCCTTCTATCGCCTGTTGCTCCATCTGTTGTATAGTTGTCAAGGTATCGATCTAAAGCTTGGATTAGCCGCCCTCCCTGTAAAGGTGAGAATCTTCCTCTGGTCCCAGCGTAGTGTTCCTTGTGCCATCGAACCAGGTAAAGCTCCAGAAAGATTGCAGCCCAACGTGGTCGGCCCCGAAGCCGCTCGCAGACATGACGAAGGGCGCTTTCATTTGGTACTTCCCCTTCGTTTCCCGGAGCATCCAAGTCCACGGTACTAAGGAAAGTGAGGAGGTACACTCCTGGACAGCAACTGCGTCAAGGGGTTTGAAACGATCGACGATGGTTTCCGTCTCATCATAATGTGGATTCTTCGCCATGATTGAATAGGTCGAATCGTTGATCGCTTGGATTGACATCCTTGTGCCGGATACCAGTGGATATTCAATCTCCAATCCGAGATTCAAAACTGTGTTGGTCATTGCGCGAAGCACAGCAGAAAAGGCGGTTCGAGGCCTCTCTCCATCTTGGCTAAGGAAAAAATCTTTGAGCTCATTCAAAAGCACTTGTGCTTCGTCTACACAGTCCATGGCCACTTGTCCTTGTCCTGTAGGTACCGGTACTCCGATTCCATGGCTTTGTACCAACTATAGTCCTTGTCGTTCTTCATTGCTCTTGTCAGGCAACATTGGAGGACGGCGGAGAAAAGGTCGACTCCCACGGCCTCTTTTGGAAACAATTGAACCAAGAGCCATTGGTAAGGCGTGAGTTTGACGTGCTTGTTGATCGCATCAAAAATGACAGTCCGAATGTAGATCATCATCGAAATGTATCGATCCATGGCGTGGTAGTTGCTCTCGCTTCTGCTTTTCCTTGGTTTTTTGTTTTGCGAATCAGCATCACTCAACAGATTCTGAGAATTATATGTATAGAACTTTCTCATAATCCTTGGAAGATCGTCGGATCTGGGATCATTTTCGATCGAGGCCACAAAGTACAAACCATAGTTGTGGCTAAGGTATTCGAAGATGGAACGTGTCTTCCCGGCCCCAGAAGTGCCGTACAAACCACGGCAAGCGTCTCTTGTTTTTTCAATGAATTTGGAAGCATCTGTAGTCTTGTTCTGTGGATTTTCGAGATCGTATAGCAATAAACATGGCAGGCTTTTTTTTGTTTTTTTTTAGGGGTTCTTGGGTACTTTGGCGGCGGTGTTGTATAGCCCTGCCAACAAACCATCGGCGGGTGCCGTGAAGGGGGGTACAACGAGCGCACTAAAACCATTCTTGAAGTGTTTATCCACATGGTAAGCACATTCCTGAACAACATTTCGATTGTTTTCTGTCATCGTGGATGTTGGTCGCTGAAGTTCCTAAAAAACGGCGAACCCGATTTCGGTTCGAGTGCGCCTGCACATCGGTTCACAGGGGACAATAGCTGCCCGGCGCGCTGAAGAATAACTGCAATATTATTGCGTAACCTCGAGTGAAATCTTTCCGAAGCAATTTCCTGAAAATCAATAATAAATCCAAATTACATGTTATAACAAGCCTCATTTCACCCATAATATGTCATTTAGATGGATGTATTCAGCGGTAAACCATTCAAAAATGCTTCCGGGCCTCGGAAAGTTTGCAGCAAAACCAATAATAATAAAAATATGGTTCCGAGCCGAAGATGAAGCTCCCCTTAAGTCTTTCATGAAGCTTGCCCGGCGCTTATGGTCCATTTCCTGCTCAAGTGAACCGATGTGCCTGTGCATACTGGGTCAACCGTGATTTCGGCAATCGGGACTGGATGTTCTTTAACGGTTAACGACAGTTATGAAAGCAATACTGTACCGTGTGGAACAAGAATCAGAGCCTCATCCTTAAGCTCAACAAGCAGGGGGGGGCTGCTGGTGTCCACATCTTTTGCTCCAAAATATTTTTTGGTGTTCGCTTCCGCCTCGAAAACAAGTCTTGACCAGTCTTCGTGTTGCTCTTGCTAGCTAGCTTGCTGTCCAAGCATCCATGCATGTTACTGAATAAGCAAAGAGAACTGTTCAAAAAGCTACTTGGTCCAAACCACCCAACAGCATAAGCTGCCCACACAAAAGATTTGTACGCGAGAAAGGAATAGACCGGTACATGTAGAATGAAAGGTGTCATGTCCGTGTTGCTGGGTGCGACGGGAGCCATCCTTGGCTTGACGTTGATAATGATGAGTTCCTTATTATTGATTGAACCACAGCGATCTATGATAGCCTGTCATACTCTACCAACCACAGACCCAACCAATGATGCCTCTTTGGATCTACCCACAAATCTACGCGCATTGCAACCAAAGAGTGTCAACAAAGTTTCCACGGCCCCCAGTCTCCCACAACAAACCAAACACAACCTTAGTAATTCCACGGTAGCAATATTGGACACTTTCTGCGAACTGGAAATGAGTCGAATCTTCCAACGAAACGAGTGCTTACGCAGTCACGGTGGAGGATGTTCCGTGGCGGCACCCTTGCATGTACACGCTGTTTACGACGGGCAAGGATTTGGACGCATTCTGCATCACTCTATCGACACGTGCATCTTTGCCGCCGTCCTCGAACGTCCCTGTATGATTGATTTGGATGTCCGTGACAAATACTACACATGGCGGTCCTTTCTCAATGTCGGAGAGTACAATTGGGATCCCACGCATTATGTGTTGCATGGTACCACCATGGAGCATGATCTAGCCGATGCCTACTCCCGTCTCCCTTCTCAATCCTCCAGTGAATGGACCGACGACGACAACAACAAGTTGCCCGACTATGAAACGGTACTGCCCATGATTTGGCATTCCAAGTGGCGGAGCAACAATCCAGCCGCACAACATTTGCAATACTGGCACGGCAGCAACAATCAAACCAGACACAAGATGCTCCTATCGCCCTCGTTTGGTAATGCTTGGTGGCAGCATATTTCGAGCTACCAGAAAAGCATCGTGAAGAACGGCTGCACCGTGAACAACCTCCGGACGCGATTGCAGAATGCCATGTTTCAGCCAACCACATTGGCTATGGAACTGTTTCGAGAACGGCGAGATCGGTTCTTCCGCCAACTACTAAAGTCCAAGCAAACACAAACACAAACACAAACACAAACACACCACTTTTATGGAGCCATTCACTTGCGATCTACCAAGAGTGACCTGAAAAAGACATACTACGACAACGAGGACACGGTAGATATCTTGCGACAGTGTTTGCAACGCATTGCCCCCGACATTACAACCTGGTGGCTGGTCAGTGACAACCGCACGGCCGCCGAGTATGTCGAACAACGAATCGACCGGGTTCATACCGACTATCATGCATCGCAACGGCGATTTGATACTAACAAGGGCAACATCAATTTTCACAGTGGCTATCAAATGAAGCAAAAGTTTGGACACGAAAACATGGCTCCCAGTATAGAAGATTTCATGATTTTGCACGAAAGCACCGTGGCGGTCATGACACACGGGGCATTTGGAGACACGGGTGCCAGAGGCAATGGAAAGATTCGGATCCAAGGCTGTGGTGGTGGTAAAGGTGGTGATGTCTTTAAAGTATACCGTAAACCGTATCCAACAACTGAAGTGAAGTGAACATGCTGCCCTTGGTTGGCTCCGTCGGCCGTCGCCGATGCAGAACGGCACCCAACCAACGACTTTGCTGCATGGTTCTACAACCAAGCTTCCTTCCGTACGCTTCCAGCTGCTACCGAAAGAGAGAGCTTCTTTCCCAAAAAGAACCAACTGGCCCAAACTTCAAAAGTTGACTGGTGACAGGGTAACATCTCTACGGCACATATTATTGCCTTCCAGATCAAGGAACAAGTTCAATGAAAAGGGCCCCCAGCTAGTGGTTTTGCCAATCTACATGACATGATAATCACATTTCTTATTATCGTACCAGTACACTGTTGAATAAATAAATAAAAAGATGGAAGGGCCAAGTTTGTTTTGAGGTCGACACTGACTGACTGACTCGATAGAGCTATCTTCTGTGTCAGGATCCAAAACAGGCGTACAGTACATCTGCAAAGGGGGAGTTGGTTTCTACTAATGTACGGGGGCTGACATCTGTCTAGGATGAACTTGGTTCCACTACGGAATGCAATGCAGCTCTTTTTTGATTTTGAAAATCCAAAAGGTTGGGGGCGTCCGTGTAGCACCATTTCCAGCTAGCTAGCTAGCGCGTCTTTTGGGTGTTCCACGACTTTTTTGTTTTGTTCTTATTGTTGTTTGTTTTTCTGTGTGGAGTTTCCTGTACCGGTACGGCATATTTACTGATCCTGTCTGCTATCTGTGGCGGTGACGCCGATTGGTGGTTTGTGTTGTATTCTTCGTTTCAAGTTTTGGTAGGGATCATAGTAGTCACTGTCTTCACTCTCATCAGTTTCACCTCCATATAACGTATTGGGTCGTCTCCGTCTTCGGGCTTTGGCAATGGCCAGTCCCAACTGTTCCATCGATGCAAATACCGATTGAGTATTGGTGGCATCGACACGACCGCCCACAATAACTTTTTCCTGTTTGCTATTGTTGTTGGATCGTCCCTTTTTGTTGTTTCCAATGACAATTTTTCCATCGACCAGTACTTCAAAAATGGGTGGACTGGTGGAATCGACTACGAGCGGTAGTATTCGCTTGTCAATAATAATATCGGCATGCCGTTTCTTGAGTTTATTGGCAAATGTCAAAAAGTACGGTCGTAGATACGGTAGATCGGTGAATCGAAAACAGACGACGACTCGTTTTTCTTGCATGGTGAGGAACTTGGAAAATGTCAAGTGGGACGCGGGTTTTATCAATGAAGACTTGTTGTAGTTGTTGTTAGTCTTTTTCGTTTGGGTAGATGTGGGAATGCTGGCCGTTTTGCGCATCACCTTTTGGAGCGATTGAAAGGCGGAATTCTTGTTGGCATTGCAGTTGTTTCTTCCCAAGAATTTTTCTCCTTCTTTCAATGCCGCTGCCATGTTGTCTGATTCTTTCGATTGAGATTCGGATTCACCATTGGTGGCAGCAGTTGCAGCAACCGTAATTGGTGGAATGTTGGTTGTCAAAGAAGAAGCAGTCTTGACCGACTGGCCATTGTGTACCGGCACCGTCAACCCATCCACAGTAGTTGCTCTCGATAATATACTCAAGGACAAGACCAACAAGACAGAAGCACCTGGTACTGATAGTACCAACAACCGCATCCTTCGGATCGTCGTCATCATCATCTTCCTCTCACTTTAGTCATTCGTTTTTCTTTTGTTGTGGGTGTGTGGAACTGCGTGGTTTCGAGGAGAGCGAAAATGAAGTCAGCAAAACAACGTCATTCCTTGAAAAAGCCAGCAAGGCCGACTTGGAAAGTTTAACACAATTCCCCCTAACTCTAATAATGCACATGATTTGGGATTGGGAACCCTCGCCCACTTCATCGCGGCTCCGCACTCGGCTGGTCGGCGACATTCGCGGCTTGGAAGAAGAAGAAGAAGAAGAAGGACCACAAGAACACAAGCAACCCAACAACAACAGAATAGAATAGAATAGTACTACTGTACCATGTCCAACCTCCCACCTCCCAATAGCAACGACATGCTGGGCGACTTGGACTTTGCCGCTCCATTTAGTGGCCGGCCTCCCTTGGAAAAGAGCATCAAGGTCGTCCACTGCGAGACATGCGGCGAAGTGACGCATCACATTGAACGAACTCGCTATGGCAAGAAAAAGGTTCCCTTGACCAAGGAAGGTGTCGTACGAGGTGTTTGTATGCGCTGTCATGGGGGCGAATACGCGAGTATCATGGCACCACCAGCGCAAGGAGTTCCACAAGAGCTGGTCGTCAAGAGTGGCGACGATCAAACGGTCGTTTCGCAAATTACATTGGATCATCGATTTGATGCGCCCGATGAATCCGACGAAGAATCGGGCAATTTCCGAGTCACACCCGGCCAACGACGACCGGAACCGTCCTTGGGAGATCCCGATGAATACGAACGACCCGCGCCATTGCGACAGCGACGACAAGAATCCAAATCACGGATTCGACGGCCTTCCGAGACGTCGACGGACGACTTTTTTAGAGAACGAGAACGAGAAATCCGCAACAATTTTGCCCCATTGCCACCTCCGGGCACCAATTTACAAAACAATCCTTGGATGGAAGCGCAAATGCAAGCGCTAGGAGGAGGACCCGCTCCACAGCCTCAACAAGCTCAACAACAGCAGCAACAACAAGCTCAACCTCCTCAACAACAACAACCACCTCAACCACCATCACAGCAACAGCAACAGCAACAACCTTTTTACATGAACAATAACGCCCAAGTACCGCAAATTTTTGAACATCAAGTCATGCATCATCAACCCTACACCAGCAGTACCTATTTTGGAGCGGCTGCGCCCGGCATGGGACATGTCTATACGACCGAACGACCGCCGTCGATTGCTTCGTCGTATGGACAAGAAGAAAAGGCCGAAATTGAACCCGCTCATGATTGGTCCGCTCTCACCAATGCCTTGCCGACCAATACAACTACTACTAGTCACAACAAGAATATGAATGCCCCCAATGTCGGGCATTTGAGATCGTTATCAGATATTCCCGAATTGGTCAATCACCTCAACTCGAGCAATAATTTGGGCGCCACGGCGCTGCCCATATTACAACGCATGGCCGATATTGTATGGAAATATGGACATCAAGCCAAATTGGCCGTCATTCAACACAATGCATTGGAAGGATTGTTGTCGAGTATGTGGGAGAATATTGCCGACGCCAGTGTCCAAGAAGCCGCACTCGATTTGATTTTTGCACTCGTCTCGTCCAGTGATGGATTGCCATCGTCCGACGTATTTACGGGAGCGGCCGCGGAAAATGTCATTGATGCACTCCTCATTGTCATGCAGACCCATTTGACGGTGGAAAATATTCAACACACGGGATGTGGCACGTTGGGATGTCTCGCGGCCGCGTCTGGTAATAATTCGGCCGTCGATGATGCATCGCTCTCGGGGGCACTTGATACCGTCGTGGGTGCACTAGAGTGTCATCGCAACAGTGGCGTCGTCCAGTGTACTGGGATTCGAGCACTTTACAATCAATGCATTTATTCACGACATGCCGAATCCAATAAACGGAGTTTGGCCAAACATGGCATGGAAGAAAAGAAATGTGGTGCTTCCGTGATATATCGAGCCATTGAAGTGTCCGAGGGGGATATGGTCACCATGGAATGGGCATGTCGATTGTACTGGTGTTTGTCCGCCTCGGAAGATGTCGCCGAATTCTTGACTGTCACCAATCATCCAATCTACTTGATTTTGGAGGCACTCCAACGATACAATCAATCCAAAGTGGCGGGCGGGTTGCTGGAAGCATCACTCGGTGCGTTGGCCAATTTGGTGCGGGTGCGGGAAAATCATAAAGTGGTCGATTCCAGTGTCTTGTTTTTGGTCGTCAAGACGGCACAAACCCATCAAACCAATGAAGATTTACTCGTCGAAGCGTGTGCACTCATTGCCAACCTCATTGCCTTGTGCTCGGAAAATGCCACGGCTGCCGTCGATGCCGATGCCATTGAAGTCATTTTTAATGCATTGCAGGCGTTTCCGGAAAGTGTTCCCCTGTTTGAAGAGGCCGTGCGGGCGTTGCTGTCGCTCTGTCTGGCATCGGAAGACGGAAAACGATACTTGTGTACACCCGCCATGCTGCTGTGTCTTTCTGGGGCGAGTAACTCCAATATTGACTCGGCGTCGGGACAGGAAATGTTTGTCAATCTCATGGGATCTTTCATGGCCAAGAAAGGCTTTCATCAAACGGTCATTCATCATGGAGGCGTCGAAGCGTGTCTGGCTGCCATGAAAGCACATCCCAACGACCGGCGGGTCCAAGAAGCCGCCTGCTTGGCGTTTCGAAATCTGGCCTGTCACGTCGACGAGACTACCAACTTTGATTTTATGGAACCCATACAACTCATGTCGTTGGCCATGGCGAGACATGCCAGTTCGGAAAGTATCCAACTCAACTGCTGTCGGACGTTGTGGAATGTGGCGTCCATGAAAAATTCCGGCGGCATGTTGCAGCAACTCAACAACGGGGAGCTGATTGATCCCATTGTCAAGGCCATGCAAACACACATGGAGTCAGCGGCGGTTCTGGAAGTGGCTTGTGGTGCCTTGTGTGGCAAGATTATGGGGTCCTTGGAGGGCAAAAAGTGCTTGGTCGAAAGTGGTGGACTGGATGCCGTCACGTGCGTCCTCGTGATGCACCCGACCGAACCGGCAGCCCTCGAAAAAGCATTTGGAGTCCTTTCCAGTATGAGCGCTTCTCAAGAATTTGCCGACGATGTTGCCAATGCCCAATGCATGACCAATGTGGTGGAAGCCATGCGCGCCAACAGTTCGTCCATTACATTGCTGGAGTTTGGCTGTCTGGTACTCCGAAACATTATCCTATTGAGACCCGAGCATGTTTCAGAATCGTCCAGTGTGGTGGCCACCATTCTGAATGGTATGCGGAACAACCCCGACGCAGTTGGCTTTCAACGAGAAGCGTGCAGTTTGCTTTGGGCAATGGCGGCAGTGTCCGAGTCATGCAAGTCCAAAGTATTGTCGTTGGATGGCATTGCTGTTTTGCTGGGATGTCTGGAACACAATAGTTCCTTTGCCGATGTCCAGGATGCAGCGCTAGGGGCTTTCAACCAGCTAGGATAGCAAAAGACAGAGAAAGAGTTCGGTCGGTCGATAAGGACAGTACTAGTGTCGAGAGATCGGGAGCAAAGTCGCCTCTGAAGGGTAGTCGTGCCATGGACGGAATGAAAGACGGAATGAACAAAGCCTTTGGTAACTTCCTCTCGATATTGCCCGACGGCGGGGAAGGTGCAATGCAAAGTAGCTTGTTCTTCTCGATTATGGGTTTTAGTCTTTTTTACCACCTTTTGTCAAGGCTTTCTTCACGTTCTCATTCCAGTACATCCCCACTACTCCATGTACCACCACAGAATGGGCCTCTGAGCCTGCTGCTTTGAAGATTTCCTCTGATTCCAGGTCTGTTTCGTTTCGGACTGCATCCGTGATGTGGAGAACAATCGCCCAGGCAAAGGAAACTTGTGCCCACGTATTGAAGTGTCCAAGCGTTTGCCGTTTCCCATTGTATCTGATGTTCACAACCTGAAAGAAAAACAATAGTTAGAAAATACAAATACATCTCAATAACAAATGTTGATAGTTTTCCTGCACTTACCGGAAAGTGTTTTGCATGTTTGTAACATCCAGTCAAGTCTCGGTTCTGCTTTGCTTTGCGTGCAGCTTGATTGTAGAAAAGGTCCGTGTCCTCATTCAGCGTATCGATATCCTTTTTCACGTCTTCGAAGTCCACGTTTGCTCTGGGGACGGGTCGGTGCTCCTGGTCAGGTAGAGGAATTGGGTATCGGGTTCCTCCTGGCATGGTTCGGTGTGTTAGTCTTTTTATCAAAGTCCCTTTTCAGCATGGTCCGCCACGTAGGCAGCCAGACCAGATTCCCCATTGTAGGATGCTCGACCATTAGCCTGTTTTTCAGCAAGGTCCAAGGCATGAATTCCAATACCCTCATTGTAGGTAGTAAGACCGCCCCTGGTTCGATTAGCCTGTGTTTCCGCATGGTCCAAGGCATGAATTCCCGTACCCTCATTGTAGGCAGTTAGACCGCTGACAAGACCGCCGACGCGACCATTAGCCTTTCCCCAGGCACGCTCGTACTGCTTGATTTTGTCTTGATTGTGTTGGGAGTAAATGCTAAAAAGCTTGAGCTCCTCTGGGAGAAGATACATGGGAATCAGAAGTAGGAACATGGGAAATCCATACCAATCCTCCCCCAATACCTTCAATTGTTGTGCAATTACCGGCACAAACTTGTGGTTGGCACGCACAAAGTGGAGAATGATATCCTTCTCCGTCCAGGTTGTGTCATGTGGCAATAGAGTCATCATGAAACGGCTTTAGGCAACCAGTTGGGTGGACAGAGCCATCTGCTGGGTCTGCTTTGTCCCATGGTAGAGACAGAAAGCAAACATCTGGAAAAAGTGGTAAAATTCGCCAAACCAGTACATCCGGGATGGTTCCTGAAAAGTGAATTTGAGATTCGTGAGCTGGTTAAAGACATTGTATTTAGCAGCACAATATCTTTACTTACATAGAACTGAGACGCAATCCACTCCACATGGCTTTTTGTGTGGCTTTTGCCTCCACCGGACATCAAGACCACATTGCCACAACACAAGGAAATTTTGTTGATGAACTGCAATTGTCCCATTCGAACGACATTTGTCAAAACTGGTTTCAAGTCATTACATCCTCTGAAAATCACTTGTTGTCATGCTCCTTGTTGAATCGACATTCCTCCGTGCATCGTCCATTCATTGGCTCCGTAAACACAAAACTCGGTTGCTTGACGCTTGCTGTGCATCCAAGGATGAAAATGAGGGCCTTCATTGTGCAACAGTAGGCGGTTGTCTTCTGAAACCGGGGACATTGGGTGAGGATCATCAGAATGTCACGTGGGTACATGTTCTGATAGTCAGTCAACGAGTTCACTGTACAGAGAATTGTCAATCCATGTTGGCGACATTTACTCATTTGGTGCGCCTCACGTTGATCCTTCAATAGCCCGTCCTCCCAGTCCTTTGGATCTTTGTTAGCGACTTGCCCTTGAACAGAAATGCCTTTGGCAAGCAATTCAATGAAGATCCGTTGGGTATTGGGACGGGCATCGGCGAGATCGGAGCGTGTTGCTTCAAGACGTTTCCATTGGGGTGGAACAAGTGGGTATCCAAATCCGAGCCGACAATGACAGTGTCAATGTATTCAGGGGTTGGGAAGATTCCCACTTGAAGAAACAATTGAGTCTGAAGGAAAACCTTTCTCGTCAACATTGGATCTAGCAGGAGAGCACGCGCTATTTCAACTGAAGACCCATCAAGCAGAAGTTGTGATAGCTGCGGTGTTTTGTCATATCCTGGTACGAATCCTCCACCATCCGTTTCCTTTCCTTCCTCTTGCCACCGTTTGCCGGGTTCGCGATACTCCTTCCTTGATTTGCTCGCAATACATGTTCTCAAGATGAGCCTGGTCTGTCAAAGAAACTTCCCCTCTGCAGTCATGGTTGCTTTCTTCTTCTTGCTCACGAACATGTTCTTTCTTTCCCATGCGGTAGCCTCCTGTTGCAGCTTGTCATTCTTCATACGTGTCGTCGCAGCCACAACAAATCGAATCCGACGCTGCATCGTGTCAGATATAGACTCCGGACGGCTGCTGGCTACAGGAAGGTTTCGAACTCCACGGGAAGCACCAGGAAGGTTTGGAGGGCTGCTGGAAGCTGGACCGCGAGGACCAAGAAGGTTTGGACCATGAGGACCAGGATGGTTTCGATTGTCAGGAAGGTTTGAACGATGGCTGAAAAAAGGAAGGTTTTTACCTTGAGGATCAGGAAGATTTCGACCGGACGGGGGATGGTTTAGGTTTTGATTGCCACGGGATGTACTTGAAGCCGGTTCAGTGTGAACCGGGTTGGATCTAGGCTCCACAATCATGTCAGCCTTTGCAGTAGTACTGCTGGAAACAGGAAGGTTGCGATGGCTTGAAACAGGAAGGTTGCGTCGACTGTTTCCAACAGGAAGGTTACGACGACTGCCGTTGGAAGCAGCGTTGGTACCACCATGGAAAGCACCTCGAGCCACAGGAAGGTTTGGACCATGCGAAGTACTGCCATGGGGTGCAAAATTGACACTGGCTGGAATAGACCGAGGCGTGATACTGGCAATGCCGGTTCGGGAACGGCGAAGTTGTGATGGTTGCTCCCATGGAGATTTATTTTCGGTGGGAAGACTTTTCCTCTTTTTTTTGAGGAGACAACAGGCTTGATCTGCAGATCCTTAGTCGTTGTCGAGGGAATGGATCGTGTTTCGCCATTCCCAGGCTTTGCCTTTCGTAGCAGCTCCAATGCTTTGAAAGTGTGTTGACACATCTTAAACTTGTATGGGAGGTTGAAGTGTTCGCAACCTCGCGGGGACTCAACCTCGTGTCATCAAGCTGGCTGAGAACGACGAGATCACTTACTTGCTCACCCCAACGACACTATTGGCGCTCAGTTTAGTACCGTGTGGGGCCACCATTCACTTTTCTACCTAGAGCGACTCGAAACAGGCGCGCAGTGGCGACATCAATGGTCGAGGAAGTCTTCAGTTCGAGCCCATGGAAAGATTCGGTAAAAAGGATGCTACTGTACTACCGTAGGAAGGGCATATCCTATGGCTGTGGTCCCCCACCATATGCCAACATGGAGGATGATATCGTCCAGGCCTTACAGCGGATTTGTGTTCTTTGCCCCTTCCAAACATACATCATGGCATCTCCACAAGACAGCTCGGAGAGTACCGAAGGTACAGTAGATGGAGTAAATGATACAGAGAAATAATACCTTTAACCCTAACGATACCTCAACTACCATTCTAGCTACAACAGCAACAACCAACAACAGCGCAACAACAGCAACAGCAACAGCAGGACAATAACATAGAAAAGCTCTAACATTTATGCCAAGGCCCAGGAGACCGCTACGGTCAATGTTTGTGACAAAACGTGTCCAGACGTTGATGTGAACTCTCGAACACTCACAATCATCACTGTCATCTGACTTTAATCTTTCCTCCAGCTTCACTGTTCTGCTTTGTACTCTCAGATGTTGTCATGACCGTCTTGGCCGTCCCCGAAGATTCTGTATGGGAGGTGTGGCCCGTCTCCAGGCGGAAAGAAATTTATGTTAGGGATTGCTACCGTATGGCGTTGCAACATTGTCACACTGCTTGGAACCAAGATTTCCAGCTTGTTTTTATGAAAGGAACCCCAGGAGTCGGCAAATCTGTGTGTCTCGATTACTTCCTTTCTTCACTCATTTCGGATAGAAAGAAAGTATTGCTGGTTAGCGGCCCAACGAATAAAGCAGTGCTATTCATAAACCATTCATTGCCCCCCGAAACAATCGATGCAATGGAAGCCTTGCGTGGCAAATGGGCCAAGAAAGTTGACTATGTGCTGATTGATCCTCCTGAAAATTCAGGTCAGTCGCAAGACTACCACTACTCGTTTCTCCATGGCAAGAAGACTGTAGCGGCTGTTTCCCCGGATCCTGAGAATCTAAAGAAACTAGAAAAAGATGACGAAGCGAATGTCAGGATTTATATCGGGCCTTGTGCATACGACGAAGGGTCGGAGATGTGGAAGGCTTGTTATTCAAGCAGAGTTTCTTTGGATGACTTCAACCGGCGCTTTTCTGAAATCGGTGGCGTTCCTCGATTCTTGTTCCAAAGGAAGAGTCCGCTAACACAGAGTGTGGATTCTGTCTTACAGTCCGTCTCCGAACGCCAAACTGCGGCTTTAAACGATCTTGCGAACAACCCCGCTCGTATTGATTCTGGAAATGTTGCATCAGAGTTCAATAGTCTTTGGTCTCTGTACCATCTTGCGCCAGACGCAAATTTGACTTCCTACACGATTGAGCTGTGCTGTGAGAATGCCAGGGCGCTCCTCAGGGCGCGACTGCTGAGGCTTGACGTTGCAACGCTGTGGAACCTTTTCTTCCAAACAAACGAGAGGGAAGGAACTCTCCGTGGAATTCGTTTTGAGGCCTACGCTCACAAGAAGATTTTAGTGGATGGTATGAACGTGCGTGCCAACAAGTTGACCGCTAATAAGGTTTCCAACACTACTCGCATTATTGCCATCCCTGCTGGCTTAACAAGGGTGACCCTGCCGAACAACGATGTGACTCAGTTGGTAGCTCAGCGAGCCGAAGCTGTGGGTAAAGGTGGAGGATACTTGCTGCCTAGTCTACCAAACTACCCAGTGATTGATGCAGCTTATATTGGCGGGAGCGACAACAGCATGATGCTACAGATGAAAGCGGGAAAGAGCAAGAAACTTTCTGCTGACAAGATGTTGCTGGTGCACCAAGCGCTTGGCGACTTGTTTGTGATTGTCACACCAGAAGAGAACATCGCGACGAAGAAACTGGCAGGGGGTCCCAATGCGATGAATCAGTATGTTGCCATTTTAAGTGAAGAATAGCTTGCTTTCGCATACAATCTTTGTGAGGACGTGCGATGCCAACGATGATGCACTTTTTACAAAGAAGGGGAGTGCCTAAGGCAAATACGGCGCTACAAGTGAGATTATGGGGGGGTTAGGCATGAGCGCGGGGGAGGGAAAAAGAAGAAGAAGAGGGAGAGGGTTATCCGTTGAGTTCCAGATTCCATGGTCCAGTCATCGAGAGCAAAGATCCAGTCATCGAATGACATGAAATACATATAGTAAAGAGGGGAGAAGGCAATGACCCTCTACGTCTCTTATATAAAACAGACATCTCCCCATGGGTAAGACGTCCGAAGAACATGAATATGTCAGCAAATGCGTCACTAACGGATGATGGCACATTCAAATCGCGGTCCGTTGACAGAATCTGGTGTTGTCAGTTACACTGGCTCGCTTGCTTGTTTTTTTCCTTCCCAATCCTTCGCTCGCACCAGACCTTCCCACAAATCGCTGATACAACCAACCAGTTATTGGTGAGTGCATGCTGTTGTTGTTGTTGTTGTTGTTGTTGTTGTGTTGTTGTTGTTGTTGTTGTTGTTGTTGTTGTTGTTGTTGTTGTTGTTGTTGTTGTTGTTGTTGTTGTTGTTGTTGTTGTTGTTGTTGTTGTTGTTGTTGTTGTTGTTGTTGTTGTTGTTGTTGTTGTTGTTGTTGTTGTTGTTGTTGTTGTTGTTGTTGTTGTTGTTGTTGTTGTTGTTGTTGTTGTTGTTGTTGTTTTTTGTGTTGTCGATGTTATCCACAATGGCGCACAATGGCGACAATGGCATGCTACTAATCCTTCTATCCTTCCTCTACCGACGCTCCTTGCTGTTGTACCACAAATGACATACTTGCAGGTGAATCCATGCCTTGTTGCCCTCAGCTCATTGAATGGTATCTGTTGACACTTTGCAGCCACTTGGAGAAGGCCAAAGAAGTAGTGCGATCCTCATGGTCGAGTTGTTGTTCTTCTTGTTTCGATTTTCGTGGAGCGATCTCCTATCTTGTAGAGGAAGGTCGTCGGTCGGTAGTGGTATCGGTAGAGGAAGGAGCGTCGGTAGAGGAAGACGAGGAGGATAACTTCTGTTTGCCCACAACAAGCATGGAAGTGATGGTTCTTGAGGAGTTGATATTGCAAGTTGCTGGTGGCTCAATTGCTGGTGGACTCGGTGGTGCTCCAGTGCAAGCTGCACAGAGACAACAATCATTGGGTGCATACTTCTGCATTTGTGGTTTGAATGAAACAATGAACTCTGAAAAGAACCTCTCTCCATTATCCTGTGGCAATGGCTCTGCAGTAGGAAATGGTTCATTGAGACCCACAGCCACTGCTAGCTCATTGAGGTAAGCCAACTCTGAATGGTTCAGTATCCAAATTTTCCTTCAAGGAATATTGTATGATGAATCATGAGTTTGTGACGTTGTGCATGGAAGACCTTCAGTATCATGGAGGCCTGAGACCCAATTGGCTATGTTTATTGATGGCAACAACCAACAAGGACTTTGAATGTAAGTTACTTGCTAAATTAGAAATGAATCGGATGTACCTAAATATTTATTGCTGTTCTTATGCCAGATATCCATTCAATCGAGTTTGACAGGTGGCATCATGAGGTGGTCTTCCTCTCCTGTTGGTCAACCACTGGCAGTATCTCTGACAGCAGCCATTCGGTGGAGATGCTGGAAAGGAATGGCAGTATGGTTGGAATTGCCGCATTAAGGCAAGTTGCATCATTTGAATTTGTTGTTTGCTGGTATAGAATCAAATTACCACATAAGCATTTCTTGTTTGTGCACTGCAGGTGTGGGTGGGGCGGCGGTGGAACCATTGCTGTTGCAGTCGTGGAGGGGTGGGATGGATTGCTGTGGTTCTGTTGGAGGTGGTGGCTCAATTGCTGGTGGACTCGGTGGTGCTCCAGTGCAAGCTGCACAAGACAACAATCATTGGGTGCATACTTCTGCTTTGTGGTTTGAATGAAACAATGAACTCTGAAAAGAACCTTCTCCATTATCCTGTGGCAATGGCTCTGCAGTAGGAAATGTCATTGGACCCAAGCCATGCTAGCTCATTGAGGTAAGCCAACTCTGAATGGTTCCAGTATCCAAATTTTCCTTCAGGAATATTGTATGATGAATCATGAGTTTTGACTTGTGCATGGAAGACCTTCAGTATCATGGAGGCCTGAGACCAATTGGCTATGTTTATTGATGGCAACAACCAACAAGACTTTAATGTAAGTTACTTGCTAAATTAAAATGAATCGGATGTACCTAATATTTATTGCTGTTCTTATGCAGATATCCATTCAATCGAGTTTGACAGGTGCATCATGAGGTGGTCTCCTCTCTTTGCAACCTGGCAATCTCTGACAGCAGCCATTCGGGAGGAGGTGGCTGGAAAGATAGCATAGTTGACCCATTTGAATGCAAGTGCTCATTGAATGTGTTGTCGTTAAATCAAATTACCACAAGCATTTCTTGTTTGCACTGGTGTGGGGCGGCGTCCTGGGAGTCGGGAGGATTGGGTTTTAGGCCATCTGGGACTCGTGGTGCTCCAGTGCAACTGCACAAGACAACAATCATTGGGTATCTTCTGCTTGTGTTTGAATAACAATGAACTTGAACCTCCATACTGTGGCAATGCTCCAGAAATTCAGGCACAGCCTGTGTATGAGGTAGCACTCGAGCAATGACCTTTTCCTCGTGAATCTCTCTCTCCATGCTCGACAAGCTTTGTATTAGGTTGTATCTTGCGTTCAATTGAGTGCAAGCACCTCCTCATGCCACCATTACCGAATGGCAACTTGTCGAGCTTCTAACTTGGATTCTCCTCTCCTTTACAGATACTCTGGGAGGCTGTGCTTGGATTGGTGATGGTAGGATAGTGTCATACATGTCTTCCAAAGGCAGTGGACAGCCAAGTGAGCGGCTTTGTCAACACAGTTCTCTACTGCTGGCTTGGTATCAGAAGTGAACAAGGTAAAGTTCTTGCTGGATCCAGTCGACCCTGTCCTGGCTGGCTACCATCACTGGCAGCACCTTGTATCTGCAGAACCACTGTTGCAACTTCTGTCTCATGGTCTCTGGTTCTCTCATCTTCTTCCTTAGATACTTGGAGTACCAGCTCTGAAGACCTTGGAGGCTTGCATATCGAGAGTCTCTGCCATGGAGTAGTGCTTGCCATTGGTAGTACAAGAGGCCATGTTTCAAAGCATGGAGGACCTTCTCATAGTCATCTGGTGAGTACTGCATAGAGGCAATCCAAGAGGTCTTCATTGCTTGAGAGTAATCATGTGACCTTCCTCAAAGTTGACAGAACCTTTTCTCATAATGGAACAGGCCAAGTCTTCCCTCGATACCTGGAAAGAGCAGCTCCAATAGTCATCCTTGTGGGGCCAGGTGTGGGCTGTACATGGCAGCTGGATTGAAGTTGCTCCTCCTTGCTAGCTGCATGGCAGCATGGGAGAAGTGATTGTCTTGGTGGTGGGAAAGAACAGCACATGCAATCTCTCCAGTCTCATAGCAGCATCCCAACAGCAGCAGCCCCAAACTCTTGCTGTATTCTTGACAACCTGGAAGTATGGTCTTGGCAGAAGATTCCTTTGTTGCACTGACACTTTGATCTCTCTTGTGTGCCTTTTGTTGTCACTGATCCTCCATGGATTCCTGTTTGAAGCACAGGCAGCATCATAAATGTCACGGATGGTGTCACCAAGAGGAGGAAACTGTCTGATGTAAGTGCCATCATTTTGAAGAAAGGGATCAGGATCAGTGTCCTCTTCCTTGCCAGTATGAGAAGTAAGACTTCATGGCTCTAAGATACTCTCTGTTGATTGCATTGTGATGAGCGGCTGCATAGTCTCCATTTCCATAGGTAGAATCGAATACTTCTGTGCTGTTCGCTCCAAATGACAAGCCTTGTTAGGTAAGCATACTTGACTCCACTGGATAGAGCAATGAAGCATGGTTTGGGATCGAGAAGCACTTCTGCAGAGTTGGCATCGAATCTTCTGTTGCAGCTTCCACAAACCATGGCATGACTATACACCAAGAAGGAGTGCACTACGCTAAAAGCTAGTGTAAAGATGGCTGTGGTCCCCCACCATATGCCAACATGGAGGATGATATCGTCCAGGCCTTACAGCGGATTTGTGTTCTTTGCCCCTTCCAAACATACACATGGCATCTCCACAAGACAGCTCGGAGAGTACCGAAGGTACAGTAGATGGAGTAAATGATACAGAGAAATAATACCTTTAACCCTAACGATACCTCAACTACCTTTCTAGCTACAACAGCACAACCAACAACAGCGCAACAACAGCAACAGCAACAGCAGGACAATAACATAGAAAAGCTCTAACATTTATGCCAAGGCCAGGAGACCGCTACGGTCAATGTTTGTGACAAAACGTGTCCAGACGTTGATGTTAACTCTCGAACACTCACAATCATCACTGTCATCTGACTTTAATCTTTCCTCCAGCTTCACTGTTCTGCTTTTTACTCTCAGATGTTGTCATGACCGTCTTGGCCGTCCCCGAAGATTCTGTATGGGAGGTGTGGCCCGTCTCCAGGCGGAAAGAAATTTATGTTAGGGATTGCTACCGTATGGCGTTGCAACATTGTCACACTGCTTGGAACCAAGATTTCCAGCTTGTTTTTATGAAAGGAACCCCAGGAGTCGGCAAATCTGTGTGTCTCGATTACTTCCTTTCTTCACTCATTTCGGATAGAAAGAAAGTATTGCTGGTTAGCGGCCCAACGAATAAAGCAGTGCTATTCATAAACCATTCATTGCCCCCCGAAACAATCGATGCAATGGAAGCCTTGCGTGGCAAATGGGCCAAGAAAGTTGACTATGTGCTGATTGATCCTCCTGAAAATTCAGGTCAGTCGCAAGACTACCACTACTCGTTTCTCCATGGCAAGAAGACTGTAGCGGCTGTTTCCCCGGATCCTGAGAATCTAAAGAAACTAGAAAAAGATGACGAAGCGAA